ATGTACAGAACTGAACTGTACATTCAATACACTTACCATTAATATATTTTGTGATCTATAAATTATACCTCAACAAGGAGATATTTTACTGGATTTGTGGGTGCTGGAGTCTCCTTCTGGAGGTGGTTGCTAGGTTCTTTCTGACTCGAGCAAAGAACTAAACAACGCAAGCAAAAAATGATGCCAAAGTTTCACATTTATTTGAAGTAGGAAAAATTAAAAGTGAGGGAGGGGTAAGGGAGAAACTGGCTCTACAGAGTGAGTTTGGGCTGAGTAAAAGAGAAAAAGAATAAAATCCAAAAATAAAATATCGTGGGGCACAAGGCAGGCTATTATGAGGAAAACCATGATAGTGCGTGCTTAATGGCGGCTATCTCTTTGTGTTCATGCCCCATCATGGGTTCTCCTGAGAAGTCCCCATACAGAGTCCCGGGAATTGTTCTGTGCATGTGTCTTGGGATTTTGTAGTTAACAGGTCACGCTTACCCACCAGCCAGCTTTGCCATGCCCTACCTTCTCATCGCAACACGACAACTGAGCATAATCTTCTTGACTTCCTCCCTTCCATTTCCTCCCTCCCTCTCTGTCCCCCTTCCTCCTTCTTTTCCTCCCTTCTCCTCTTCCTCTTCCTGTTTCCCCTTTTGATCACGTGACTCACTACAAATGGTCATTTGCCTCTATCTCCAAGCATTCAAGAGTATACTGTGCCACTTATCACTGGCATGGGGAAAAGATCAAAATTCAAAATTTGAAGTACAGTTTCTACCAAACGTGAATTGCTCTGACACCATTGCAAAGGTGAAAAACAATGAAGCTGTGCATATACATGCACTCAAAATAAAGCCCAATTACTGAATAGTAGTCACAACACAAGCAACATAAATGATGAAGCTTACGGTGACAATACATGCAATCTGAGTGCCTTGGACTCACCCTGGTAGGCAAGAAGGAGTCACAGCAGCTGTGCAGATAAAGGACTTTACAGTGGCTTTGTCTCTGGTATCTTCTCTTCCAACTTTTTTCACACATGTCTCCATTTTATTGTTGTAAGAATCCTGTAGAAGGGTTCCTTTCTGCAAGAGTAAGTTCTGCTCATCAGAATAAATGTCTGGGATCCAGGTCTAAACACCTCCATGTCTGAATGACTATGTAGAGACCAACAGCACTTGACCATGAGCAATTCAGTCCAGACCCAGGCTCTAGGCCCAGTCCTGCCTTTTACATCCTGGACAAGCTTCATCAAATCTTTTACTCCTAGTCCTGACCTTCAGTTTCTCATTCTGCAGAAGAAGAAATGACAGTACTACCTCTGTTCCTAGGGTTACTGTGGTGAGAATGCAAGGAAGTAACATGTACAAATTGTTTAGTGTAGTTCATACAAGAGATTAAGCACTCAATAAATTTCAGCACTTTCAGGCCATGGAAAATGAAAAAGTCTTCTTCAGAAACAATGAACAGTTACTGAAGGTGCTGCAGGGTGTGCCGGAGAGCTTTATCCTGGAGGACTCTACAGTTTTGTTCAACAGCCTTAATATCTTCCTGAAAACAGAAAGTGAAGCATATAAGCTATGATACCTTCACCAGTGTGCAATGCTGTGTACCATGGTGGGAGGTGAAGTTCTTTGAGAAAGGACAAGGACAGCAGCAAATCACAAAATGACAATGTTTTTCTCTTCATATTTTCTTTAGCCTTTTTGACATGTCAAGGAGAATGGCTCAGAGCTGATACACCTTCCTAACCCTTTGAAAATTTTCCAGTCACATTTTGTAACAAAGGGAGAGGTGTTCATTTTAACAGTTACTTTTTACTTATGGCATACTTACAGCATTGTTTACTGATGGTTTTTCTATAATGATGCTGAATAAAAACTTCCCTTGAAATATACTTCCATAAGTAAAAATAGAAGAAGACAATTAAGCCCCCTCTGGTGCTACTGTAATCAGGAGTTGCCATTCCAGTAGGAGCTGCAAGGCCTAACTCTGGGAGTGCACAAGATGGACTGGCCAGAGGAGGAAGGGTTTCCCCTGTGCTTGATTTGGGCTCTCAGAAAATGTTACATAGATTCAAGAAAAAGAGACTTCTGGGCTGGTGAGAAGCCACAGTGAACACAAGCTCAGCAAACCCAACACAAACCCAGCAAACACAATGCCTGGAACAGTGCTTCTCATATGTGCTTCCAGGTCAGAGTTCAAATGGCACTTTTCTGACCTCACAGTAGGTCTGGTCCCCTCCCTGCTATTCTTAGACCTCACTTTGCCTTTTTTGTCCAGAACACTCATCACACCTCACAATGATTAATCTATTTGTGTGATGATTGGAATTCTGTCCAGTCCTACCCATGACCTCCACCCATTATGCTATAAGCCTTTGTGTTATGCTACGGGCTTGTTATTGGAATATCCTTGATGTCTAATGGTGTTTGAGACAAAATATTGACTCAACATTTGTCTGGTCACTCAACAAATTGAGAAGTCAGTCAACCCATTAATTCACTCATCAATGGTCGAGCTTTCTACTGAGGTTGTCTACATGGTGGTGAGAAAGAGGGAGCTGTCCTCCCTGAACTCTAAGGCATTGCTCTAAAACTCCCAACTTCTAGTATGAAATGCCTCTGAGCCTTTTCCTGTATTCCAAACATGTATAAGCAAGTGGTGCTCTGTGCTATCATAGATCTGTTTGTTTTAATCAGTCATGTTTTCTATTTCTCATTCGTGAAATAATTGAAGCGCCACCCCTTAAAAACCTTCTGTTAAATTGTTTTTCCGGGAAGGTGCACCGTCCTTATTCTGTGGTTTCGGTGCTCCCACTACACACCCATTTGGACAGCATGGCCCTTAGAGACATTCAACATTTATCAGATTCTGAACCTGCAAAGTCCACTGGGCCAGGGTAAGGGCAAGGTTTCCTCTTCTTGCGTTGAGTCTCTCCTCTTATACTATTTGGCTTGTTCTCTTCTTCTCCCCACCACTCTCGTGCTGGGCACTTCACATTAAGCTAGATCTCCAGCCCTTACTTATTTTTTTTAAAGGGTCTCAAGAAGTCACTGAATTGCCCAGAATGGGCTCAAACCTTTTTTTTTAAATTTTAAAGAGTAAAAGAAGGATAACATAATAATAAGGAGGGGCTTACCAAATTACAGACAAAGTGGTAGGAAATTATCAATGGTTATTATTTTGCATATTGTTATCTACAAGATAGTTTCTCAGGAAAACAAATGGACAAATAATAGTGAGTTACAGACAAAAGAGGTAGGAGATTATCAATAGTTGTACTATACTTTGGTATCTTCAAAGTGGCTTCTAAAGAAAATAAATAGAGCTATACATGAGTTACCTATCAAATAATCATTAACTTTTCTCAATGGTTGTTGTAGGAAACACATAATAATAAACATGTATCCATTTATGAAATAGGATAGGAACATAACAAACATTGCAGAGTTATGGATAGATTAGTAGGAAAATATCAATGGCTGCTGTAATACATAGTGGTATCTTCAAAGTGGTTTCTCAGGAAGACAGAGATACACAAGAAGGATCTAACAAGTAGTTACAGCCTAAGGGTTGTTAAAAATCAAGTGAGCCGTCTGGGGCGAAAGCCATTTTTTGTAGCGTTTTCTCTCCAGCCTCCCATCAAATTGGGACCCCACAACCAGTTAGTGTCCTCCCCACAACTGTCAGTACAGGCAGCAGGAATACTGCTGCAGACTTCTCCGGAGCTCCACCACAGCCTGTACCATCAGGGGAAGAATGGCTTCCAGGGAGTCTCTGCAGGTATTGTGCAAGGTCCTCCTGGTTTACAGCTTCCGAGTGGCTCTCATGAGCCCAGTCCACAGGACCTCTGACTCCTCGGGCTTAGTCTGCATTATCATGTTCTCTGAGTCCTTGTTCAGCAGCTGCTCCTCCGCTGACTCTGGACCTTTCTGGTTCTCAATGGCAGGAGAAAGGGTGACCCGTTGTATGGCATGTATTCCCAGGGGTTTCTCCATGTTTGAATGATTCACACACATCCATGGGTGGGCATCTGCAGCTGGTGCATGGTGGGCCAATTGTGTCATTGTTTCTCTGCAACATGGCAGTTCTCAATTGAGCAGCGGCGGCCAGCCTCGGACCGGTGAGCAATGGCACTAGCTGCCACGTGGCTACCCCTGTACTGGGGGCCCTCCTTCCAGGTGCCTACGAGGCAGGGAGCAAGCCAGCTGGAAGACCAGCGCTCCCCGCTCATGGCTCCCCATGCGTCTGGGCCGCTCCTTCCAGGCACCTACGAGGCAGGGGGGCTCAAACTTTTGCACCTCCTCCTTCAGGTTCCAGAGTGCTAACATACAGGCATGCGCTACAGTGACCAGCTTCTGCTCTTATCTTGTTCTTTCGTCTTGCTCCTCTCATGTACTTGACTTTAAAAGTATAGGATCTTAGGGCTGCATCCTGTCACCCGGGGTCCCTCAAACTGAACACATGCCAGAGTCATAGGGATATTGAAAAACAGATGGTTTAATTCAATCTTGACATTTCAGTCTTTAGATCCATGGGTAGCCCAAGATCTTTGCATTTCTAACAAGGGGTGATGACGCTGCAGATCCAAGAAGCACTCTATGATAACCACTATTGTCACTCAACCCTGATTATGCATCTGGTATACCTGGAGGGCTTGAAAGAATCAGATGTGCGATCCCATGCCAGGTTAACTGAGTCAGGCACACAGCGGGAGTCAGACTCTACAGAGTCATCCTTATGTTCAAAGTTCCCCTGGGAATTCTTAGGCTCCAAAGCCCAGAGAGTCTGTGACTTGCCCAGGGCCACACAGTAAGGAGAGGCAGAGGTGCACCTAGTGGCCAGGACTCCTTCCTGGCTTTCAGAATAATCCATTTCAATACAGATTGTGCACCTTACATTGTTAGGCTCATCCAGGCCTTACTTTACTGAGGACACTGAGACTCAGAGAGGTGAAGTCTCTCTCCCCAAGTGGCAGCAGTGGAGATGGCAGGCAGGGCCACTTGCCCTCAGTCCTGTGCTTCTCTAGGAACATTATTTGGAAAGCAGAAACCCCCGATCTTACATTCTTCTCTTGGGTAACTGAATTTTGCTCTAAGCCTCAGTCGGCTCATGTGGAAAGTGAGGCTGATATGTTCTCATCTGTACAAAGGAAAAGTCCTTTAAGCTACCATTCATACATCATCTCATTCAGTCCCTACAGTCCTCCAAGACAGATGCTGCCTCTGCCCATTTCTCAAGGGGAGACACTAATATTGGGGAGTGGTACAGCCAACAAGGGGATGAACCAGGAACAGGCCCCAGGATTGCTCCTCAAAGGCACGTTTACCCTACATGTACACACACATTTGTTCACTTTCAAAGTAAGCGTAAAACTGATTTCTTTAAAAAAAAAAAAAAAACAACATTAATTTTCAAACCAAAGCAGACAGCAGAAGGCTGGTGTTGGCAGGGCTGCTATTTATCAGCGCTCACGGCCTCCTCGCTGCCAGCCCTCTCCCCAGACCCCATTCTCCCTCCCTCCAGAGCCAACGCCCACCAACAGCCTCCCGCACACTGCAACCCTTCTAGTCTGGAAGCCAAGCATTTGGCAGCCTTGAGTTTCTGGAAATCTCCTGGGTACTCTGGCACTCATGGGATTCATTCTGTTCAACCAGTGCCTACTCAGCTGAGAAGCACCTTGTCCTTCTCCCATGGAAAAGCCCCAGCTCTGGGCCGGATCACCTCTGGCTCTGAAATGCTTCCCTCTAGCACTTTAAGGAGGCCAGACTCTGGGACATGTTGGCAGTGACTAAGGGGCACCTGCTTCTGACCATCCTAGTGGGACCTTTGGAGAAACTCCATGTACCAGAGCAAAGAGAAGGTCGTTACTTTGGAACCAGGAGACTTCACCAGTCTTCACTGCCCTTCCTTAAATTAGGGTTAGCAAAGATCAACAGCAAAGTGTTGACATCCTGTTCACCTCTGACAGACCCTTTCTCTCGGACTTCAGTTCACTGAGAATTTCTCCTCTGCACCCCCCACAAGGGAGGTGGGTAAAATTGATCTCCGGGCTGTCCCCAACCTGCCTTCCTAGACAAAACCTCTTACAAAGCCAGGCGTGGTGGTTCATGCCTATAATCCCAGTAATTTGGGAGACAGAAGCAGAAGGATCACAAATTCAAGCCCTGCATAGGGCTTTAGTAATTTAGTAAATTACCCTGCATAGGTAATTTAGTGATTTAGCTAGACCCCTCTTCAAAATGCAAAATAAAGAAGGTCTGGAGATTTATCTCTGAGTGAAGGCCCTGCATTCAAACCCTAGGACACTCCAAAGAGACCAAAGCCAAAAAACTCTCTTCCATCTTTATGCCAAAACAGTCCCAAGTTTGACCCTCCTTGGACAGGAAACTATGCTCTACAACTACACCTTCAATTAAGATTTAAGAGTCAGAGAGACCTGCGTTTGAATTTCAGCTGGTTTCCTAGCTTTCAGTGCAACACTGGCAAAAAAAAAAAATTCAGCCTCTCCGAGACTGTTTCTTCGGGCATGATATGCCCTCCCGGGTGACTGAGGAACACAAATTGCATAATGTTAGCAGCATGCCTGGCACCCAGGAGGGCCTCTAGGTTTGTCCCATCTCAGGGTGCTCTCCCAACCTCTTTTCTGTTAGGGCCACTGCTTGGTCATTCAGATGTAAGTGATAATAGCTTTAAATGTTTATATAATGACTTCTGTTTTTGAATATATTTTTATTTTTTTAATTTTTGCTATCTTATTTAATGCCTAGAGTACCCCACCATATTAATATTCTTCTAAACCCTACTCTTTACAGGAGGAAAAAAGGCCAGGATTAAAGAGTCAGTCAATGTAGGAGTCACATTCCACCCCAGGGCTGCGAACTGTGGAGCCCCCAGCCTGTTGCTGAGTAAGATATCAACACATTGTCCTGCCCTTGGACATTTGCATTTGTACAAGAGGCTCAAACAAATAGCCCTCACACGGAATTTTGGATTGTCTTTAATGGCCAGTGGGGAGGTGTTTGAGGCAAGAGGGGATTCCGTGTGGTCATACCCTCGCTATTACATCAAAAAGTGGCCCCATTGTAAGGCTGTTGGGGGAAGTCATTGCCTTTGCAGCTGGAAGGAACTCCAGAGAACACCTCTTCCTTGCTGCAGTTTCCCACCTGGTGAAAAGGAGGCCTAGAAGGAATCTGGCCCCAAGCTTTGTGATGATCTCCTTGGGGCTCTCATTGCATGACCTCAGGAAGGGAGGGGACACTTGACTCCTCTACCCTTGAACCTTGGTGACAACACCCAGGGGGTTCCCCAGCTCTCCAGCAAAAGCTGTCCTCCCTAATCACATCTTTCCTAAGCTGAAGGACCTAGGGGAGGCAGAGGATTTCCTGTTATCCCCACTGCGGCCCAGTCTTGGGCAGGATGTGAAAAACATCAATGGGGGGGTCGTGAGGACCCCCGCCATCACTCCAGACAGCTCTAGGGAGTGTGGACTGATCCCTGTGTGCCCTTCTCCTCTCTTGCATTCTCCCGCTTCAGGGGAGAGAGGAAAGGGAGCTGGCAGTGACTGAGAGCTCTATCCAACACCAAGCATCGATCTGGCTGTCTGTGTTGTCATGGCAACAGCTCTTCCACCGGGGGAGAGATCAGCTCAACGCCACAAGGCCTTCCTCAGCCCCCTAGCTCCCTGCCCCGCACAGTCCCAAATACCTTTCTTTCTGCTCCTGACAATCACCCTGTGCTGTCACTGCCCTCCCCATCGCACGCCCCCCACTCTTTTTCCATCACTTCCCGTAGAATTCAGGCTATCATCTCTCCAGGCCATAGGGTCCTGCACCAGTGCAGTAGCAGCCAGCCAGCTCTCCTGGGCATCTACACAGATGCAGGGTATGGGAGAGGATGGACATTCCCTCTTAGCCCGGATGCCCGAGGTAGCCTCTTCCTTCCAGCCAGCCCTTCCATCCTTGGCCCCCACTCAAAGTCTTCTTCGGGGGAGGAAAGAAGGTCACTGAACTACTTTGCCTGCCTGAGAGAATCTGAAGAGACAGAAGCTTAGGCCCTCATTCAGACGGACCTGGATACTGGTCTCTGCCATGCTACTTACTCATTTGGCATCTTCCAGCAAGTGACAACTTCTGGGGACCAGTTTCCTCTGCTAGAATGGAAAATAAAAACACAGTAATGGCATCCAGGCCAATGGGTACTATGAGGACAAAATGAGGTGCCAACAGTAGCTCACATTTATTGAGCCCCTGTTGTATACTGGCACTGTCTGGGGTATCGTTTGCGTATAACTCAATCCTCCATGGCAATCCTTGCACTGCCCTCACTTCCAGATGAGGAGTGGAAGCTTAGAGAGGTGACACGATTTGCCAGAGGTCACCAGTGCTGGGGTCCTTTGGGCAGTCTTTGACCCCAAGGAAACTGCTACCAGTGTTCTTGAGTTTGAGCTCTATGCTTTCTTGTCCCCAGCACTGGGACAGTGGTAAGTAGATTGCCTGGCACACAGTAGGTGGTGATTATATATCACCCTCTCCTGACAGGCAATTAATCAAATCATTATTATGTGTCTGCTATGTCCCAGGTGCTAGAAATACAATGACAAATTACAGACAGTCCTTGTCCTTGAGAATCGTAAGTGCTATACTAGGCGGCAGGAGGCAGGCAGGCAGACAGGGGGTGGGTAGTGTGGTGTAGTGGGTAGAGCCAGGCTCTGGAGCAACTGAATCTGAACGCAAATATCACCTCCCTACCCAACAGTTAGGTGATCTCAGACACATCATTCCATCTTTATGAACCCTTATCTCATCTATCCAGTTGGTGTTTTGGTGCCACCTACCTTACAGGGTGCTTGTGAGAAGTAGAAAAAGAAAATGTGAACACTATCCACCACAATGTTCAGGATACAGTCAGTAATTTGTAAAAGGTAAAGTGTATATTTTTGTCATTGGGAACCCAAAGGAGAAGGTGGTCAATTCTGTTTGGAAGAATCAGGAAGGGCTGCATGAAGGTGATGAGCCACTTGCAGAATCATAGCAGAGAATTGTTTGCCAGACTGTATGGGAGGAGAAGGTCATCTAAGGCAAAGGGTAGTGCTGGAGCAGGCAGGAGACAGGCTGGCATGTGCATGAGGGAGGGCACACAGTGTGAATAGCAATAGCTAGCACAGCATTTGCTATGTGCCTGCACTGGCTTTAGGTCCGCGGCTATCTGACCTGGCTGCTCAGTAGAAAGACAGCACAGGTTGATGTTGATCTGTTTTAATGTGAATGCTGGGCTGCATCCAGATCCACCCAGAGATCCTTATTTAATTGGTCTGGGTGATCCGCCATCAGTACTTCTTATAAACTCCTCAGGTAATGCTGATATGGATCCAAGATTGTGACGCTCTGGGCAAGGTGTTTTAGGAAACACTAACTCGTTTAATCTCCATGACAACTCCATGAAGTCGATGTCAGGCCTCAGCTCAAAGATCACATAGCAAGAAGTTGCAAGGCTGGATCAAGGCAGATCTAACTTCAGGATTCTCTGTCTTATCTGCTAAGAGGTAGAGGGGAATGTTGAGGGGGGAAGCAGAGACAGCAAGACAGAAGAGGTGGTGGATAGATAGACAGGTAACAGGTGCCACATAGAACTATTCTGATTCTCAACTCTGTGTCCCAAATCCCTTAGTCTAGCCCCACATATGCGTGCACTTTTCCCACAAGCATCTCAATGCAATGCTTCTAAGGAGCAGGACCTATACCACCTTGTCCCTGTTCACAATGCCCACTGAGTTGGACGTGCAAATTTTAATACATGCGTCACCCCCGGAATCACCAAAATGCAGGTTCTGATTCAGTTGTTGTGGAGTGTAACCTGAGATTCTTCATTTCCAATACATGCCCTGAGAAAGCCAATGCTGTGGATCTGCAGACCACACTGCGTAGCAAGTGAATAAAACTCCGGCTATTCTGTGCTGTTGATCTGTGGGCACACACTCTTGTGCTCAGAGACAGCGTCTTCCTTTCTGTTGTGGGAGTGACTTTTGCATCTTCCACTTCCCGTGATAGCCTCAGCAGCCTGTAGAAATGACCTGTTTAATTTATTCTACCCATAAGTGAACTCCAGTTTTGCCACAGCAGCTGTCCTCAAATTTTAGCACTTGTTCAAATTACCTGGAAAGCATAAGAAAATTCAGAGGTCTGGGCCCCATGCTAGAGTCTCACTGGGTCTGCAAGGACATGAGAATGTGTGCACTGGACACGTCCCTGGTAATGCTGCTCTTCGGGAGAGGTCTTAATGATTAAAGAGATTCCATCCAACTCCAAAGCCCTCAGGTTCCATGGTTCTGTGCCTCAGTTTATTTATCTGTGACATGATGAAAGGAAAGAGACCTGGCTGGTGCCCTCAGCAGTCCCCTAAGTGTATTTTATCTGATGAAATGTGAGGACATATCCCATGCCTCCCCCCTCCCTTCAACCACCTACCAAGAATATTTTTAAGTACTGTTTTTACTATCTGTTAAACACTATGAGCACATCAGTAAGTAAGACAATCATTGTCCCTTCTCTCCCAGCCCTCTTAGAGTTTACAGATTAGCTGGGAAGGTAGACATTAACCAATAATCCTGCAAATAATGAATGTAGAGAAATACATTATGTGCTATATGGAAAATGTGAGGGTTATAATTTAGATGGGGGAATTTCCCCCAAAATTTATTTTAATGCTAAGACCTTCAGGAAGAGTGATCTATGCAAAGAGTCAGGATTTCAGTCCAAGCAAAGAGAACATCAAGTTCAGACACAGCCCTGAGGCAGGAAAGAACTGGGCTTGTTCTAGAAAATGAAAGATGGCCTGAGTGCTCAGACATCACTGGGGAGGAGGAAGCTGCCATGGAATGAGTCTGGAGCACGCAGCAGACACCACAGCTTGCCGGGCCCCACAAGCCCTGAGAAGGGATTTGGATTTTATTCTAAAGCCAGCAGGAAGCCATTGGCATGTTTTAGGCAGAGACTGGGCAAGCCTGCATCTTTACAAAGATTTCTCTAGAGGTTGTGCAAATAAAAGAGTTTGGGAAGGCCAGAGCGAAGATGAAGAGAGCTTTAAGAGGCTATCTGAGTAGGAGTAAACGAGGCTTGGATTGGGATTGTGCTAAGAAATGGTTGCGCTGAGAATTACTGGGAGATTGACCCATCCAATCATCCATCCACCTATCCATCCATCTACCCACCCATCTATCCACTTAACCATCCATCCATCATCCACCTATCCATTCAATAAATATATACATAATACCTGTAAGTGCCAGTTTTATACCAGATTTGTTAGGTGAATATGATGGTGCATTTTCCTTAAGAGTTGATCAATTAGAGGGGTGAGGAGATACACAAGACAAATCATCACAATTCAGTTAGCAGCAGTGACCTTCTAAGAGGTGTGGGGAAAGAGACCCTGCCCAGTGGTGATCTGTTTGCCTAGTGTGGGTGGGAAGTAAAAAGCTACCACATCATCTATCATTCTTAGTGACAAGGGTAAAGATTTTCTGGGGTATAGGTTCACAAACATGTTTGAGAGCAACAGCAAAAAAGGGGGAACCCAAACCTTGGAATTTAACATGGGGATAGAAAAATATTCCAGGAGGTGCTAAGAAGTAGACACATAAACATATCCTGGGGTACAGAGGTGTGCCACGTGTCTGTTCTGTGGGTCTTTCAGGTTGCGTTGGAAGACTCATTGGCAGCACACTGGTATTTACTGGCTAGAGTCCAGTGGCTGTCAGTGAGAACGGGAATGGCTGCTCCAGGCACAAAGAAAACCAGAATGGAACACACTTGGGTTTTGGAGTCAGATGGTTTCCAACACTGCTCAGCTATGTACAAGTAATTTAATTTCTTTGGGCCTCAACTGCTTCAACTGTAAAATGGTGAATAACACTGAGTTTGAGAAATACTGGAGTAAGGTAATTGAAGCCTACCTTCAATAATTGGTCCATTGCCAGTGGACCAGAGACCCTGAAAGGACAGACCTACCTAGGGTTCAGAAAAGTATGAAACATAATGATTAACAGTGTGAATCCTCCAACTGACCTTCTGGGTTCAAATTTCCTTCCCTACCCTTCTTTCAATTTCATTTGGGTCCGGAAAACCATGTGCCCAGTTATGGCCTCATAGTTGGGTCCTGCCAATGTGTTCTCCTTTGACCAAATTCTGTCGGGGGTGGGGGGGGGAGTGTGCTGGGGATTAAACCCAAGGCCTTGCACATGTTAAGCACAATTCTGCCTCTCCTCAGACCATCTTGTCAGACTCCCTTAGATTTGGTAGGCAGAAACCAAAGGGATAAACAACTTTGGCCCAGCAGAAATCCCCATTCTGCAATGGGAGAAATAGCCTCACAGTTTCAGGGCCCCAGTACTGGAAAAGGATGAGCTAAGATTTGACCCCAGGTCTCTTTAACTAAAGAGTCTTTTGCGTTGAGCTTGGAATATATTGGGAGGAAAAGAGGAGTTGAAGAAAGCAATGGATAAGTAAACAAGTATATAAGCAAAATGGTTGTAAAAATAATTTTAATGGTTGTGAGGAATATAAACTGCCTGGTATGGCAGGAAATAGAAGAAGAGAGGTCTCTTCCTGACCTCTCTCAGCGAGAAGGTCAGGAAAAGATCCCGGAGGAGAGGTAATATCTGAATCTTAAAACCACTTCTGATAGTACATGTAATGCATGAGGCACAGTATGTGGCACCTAGAAAGTTTTGTGTAACTGTAGCTATTTTCAAGAAAGTGAGATACTTTCTCAAAGGTAGACCCCAGTGGCAGTGTGTGCTTTGTCCTACCTCCAGCATCTCAAGCCTTTCTGTCATGGAAGAGGACAGAGGGTGAAGAAACTCAGGGCAGTGTGGGGCTTGCAAAGGCCACAGAACCAGGGTAGCTGTCTTACCTGGTTCTGGGCAACTTCTCGGCAGAGTGAATGCCTGCGGGCAAACAATCATCTCTGCCTGCCCCGAAGTAGCTATGTGACCTTGGGCAAGCCCTGTTTCCTGTCTGGGTGTCTGTTTGCTCATCTGTAAAATGAAAGTTTGGGTCTAGATGGATTTTTAAAAAATCCCTTCCAGCTCTCTGTGTCATGGGAACTCTACCGCCTCCTCCCTCTCTGGATGTGTTCCCACAGTGCCCTCTCTTGGCCATTCAGTAGAGAACAGGGACCACACATGTTTGCAGCTGGGGACCTGGGGAAACCAGCGTGCCAGCTGGGATGCGGTGGGCGGATCATGGGAACACATTTGGATCAGCACACTGGACAGAGGCAGGAAGTCTGACTTCCCAGAATCATAGAATTTTGAAAAGACAGACTTAAAGACTATTGTGACAGCAGTAAATTTGCTTAGGGCTAAAGATTTTCTAAGCCCAGGCTAGACCGTGTGGAAAAAGTGGAGAGAAACAGTCATGGCCTCTGCTTGAGAGAGACTGTCTACGTGAAGCCGAAAGAAAGAAGACTTACCTGTGTGAAGATGAGTTGAAAGCATTGCGACAGCCAAGTGAACAGCTAGTGCATAGGAGCTACAGGAGGTTAGGACTTCGGTGGGTTCTGAAAACCAAAGGACCTGGAGTCAGTAGTTACAAGATACTGAAGGCTAATGAGTCAGAGAATGTTCAAAATGTTGTATCTGGTGAAGGCACACCCTTGGGAAGTTGCATGGCAGTATCTACTACACTGAGAAGCACACACTCCAGCAGAAACAGGAACTTGTGCTTACCAAAAGGCACGTACCAGCAAGCAGTCTGCATTCCCACAGCTGGAAGCTGAAATAGCCCACATGTCTCTGGGTAGTAGGAAAGATCCATAAATGTCAGTAAGTAGGCTCTATTCTTCCAATAGACACATGTCAGCAACCAGAATGACATGTGTAATTACACACAGTGAGGACCAGTTTACCAAGATAACATTGAACCTAAGAATCAGGCTCAAAAGATATATATTAAATGATTACTTTGATACAGGGCTCAAAAACAGACAAAACTACACTGTGATGCCAGACGTTGAGAAAATGGTGGCCTGGGTGATGTGTAGGGACTGGGGGGACAAGAGGTGGCTTCTTGAGGGGTGGCCACTGTTCTGTGTCAAAGTGGGTGCTGGTTTCATGGGAGAGTTCATTTTGTTGAAACTCATCAAGCTGCATACATGAGCTATGTGCTTGATTTATGTGTTGCATGCCAGTAAAATGTTGCAAAATTGTTGTGCAGCTCCAAAGTGACATCATCTTGTGTACTTGCTGTCACTACCACCAGGAGCAATAGACATGATTGTTTTGCGGGCAATAACGTCATGCTACTTTTCTGCAAGAGCAGTGCTTGACAAGGCAGACCAGTTCCACTGACACTCTGAACAGTGAAGAGTGACGGGCCAGGCAGCTGGCTCGCTGGACTCTTCAGAAGGAACCTGGTGGAACCAAGAAGAGGAGAGCTGCCTCTGCAGGCATCTCTGAGACCCCCTCCCTGCCTGACATTTCAGTGCCAGAGGGGTATTCTCCTGCGTTCTGAACCAATCTGAGGGTTCTGGGGTCAAGTTTGCCCACAGGAATCTGTCTGGGGACAGATTGGGTGACAGAGGACTGTGCTGGGGTCAGAGTCCTAGACCACCAAGAGGAGCAATGGTGTATCATTATCTTAATCCACAGAGGCCTGAGGGAAGGTAGGTGGCCTTCTTGAACTCTTACATCAGCAGAAGTCAGACTGAAATGGGATTCTCTTGAATCCTGGCCCACTGCACTCGGGTATCAGTGTCCTTGCAGACAGAAAGAAGTGGTTGGATTAGAACATCTGTGAAGCTCTTTGGATCGCTGGGGTGCAGGGGCTCTTCTGAGTTCCTGCTGAGGGTGGAAGGACCTTAATAATGTCCCAGAAAAATGGTATTAATATCTTTCATTTTTGCTAGAGCTCACTGTTGGCTGACTCCCAACACACACACACACACACACACACACACACACACACACACACACGGGGGGGCACTTATGTGCACACAAGCACACATGAAAACTCACGCATGTTTGCACAGGCATGCAGCTCATGCAAATGCACATGTATGTACACACATACACATCTTGCACAATTCCGAGGTAGGTTTTTATTTTGTCATTGTAGAGCATCAAGGAAGGGACACACTGTGGCTAAAAGAGTAAGCACGTGTACTGTACTTACGGAGACCTGAAATCCATCCCGGTATTGTTGCTTCCCAGCTGTGCAGGCTGTGGCTGTGCAGCTATTGCTCCTGCACCTTCCTCCCTCGTCTGTAAATGTGCAGTGTGAAGCACAGACCCACCTGAGGGCACTAAAACAGTGCAGGCAGCTGTTGTCAATGTGATGTCAGGGAGTCCCTTAAATCTTTCCATCCTCAGTTTCTTCCTCCGTAAAATGGAATAACAGTCTCTATCCCAAAGGACTATTGTGGAGCTTCAGTTAGAGAATAAATATAGAATGCTCATCAGGCTGGTTTCTACATACTAAGTGTTCATAAAGTGTTACTCCGCAAGTGGGGAATTCTGCTAACCAAGGAGAGGGAACTCCTTCCACGTGCCCCTACCATCGCTATTTCTTTCCAGCAATGATTTTTAAGGACAGCCTCCTTTGGTCACATCTAGGAGGTAAGAGGGCAAGTAGAGGCATGAGGAACAGCTTAAATCATTAAAATAGGTACCACAACAACAACGATGATGATGATGATGATGATGATGCTGCTGCTGCTGATGCACCTTATCTTCTGATGATGCTTTATGAGTTGCAAAGTGACTTCACCACTGTTGGCTCTTTATTTCTCTGGCAACCCCTGAGTTGCTGGGGTAGCTGCTCCTCTGCATAAGGAGGAGAATACTTTCATGCTTGGCCTAGGCCACAGAGCCCAAGCTTCTGCCTTTTAAAGGTGTAGTTCCTCTCAATGAGTATGGAGCCAGATGTAGTCACTGAAATAAAATATGTACAAGGCCCATTCTCTCCTTCCCAGCCCAGTCAAGCTAAAGGTATTCTACGATGCAGCGCTAACTCTGGGGTGCCAAGAGTTTGGTATTTTGGTTGGTTTTCAAACAAACACTTTTCTTCTCCTTCTTTCTGGTGCTGAGAATCAAATCTAAAGTTTCAGGCGTGGTAGGTAAGTGCTGTACCACTGGGCTACATACCCATCCCCCTGTGTGTGCGAAAGTTTCTCAGACCTCCTCAGGTTTTATTGCTCACTGGTTGCTGTATGCATCGAGGTCTGGACTTAGCTTAGTCTCTCCCACACTCTTTATGGGTTTACATTTTTTCTTTCCACTTGTCATTAAATAGTGACTACCCTTGAGCTTATGTGCAGCAACAACCACTCTTTTGGCTCCATCACAGCCCTTCTCAGTGAAACACACACGTGCAAGCGCACATGTATGCACACACACACGTGCACACATGTATGCACACACAAATTTAACTACTTAACAAACAACCTCCTTAGGAGCTGCTTGAGATGGGAACTGGAAAAAAATGCATTATTTGTAAAGTCAGCAGACAATGGGGTGCCAGCGAATATCGGGGATAGAGCCCAGAATTCCTATTTCATGTTCTGATCGAGCTCTTCCGCCATGGTTAACCAAGTGAGAAAGTCTCCTTTATTTCTGATATTAAGCTGTTTTTTTCTCTTCCAGAAAACAACAGCATGATTATTTAGGATGGCAAGGAATAAAGAAAAAATTAAGTAGCTTGTTTCTTCACATATTCAGCGAATAATGTTTGAATATGGCAAGGTCTCTGCCCTCGTGGAGCTAATAGTCTGGGTAAAGGGCAGAGAGTGGGGTAGATGTAAAACTAGATCATCTCAGTTGCAGAGCACACATACGATAATAAAAGTCCATAGAGAAGGGGTCACAGAGTAGGATGTGATCAATTCTAGATTGGACAGGAAGGTAACAAGAGAAATTAATCCAAAGTAGAGTCCAGCATTGGCACTGCAGTATGGTAAGGTAAAATAGAACAGCTCAGATTAGGCCTGGTAGCACAGGCCTGCTAGCCCCACACTCTGGAAGGCTGCAACAGGAGGACTGCAAGTTTCAGCCCAGCCTGGGCAACATGGGGAGACCCTGTCTCAGAAATTTAAAAAGAAAAACAGGACTGAGAATGTAGCTCAGTCTGAGGGCTGTAGGTTCGATCCCCAGTACTTCAAAAAAAAAGTCTCCGGGAACTGTGAGAAAGTCAGCGAGGCTAGAACTGGGTTCTGAAGAGGATAAGCATGGGGCTAAGGCTGGCAAGTCAGGCAGTGGCTCAGATGGTGGAGGTGGTCTGCCAGGTAGGCAGGCAGACCTCATCTCACAGAAGGTAAAGAGCTGGTGGAGGAACTGAAAAAATAAGTAACTTTTGCTTTAAGTGCTTATGAGTTTCAGGAGAGAGAGGAGGGTGGTCTCCTGGAGAAAGAGCAGTTCAGAAACTATTATTATGGGGACCAGGTAAGAGACAACAGCAGCTGAGCAAAGATAAGGGTCAACAAGGTTGCAGAAAGTGGATGGATTTAATAAAGTTTTAGAAGGGCAAATCTAAAAGGATGATAAAGTAAAATAATAAGGTGATTTCCAGCCCTTCCTGGGAGAAAGAGGTTGGAGGAGAGGGAGGGAAAGAGGAGAAATGACGAGACGGATTAGGCTGGGTGATCTGACTCCCTGGGATCCAATTTTCCTTCAGATACCTGGCCCTGCCTTTCTCCCTGCCTCCCTCAAGCCCACCTGATCACAACTCTGTGAAGGGTTAAGAATGACCCTGGTCTTCTCTGGACCTCAGTTTCAGTCTGTAAAATAAAAGGACTAAGCTCAGTGGGGTTTAGGATTCCCTCTTCCCCCAGGCTAGGCTGAGCTCTCCCTTCTCTGCATCTTGTAGCAGTGTCTGTCTCAGTCTTACTTTCCTTAGCATTTGTTGCCTGGGATCTACCTGCCCTTTTTACCCAAGTGAACCTTAAATTCCCGCAGGGATGGGCGGTGCTATACCTCTCGTTTCTCTACCAGCTTCTGGCAGATGCTCCCTTAGGACAGAGAGGCCACTGCCTCTGATGTAGGTCAGGTTCCTTCTCGCTGTCCCCACTGTCTGTCTGCTCCAGAACTTCCAGATGCTGGGTCCAGGGTCCCTTTTCATTGTACCCCAAGCTGGACTTTTTCTTGCTCAGTGCCCAGCTGGGTAGCACTTGGTGGGGGAGGCCAAAGAGAAAGAAGAGACATGGCTGGGGTCCTGCTTGGCTCATAAGAAGTTAGATCCAAGCCCTGTGTCAAAGAGGTTGTGTGTGTGTGTGTGTGTGTGTGTGTGTGTGTGTGTGTGTGTGTGCATTCATGAATATCACTTGGGAGTGCTCTTGCATTCATTTCTATATTATGTGAGGATCTGTGTACATGTATGTACATGTACGTATGTAAACAACCATGTATTCATGGCAGTATACCTATGTTTGCATCTGTTCATCCATGAATGTCAGTGCCTGTGTATATGTGAGGGGCTCTGTTGCCAAATTTGTATGTCTGTCTACACAGGAATGTCAATATGTGTGTGTTCCCATGTGCCTGCATACATAGACAAAGTGTGGCCAATACGTACAGTGGATGTATCTAAAAAAAGTATTACAGTAAATGACACATTGCCATTAATCCCATAGAATATTCCCATTCCCATTGTTCTTTCCATTTTCTGAAGCACTTCTGGAAGTCTTTCATGGGCATCTTTATAAGGTATGATTTTGTAAAATGTAGTAAATGTTACTGTTGAGGGGCATCCAACAAAAAGGCTTATAAAAACACAACAGTATGTCCTCGTCCCCTTGATTCACCAGGCTTGCTTCAGAAAGTGGCAAGAACAACAGGATAAGTGGGCTCAAAGTGAGGGAAATTAATGGCAACATACATTTTATTGTAATACATTTTTAAAATTTAAGAATTCACCATTTTTGTTAATCATTTCTCACATGTGTGTGCATATATGTATACATGTGTTTATATGTGTTTGTGTCATATAAACAGAGGTGGAACCCAATGTCTAGTTAAGATCATATGTTCCAAAGTCTAGTCAGACTCTGAACTCATACCTTAAAAGCTGACCCTTGAGTGAGTGATTATTCTCTTTGAGCCTTGGCTTACTTATCTTTAAATTAGGGATAATATTACTTACCTTCAATACCTAAGGTCATGGTTGAAGGATGGAATGTTCATAACGCACTTGAAAAAAAAGTGCCTAACAAGCAGAGCATGTCAAAAACCGTTACAAAACTATTCACAGCAATAAATATATAAGCGGTTGGGCTGCAGGGTCCAAATGTGGTTGTGTGTGAGAATGTGTGTCCACATGTGGCTGTGAGGTTGTGTGTGTGTGTGTGTGTGTGTGTGTGTGTATGTGCAGAAGTGCTCTTAGGCATATGAGCTTGGCATAAGTGTCTGTTGTTATTAGTGTGTCTGTTAGAGTTATTGATGCATACATGGAGGCCAGAAAATTTATGTACTTGAGTGTGGTCTCTCTGTGAGTGTCTCTTTGTGTGTTCCAGTGGGATTGTGATCCTTCTAAGAGAAGGAATGTGTGTTATTCACTATCATACCTGGGCCCCTGGATCTGGCAGTAGTCCAGCAAATTTGTGTTGACTGAATGAATGGCCCGGACTGGTTAGTTAGAGATTGCTACTTAGATAGCATTTTCCCCTAAGAGGAGGGAAAGTGTGTTAACTAGCTAACTAGATGACAGATAGGGCTATTGTGACAGGCAGATAGATATATGGGTGGATGGGTGGATGGATGGATGGATGATACATAGATAGATACATAGATAATAAATACATAGATATATAGTGGATTTGTGGATGGACAGATACATACATACATACATAGTAGATAGATACATACATACATACATACACACATACATACATAGGGCAGACAGATAGACAGCCAAGGTTGTCCCTATTTATGTGGACTCCCATGTGCTTTACTCTGGAAATGACATCCAAGCTCATATGTCCCAAGAAGTTCCAAGCCACTGTCATTGTAGTTATTGTGGAGTTGTTTGAAGGCCCAAGGAATGGAAGACTGGAAGAGCTAAGCCCTCTTGTCTGACATCAGGAAGACTGTTTACTTTTGACCTTTATGCATTGGCCATCCATACAGAATTATATTTAAAGGAAAGGTCCCATGTTTAAAATATTTGACAACCTTATTTTAGCTCAACTCTTTTTATTCTACAGGAGGAAGAGGCAGAGTCTCAGAGAGGGGAAATGATTGCAACCTCCTGATCTCTCTTTCAGGCCTTCTCCTTCCACTCTTTTTCCCTGGGAATGTAGAAGATATAAATCCTCTAATTTACTTGGAAACAGGAACCCCCTTATAGAAGCCAGTGTCCCTGGGACTTTGTGTGATGTCTAAGAAGCAGCCACTGTTTGAGACCTGTCTTGTCAGGTCAACCCCATGCACTGCATTTGGTCCAGCTGGTCCCACAAACTAGGCCTCAGGTCTGTGGGCCAGAGAAAGCAATCTGACCCCAGCAGTGAACTTGGAGCCTTGTGGGGCAATCTGAATCTGTGAAAAAAAGGTGCTAGTCCTTTTTCTATCTCTACTTTTTCTATCTCTACTTTCTATCTCTATTTTCTATCTCTACTGGTCCCTAAATTTGGAATAGATGTGGAATGTCCTTTTAATCAAAGGATGAATGAACATAGAGAGCGGGCTCCAGAAAGGGGGAGAAACAGAGACACACAAAAATCAGCAGGTACAACAAACTACGCAACCTCAGGAAGAGTGACAGGTGGAAAATCAGACAAACTTTGGTGTCCTGTAGTTTTCCTGACCCCACTGCCAATTCTGGGGCAGCCAGGATGTATTTCTTGCCCTTGGACTTGTGCTATTACATCCTTAGAATAAATACCTCTTTTGCCTGAGTTGGAGTGGGTTTCTGTTTCTTGCAACCAGACCCTCTCTGGCAAGGCACGGCATTGGAAACTCCCAGCAGACACACTGGTCTTATCCTGGCTCCTGTCACTTGCCTGAGGTCAGCATGGACAGGTATAATGTGTAGCTGTGGGAAGGGGAAGCTTTCCTGGTGGTATCTTTAAAGAGTCCTCACTACAGCTCTTCGGGAGAGAATTTTGTTTATCTCCCAGTTTTTGCTGTTTTGGTCTCACAGAAGAGTCAGTGTATTTTCTGATTTTTCTGCTGAGATTCCCTGCTTTACCCTTCACAGCAAGTATGCAACTTTCTACGAAAAGAGTTATTTTCTTCGGGTGACCAGCCTCTGCATCAAAGTCAAGCAGTTCCTCCTACATCTGGATCCCAGGGGTAAGAATTTGTGCTGTATTAAGCAAATCATTATGCTGGAGTGGGGGACAGAGGAGTGACAGGACCAGCCTTCCCTGTGAGAATCTTTCGAAGTGACCCCATGTGCCCACAGTGACTGTTGAGACCAAGAATAAGACACGTCAGAGAAGGCAGAGAGCGTGTAAGGATTGGTCCACTCGGTATATTAACACTGAGGCAGAAAGTGCTTGGGGAGGATTTGTGGGAGGAGCCCTTTTATGTGCTCACTGGCCCCCAGTGACAAGAAGCCTCTTGCCTGAGGTTATCAACACGTCATTCTGGTGAAGAACGGTGCTCAGAGGGAGGCCCCTAGCAAGTTTGCTTTCCAGCTCCCACTAGTGAATAAGTAAATAAAAGCCATTCCAACACAAGTTTATAGGACCCCACCAAGAGCAAAAGAGGAATACAAAGGCATGGGAGTGCTAAAAAAGAGCAAACTCTTCCCTCAGAATGGGAGGGAATGCCAGGACTTCAAGGCCAAACGTTCATCTCTGCTCTTAGAACAGCCATGCCAGGAGGACAGGCAGGAGGAGCATGGGCCAGGCCACCAGGAACCCTGAAACACAAGAGACAGGACAGTCACATTTTGGACTGTAGGATTTAATAACACACACAAGCTGTCCTCCTTGTCATTTGCTTCATCTGGCCTGGGTTATAATCGCTGCAAATCATGTAGTAGAGGCAAAGTTGTCTAATAAACCAGTTTTTCTTTTCCGTCTCTCTTTCTCCGTCTCTCTTTCTCCCTCCCTCCCTCCCTCCCTCCCTCCCTCTCTCTCTCTCTTCCCAGTGTCTTTCTCAGTCTCTAAATTGCTCTGGCTGGGCCTCAAACTTGGTGATCCTCCTGCCTTAGTCATGCAGAGTGCTGGATGATAGGCTTGCACCACCGTGTCCATTTTATTCTGGATACAGAAAGGCAGATTGAGGTAGCTGGGATCATGTGACTGAAACTGACTAATGAAAACGTGGATGGAAGTCATCTATGCTATCTGTAGCCTGGTCCTGCAAACCTCTAACATAATGCTTTATGCCTTCTCATCTACCATCTGGGGCCAGCTGCACAGAACTCATGACAGGGCTCACAGGGGATAGTGGAACTTCCAGAAGTTATCAGAAGCAGTAGGAGCCTGAGTTTCTAGGGACACCTAGGAACAGAACAGTACCTCTTATTGATTTAGTGGGAAATTATACTGTTGTGTAAAGGTACAGAGGATTGGGGGTCATTTGTCACAGCAGCTAGAATGACTTATACTGGAGAAGCACTAAGATACAGGAGTTTAAAAGCGTTGCCTCTGAGGCCTGAATAATTAGCTTAAAATTTCAGTTCTACAATGAGCTGGGCAGTTCTAGGCTGGTAATAAAATCTCTTTGTGCTTACGTTTTCCTGTATGCAAAACAGAAATATTAATAGCACCTCATAGGACTTTTGTAAGGCTGAAGTGGACCAATTTATGTCAAGCATTTAGAACAAAGCAAGGCACATGGTAAACCACACACAGCAATGGTTTGAAAATTTGACTGTTAGATCTGGGAGACCTGTGATCACATCTCTTTTGCACATCACCATCTATTTAGTGCTACGGAAGGGCAGAGATCCTGGATGGTAGTTGCCTTGTATCAGGGCCAAGGAGAAACATGTTCCCAGTCCCTCAGCACTATCAAAGTATAGCATCTCCCCTCCCTCCCAAATTCAAAGTTACTTGCCAGTGTCCTAAAAGTGGGGAGAGGAAAAGTCAAATTTTCAGAAACACATAATTGTATGACAACCAGGTTATAATGATGAAACAGATTTATGCTCAATTAATTCTAAAATCAGAAATAACCAGGAAATAGCAAACTAGGAAAAACAACCAGGGCCCTCTTGTGGTGGTCTATTACTCAGCATCATATCTATTTCCTTTTCTGAAAGACCCTAAATTCAGCCCATCTTAGAAGTTAATCAATTCAGGACATTCTGCTGGGAAGCCACACTGTGGCTAATTAGAAGGATTAATGGAAATGAACAGGTCCTGAGGTCTCAACTTGAAGATGCCTCTACCCTAGTTGGGAATTTAAGGACAGAGGAAACTTTTCAGGTTGCTAACATAGATCATTTTGGAGAATGGCAAAATCTTCACTATATGCTTTCTATTTCATCCAAAGTATTTTTCTTCGATTTGTGTGCTGTTAAACTCCACTCATTCATCAAAGCCCCACTCAGAGGTTACTGCCTGATGCAGTTCTTTCCTGACTGTTCCCAGTATGGCTCACTGGCTGTGCTCCTTCTGGGCTGCCTACTTGCTTGTCGCTTATTTGCAAGTGTGCCAGTGTCAACTGTGCAATGAACTGTTGCTCCCTCTGCCTGGGGGCTCAGTTCCCCTTGTCCATCTGGCTTCTTTCTTTCATTTGGTTAAATACTACTTCTTTTGATAGTTATTATGACTCTTGCCCATCTTTAAATTCATTTTTCTTTCCTACCTTAATAACAAAATCATCAAACACTGGTTGGGCATGTGACCACCCAGAAAAAGATTGCGTTTCCCAGCTTCCTTTGCAACCAGGTGTGACCATGTGGCTAAGCACCAGCCAGTGAAATGTAAGTGGAGGTATAAGAAGGTGCCAGCTTCCTAGGAGGTTCCCTAACACTCTACTTCTTCCACCTTCCCTCCATCCTGACACCTAGGTGTCAAGGTTGGGGCTCTGGCTTCCATCTTGGACCATGTGGATGATGGTCTGGTTCTAAGAGAACTAGTAAAGGGATAAAATGGAAGGTGCCTGGCTCTTTAATGACTGTGTGGTGCTACCATATAAACCTTGGACTTTCAGCCTCTATATTTCATTTCTGTGTAAGAGATAAACATCAATTTGATTTAAGATCTTACCCACACTGGTAATACACTATCACATGACCTTTTAATTCCACATTAAAGAAATTTATTTTTTATTGTCTATATCTCACTCTGGAACATAAGCTCTGGGAGGGTCAGTACATGGTCTGTCCTGCTCACTAAGCTCACTATTGTGTCTTCAGGAACTAGAATAATGCCTGGCTCACTGGGAGCATTTGATGATATTTGTTTTCAAATGACTCTCTCTTTTGCTGTACTGTAGAACCAGTATTGGGTTTGACTCATTCCATATGTCCACAGTTCTTAGCACAGGGCCTAGCACACAGAAGCTGAATCAGTGTGCACAGGATTGAAAAGGGTACGGAGAGGGAGTTGGACAGTTGTTTGAAAGGCAAAAGGAAACAACATACCTGCAGTACTGGGAGTCCCACTCAAGACACCAAGAGCCTGGGCTCCTATGGATGAGAACAGAAGGTGAGTTTCCTTGGTTATGCTCTGGTAACTACCACACTGTGGATGCTGCAAAGCCCTCCTGGGCCCAGTCCCCACAACCACGGACTATCCTCAAGGTGCAGGCGTCTATAGTTACCCAGTAGGTACTTTTCTAAAAGCAAGTCATACATCTTAAACTTTATCCTCCTAAGAGATTTGTGAGGGAAGTGTCTTTGTCCCCACTTGACAGTGAGAAGACTGAGACTCACAATGGTAAGTGACTTGCCAAGTTGCCCTTGCCCTCTAACAGCAGAGCTGGGATTTGAACCCCACATGAGGCTTCAAGTTGAGGGATCAATAACAGGGCAGGACAACTCAGGGTAAGTCTTGCTCCTGAGACAGCCTACATCTGCTCACCTGGAAAATGGGAATAACAACAGTGTTTATCTCCTTGGGCTGTTGTGAACATTCAAACAGCTAATGCACACAAAGGTGTGTAGCACGGTACCAAGCATAAAATATTGCTATGATAATTCTATTAATATTGCTACATCTTAATTTCTTTAGGGCAAAAAAAAAATGCTTTAGTTTCTGTTGGGTTTCTTGACTCCTCCATTCTGATGGGAATAAAAATCACTGTAGTACCATGAACATATATGTATGATGGATGGAAATTTGAGGAGAAGCCAGAAAGCTTCCCCACATCACACTCCAGGATACTGTACCACAGTCACCAGCAGAAAACAAAGTTACACTTAAGTAGGAGTTAGGACTTAGGCTTCACCCAAAAGGGACTGAAGTATAGGGATTGGAAGCAGCTGGAATAAGAAAAAGGCCCCATGCACTGGAATCCAGCTGGGCTGGTTCAATCCTAACTGCTGCCACTCATGGGCAGAGTGACCCAAGGTGAGTCCCTTTATCTCTATGGGCTTTGTTTTCTCATTTGTAAAATAGACACACTCATGGAAGGATTAAGCAAATGGCTGACTACAACAGCTAAGCCAGGTCTCCAGCACACAGGAGGCCCACCACAAATGGCAATGCCATTCCACATCAGGGAAAGGCATAGAGTCACCTGTGGAGACTGGACTGAGGAGGCAGAAAAGTCCTGAGTAGTTAGCATTGGTTACCCTGTGCATCTGTGATTAACTGTCAGCCCTTGGCCAGTTGACCTTCTCATGAGGACTCAGCCACTTACCTCTCCGAGTGATGGGTCCCAAATCGAGAACCTTGGCTAGGTCAAGGGCCAGTACATCACTGCGAAGTTGATTTCTTGAACAAGACTGTGAAGGAAAAGAACTATTATTATATAACAAGAGATACGTGCAACTGATCTATCTTGATCCATCCATCCATGAATGCATCCATCTATCCATCCACCTATCCACCCATCCATCTATCCATCTTTCGAATAAATACATATGGAGACCCTGTCAGGTGCTGTATCCCTGCCACAGGCAGCTCAGGGCTAAACACTGGGCCCTTTCTTCCACATGATGGTAGTACTTTTTTTCTGATGCTGTACTTTTTTCTTAATCAAGAGAATTCACCTGTCATGTCAAACAAATCTGGGTTTGAAATCTAATCTCAGCTCTCTTTTAGTCTTGTAGTTTGGGATAAATGATTTTGCTGCTGTATGATGATGAAATAGGATGTACCTGGTTTTGAAGACTAGAACAAAGAGAGTCGGTGCCTGGGACACTGCGCGGCAGGGAGTACCAGCCTTTGGGCTGGACCCTGGCTGCACAGGTGCCCAGCAGGTGGGCAGTCGGCACCCGGGAAGCCACTCGGTGGCATGCGCTGGCACACGCCAGCCCTCAGGCAAGCCACCACTGCCACGTGGCCGAGAACTATCATGGTACAGAAAAGCAATGACACAAATGGCCCACCATGCACCAACCATGGAGGCCCACCCAGGGACGTGCGTGAATCATCCCAACATGGAGAAACCACTGGGAATACATGCCACACAACAGGCCTCTCTTGCCCCTGCCATTGAGAACCAGAAAGGTCCAGAGTCAGTGGAGGAGCAGCTGCTGAACAAGGGCTCAGAGAACAAGAGAACACAGGCTATGCCCAAAGACTCAGAGGTCTAGTTGACCAGGGTCATGAGAGCCGTTTGGAAGCTGGAAACCAGGAGAACCTTGCGCAATACCTGGGGAGATCCCCTGGAAGCCATTCTTCCCCTGACAGTACAGGCTGCAGTGGAGGAGCATGTGGAGCTCCGGAGAGGTCTGCACCAAGATTCCTGCTGCCTGTGCTGACGGTTGGGGAGAGGACACTAAGTGGTTGCAGAGTCCCAATGCACTGGGAGGCTGGAAAGAAAAAGTTACCAAAAAATGGCTTTTGCTCCAGATGGCTCACTTGAGATGTTAGTAAGAATTGCCTCCTCAGTATTCTATAGCCGTGACAAGGAGGAGGCCAAGGAGAGAAAACAAAGAGATCAAGAAAAAGCAGCTGCTTTTGCTGCAGCACTAAGAGAAACAGACCCTAAGTCCGATTCTTGGGGCCCCAAGAAGAATGCAAGAACTGCATTCATCTGCTACCACTGTTAAAAACCAGGCCACCTCAAGCAGACTGCCCTAAGAAGTCCCCTGGGCCATGCCCTGAATACAAATGTGACCACTGGAGATTGGTCTGCCCTCTGAAGCGGAGGCCCCAGAGCTCAGACCCATCCTACCAGTTAGTCTAACAGAAATGAGGAGGCCCAGGGCATACTCTGCCTTCTCCCTCTGGCCAGACTGTCATCTCCATGGAGGAGCCCCAGGTAATCATGACTATAGAGGAAAAAGAAAACAGCCTGTCACTAGACACAGGTGCAAGTCTCTTGGTCCTTTTTTTCAATCCTGGCCTTCCTTTCAGCTGTCACACCTCAGTGAAAGGAGTCACTGGTGAGGAGGTAATACGCTATTTTTCACAATCATTAGGCTGTAACTACTTGTTAGATCTTTCTTGGGTATCTCTGTCTTCCTGAGAAAACACTTTGAAGATACCATCATGTATTACAGCAGCCATTGATATTTTCCTATTAATCTGTCCATAACTCTGTAATGTTTGTATTGTTCCTATGCTATTTTGTAAATGGATATATGTTTATTACTATGTGTTTCCTACAACAACCATTGAGAATAGTCAATGAATATTCAATTGGTCACTCATGTATAGCTCCATTTATTTTCTTTAGATGCCACTTTGAAGATACCAAAGTGTAGTACAACAACCATTGATAATAACCTACCACTTTTGTCTGTAACTCACTATTATTTGTCTATTTGTTTTCCTGAGAAACTATCTTGTAGCTAACAATATGTAAAACAACAAACATTGGTAATTTCCTACCACTTTTTCTGTAATTCAGTAAGCCCCCCTATTACTATGTTATCCTTCCTTTGTTCTTTAAATAAAAAAAAAAACCTACAAAGACTAGCACAAAGAATGTGTGCAATATATAGGCACATAGTAAACACTCAGCAGATGCCAACTCTTCAAGGCAATGCCCAATGGAGATAAGAATATGGCCACTAGAGTCATGGGTCAGCTGGGGTGCATCCCAGGTCTGATATTTTTTTAATTTATTTTTGTTTTAGCACTGGGTATTGAACCCAGGGTTTGCATATGCTAGGCAAGTGATCTACCACTGATCAACCCCTCTTTTTGAGACAATGTCTCACTAATTTGTCCAAGATGGCCTTGAACTTGTGATTCTCCTGCCTCAGCCTCCCAAGTAGATAGGATTTAGAGAGGTGTGCCACAATGCCCTGTTCCAGCCCTAATACTTTCTAGCTGTGCATGGTCCTTGAGCAAAGGGCTTCTCTAAGCCTCATTTTTTAAATTGTACAATGAAGTCAATACAAAAATCTATTTAAAGGGTTGTTGCAAGAGTTCAATTAGATAAGGCATGAAAAAGTTTTGGCAGGCTACTTAGCAGAGTAAGCACTGAACAAGTCAACTATGGGATGCATATTTCTTATCTGAAATGCTTGGATGCAGAAGTATTCTTCATTTGGGAGTTTTTCTGATTTTGAAATGTTCAGAGAGACTTTATTGGTTGAACATCCATAACCTGAAAATCTGAAACCTGAACCACTCAAAAATCTAAAAATTTGAACATCATGTTGACCCACAAAAAGCTTTGGACTGCAGATCATTTTGTATTTCAGATTTTTGCATGAGGGATGCTCAACCTGTATTATTATAATCATTCAAAATATGTCTTGTGTCAAGGAAAATCGATCTGCCTCCTGGGGACAGAATAATTGCTGTGAGTGGGCTTTCAAGATCCTTAAAGTCTATCTATCTACTCATTCTTCCTTCTGCCCTCTCTCCCTTTCTCCTTCACATTCAGCCACTCATCTATTTTTTGATCTCTTCAGATATCTATCCAACTAATCTACCTTTTCCCATCTATTCATCCATCCGCCCATCCATCCATCCATTCATCCACCTTCCCAATAGATCGATATGGAGAGGCTGTTGGTTGCCAGGCTTCATGCCAGACTCTGAATTGTCCAGTTCGAAAAGACACTCACTGGTTGGCACTGTTCATTAAGGGAGTCACAGAGATGAACCTCACAATGCAGGAAAACTAGGTCATAATTTCCAGCAAACTTGAACATCTGAACTGAGAACCGGCTCTCTGAAGACACCCCATTCTCCTCCACAGAAATAGTGGAATCATGTTGATTCGGACAGCTGGAAGGTGGAAAAGGGCAAGCATTGAAGAAAGTTCCACAGCCCACCCCAGTTCCTCCATCATGGCACCACAGACTTTCTATTCCTCTGTTTGTTCCTTAAGTTCACATGCTGTAAATTATTTGGGACACAGTCTATGAATGAGAAAGACTGAATTTACATCCAACACAACCCAATTTCTAGCTAAATGATCCTAGGTTACTTAACCTTAGTAAGCCTCAATGTTCTTATGGAAAGGTGGAAAAAATAATATCCGCCTCACAGAGTGGAAGGGAATAGATAGATGATAGATAGATAGATAGATAGATAGATAGATAGATAGATAGACAGATACATACATACATACATACGTACATACATACATAGGAAAATAGATAGGTAGATAGATAGATAGATAGATAGATAGATAGATTGATAGATTGCTTAGCACAAAGCTTGGGACACAGCTAAGCTCAAGATAAATATCACCAAATAGTATTACTATACTTTGAAACATGATCTAGAGTTATGTATTTTCCTTTGTCTTTGTCAATTAATGTTATGGAATATTTTGTCCTATAATATTTGTCATGTCTTTTTCATGTTGATCAATGTTACCATCTGCATGATAGTCTATCATTGCTTAATTTATCCCCTATTTTTTGAACAGTGAGCCCACTGCCAACATTATAGAGAATACCAAAATGGAAAACAATTGACATTCCTTTATTCTGTCCATCTATTTTGTATTCATAATTAATGCTAAAATATCAGGAGTTAGATTCCTGGGTCAGAGAATGTGGTTACCATATGTAATACTGAATTTTTTCCCTAAAAGGCAAATCAGTATACACAATCACCAGATATGAATGAGATGACTATTCTCCCCCAAACTTTGTAAAGCCCAAAAAAGCATATGAAAGTCACCTGATACCTGTTTCTGATGATGAAGTACTTCACAGGGTCATCCTTGTGTTCAGAGGGGGTGGCATAGCAATTCCTCAATAACAGGTTAAATCGGGAGGTGTCTCCTCTCTCCAAGATGGCACCCACATAGAGCATGGATTCCACTGACAGCACGACTACATCCCCTTCATAGGGATTTCTGTAGCTCTGGTCTTGGAAGAGGGCCACTCTGACTGTGAATTCTCCCTTCCCACCCAAGCTGATGTTCAGGGAACTGAGACAAGGAGAACAACAGCAGAAACATCAGGTTTTGACTGAGAGAGCAATATAAATCAACCCCTGTACTTGTACAAAATTATAGAAAAAAAGCACATAATTGACCTCTAAATAAACCATTCAACCATCCATTTAAGTGGAGTGTTTACTAGCTTCTAGGCACTAAAGTTGACACATGAACAAGTCTGTCTCCAGTATTTGCACTGATTCTCCCTGCACTAACTTTTATTCCTTATATACACTAATCTTTATTCCTTACATTCACTTAGTTTATGTTTCGGACCATGTATCACTCACTTAAGAAAAAAGGGTTCGTGTACTCTGTCATCTTGTTAGAGGATGAGATTTGGGATCAGTTCTGTGGGTTCACAATTTTTATCCTTAGTTTCATCCCTGTGCTCACAATCTTCAGTTAAACAGTATTTTAACAGAAAAATTGTGTGTGCATGTGTGTGTGTGTGTGGTGCTAGAGATTGAACTCAGGGCCTTCCATGTGCTAGGCAAGTGCTGTACCACTGAGCTGCACCCTCAGCCTCCATTTTGATTCTTTATGAACCATAGGTCCCAATACAGTATAGTTTGAAAACCACAAAACTTGAAAATTTCTAACCCTTCTTATTCTTCCACTCTGTGAATCTAGGAAATTATGAAGGAATGGGACATGCAGTCTGGATTTCTAGACTTCTAACAGCTCAGGAAATTCCACAACAAGTATAGAAATATAAAAAATTTGATTTAACAGGGCCCTTCTCCAGATAAAGAATTACAGCAATGAAAAAAACAGACAACAACTCTGCCTAGATAGAATCCCATACAAATTGCTTTGGTATGGACCAAGGGACTGTTTATCCAAACAAAGGCAGCTTCAGTTCAAATCTCAAATCAGCAGTGAAGTCTTCTGTTCTCTACCATCCCATCCACAAGGCTTAGGTCCAGACCCCATTTTCTGCTCCCAAACACCCCATGATTCTCCTGCATTGAGTTTATCTCACTTGTAAGAAACTGTTGATATAATTATAATTATCTGTTCAGTGCCTTTCTTCCACAAGGAGAATACTTTCTTCAGGTTATGGTTCCTGGGCATATTTACAAGCACCATTTCCTGCTGCAGCATTGCTTCATAATAATAATCTTTAATATGTGTGGAATATTCCATAATATAAAATCAACAAATATTTGTGGAATGAATGACTGAATAAATGCAAGTTCCGAAAAGGTGTTGCTAGCATTGTGTGGACACCATAAACTATGCCAGAAGTGAGTGTGTCAAAAGTCAAGGTTATGAGTCAAAGGGCAAGGGTCAGTGCCATACCTTACAATAGGCTGAAGTGCAGTCTGGAGGCTGACCTTCATGTCCAGGGGGTAGGCACACTGGAATTTGATGTTGATGAGCATGTCTCTGATGATGAAATCCGTGGCCAAGGACAAGGTGTTTTTGTAGATGGCATGGGTTCCATTTTTCTTTGGAATAAAAATGGAGTCACATATACATCTGCATGGGTGTGTGTAGGTCTATCTCTAACTCAGATCTATCTGATTCCAGAGTCAGTGTTATCAGCCATGCAGCTATCCTGCCTTCTGACCTCAAGGAAGTAAAGGGGCCTCTTCCTCCTTTCCCTGTGGCACTGACATTTTACGTGAAGAGGAATGAGGAGCTTAGACTAAAAACTAGAGCAATGTATGACTAACCCTGGCAAGAGTCAAGGACCAACATGAATGAACCTCTGTGTACCTGTCCCATGCCAGCCTTAATTAAAATAATCATAGTTAGGACTTACATTGACTAAGTTCAGGTGGCCACCTGACCTAAGCTCTTTACATGGACCAAGATGTATGACCTCACATAACCTAGAGGGCTCACAGAGGCTAAGTTTCTTGCCCAAAATCTCATAATTAGTAAAGTGGGTCCTATCGCCTGAGACACACCAATTTACCTCCAGAATGTTCCCACAGGCACTAGCCTGGACAGGGCTGGTCACAGATATCCAGTTGCCATCCTCTCTTTGCAAGATGCTGCTGCAGTTCCGATCACTCAGGTAGGCTAACACCACCTCCCCAAAACCCAGACTTCCCAGCAAACACTTGTCCATCTTCACCTCGATCTCACTGGCCCCACAGTCCAACTGAGGCTGCAGACTTTGAATATCTGGAAAGTGGAGAGGGAGCTTGGTAGAGTGGACAGAGATCCAGAAGCTGTGAGCAGAGGTCACTATGCTCACCAGGAGGTTGGGTAGACTAGAAGGATCCTGAGACCCAGGTGGGATTCACACTGAGCCTGGCAAAGACCTCTGGTCCAAGATTTCCAAGCATTCTGTTTGCAGGCTTGGCTGAGTTCCCCTTGGGGACTGGGATCTTTGGAGAAGCAAAACGATTCTGCATTCCAAACTAGCATCAAAGCTAGATACACTCTACTTTGTGAAACCAGCCATTGATTGATTGATGGATTCATTCATTCCACAAATATTTCTTGAGCGTCTACTATCTGAGTTCTGCCCCAGGAATCTGCCTTTTTCCCAAACATGGAGATTCTAGGTATTTGTGTAACTCTCACACTTGTAGAGTTCCCATCTTCAATACTTTTGTCAATACTAGGTTAAGCTAGATTAATAATACTAGTTAGGTTAATAATAACTAGGTTAATAATACTAACACTAGGTTAATCTTCAATACTAGGTTAAGCTTGCCCATGCCAGAACCAGTTCCTGAGGTTATAGTCCAGAAATTTCTTCCAACTCTGGCATCTCCTGCATACAAACCCTTTAGCCTTAAAGCAAAGATATAGCAGCACCCAGAGTTTCCCCACTATTTCAGCACCACACCCCTGACTTCATCCACACCTTTTCCTGACCCTCCAAAGCTCCCTCCTCCTTCCCTGCCAACCCAGGACAGCAGCCACCATCCCTGGGAGCTGCTCACCAGAGCCACTGAAGTTCTGTTTGCAGAAACAGCCCCAGATGCCGTCTTCAACACGGCACTCTTCCTGAGGACGGCAGGCATTCTCACACATGTCCAGGGTGGTGGAAGGGTCTAGGAGATGGAGAATAGTAGAAAAGGTTCAGGATGCAGAGCAAGGTAGATCTGAGGCCCCCAAGTTCAACCCCTCATTCCAGCAGTACACTGGAGTCTTGCTAACAATGTGAGATTGGTAGGTTTCCTGATCCTCCATCCAGTGGTGTGACAGGGATGCTGAAACTGCCATCAGATCACTTAGTACAGGCCAGGCACTGTAACTGTCCATATGTTAGCTCGCTCATTCCTCATGGTGACAATGTGAGACAGGGCAGCAGGATAGCTGAGTTCATTGATGCCTGGCTAGCAAGCTTGGGTTCAAATTTCAGCTCTGTGATACTGGGTGAGGAGTGTCCCAGACCCATAATCTGGGTAACAGAGCACTTATTTAATGGAGCTACTGGGAGGAATCAACATGTTAATACACTTAATGTCATCAGGATACCAGTGGGTATGTTGTGAATGCTATGCAGTCGCTGTTACTTTGCTATTATCCAGTTTCTCAGATCAGAAAACTGAGGCTCTGAGAGATAAAGTGTGCAAATGAAAACAAAATTTGAATGAGTCTAACTTCTTAATATGCCGTATGCACAAATCAGGAGATTTTACTCTTGAATCATAATTTCTGGCTTCACTCAAAGTGCTGGAAGGGCTGGTAACTGTCAGGATGCTCTCCTACCTGCTAAGCACTGGGAGAGCTGAGTGGAAGCTGCTGTAGCTGCTTGGTCTCCTATTAACCAGCTCTCCTTGCTCTATGAGCCCCAGGCACCCATCGGCTGCCCTTCCGGCAGATGCTACTCACCTGTGCAGTATCTCAGATTGCACGTTGGGGTGGACTCCAGCTTATACACGTGGTACCCACCCTGGCAGGCCTTCACCAGCACATTGGTGTTCCAGAAACAGCAACTTCCACTCCAGTGGGCACAAGCAGTGCGCTGGACGATACCATCACCAAGAAGCGGGTGGGTCCCATTCAGCCACATGGGTGCATCTGTCTGGCACTGGTACACAGGGACACAGCTCTCAGACATCCTCACCCCTCCTTCACCCACAAAGCGGTACCAGCCACCCAAGTTATTATCACAGGTCCTGTCTGCCTCTGTATTCTCTATGCTTCGGGAGGGGTCATCCAGAACAGTGTGATTCTGGCAGGGGTCAAAACAGATCTCAGCCTCTGGGGTGCCAGGTTCTCCACAGGCCAGGTCTTGCCCATAGGAACTGGCTTCTCTGGTGTAACCTGTGAAAGGAACAGAGCATGCTTGCGTTTCCTGAGCAACTCCAGAGTCTACAGGATTTTAATTCCCCCCGTACACTCTCTTTTTCATGTGCTAAGGACCTTGATTGAAACCAAAAAGCATACACTTTATGAATGAAACATCAAACATCATCACCTTGGGGGTCAGAATAATCGGAGAGAACTTTCTGTGGTACTTTATAGACATTAAGAATATTTGGGCCACCGTCCTGCACAAACCCCATTGCCCCACCCAGAGTTACAGAGAGGTTTCTGTAGGGCTGCCCCAGGCATCCCTGCTTGTCCAATATTTGTTTTCCACATAATCATAATGCAGACTCACTGAGGGTGGACCTCCAATATCAAAAGGAAAAAAATAAAAATGAAATTTGTGATAGTGCTCACTTCAGCCCCACATATATTGAAATTAAAGTTGTTGGGAGTCCATATCCCCAAAGTATTCATAAAATTGTACAGTTTTTAGTTTCTTTTTTTCTTTTTTAAAATTTTATGGAAAAAAGGTAAAATAAAATTTCATAAGATAACAGGAGAATAACAACAGTTACTACATCACATATTGTTATCTTTAAAGTAGTTACTCATAGTAAAAGATATAGGCATAAAAATTCTCCAATCGATATTAGCACAGACCTTTCCTTTCTATGAATTAAGAGACACTAATAGTATAGCTGACTTCATTTTTCTCCCTTTTCCCTTCCTTCCCTCTTTCCCCCATCCTAGTTCCTTTTTCCTTTTAAACAGTTTCTACCTATTTCACAATATATGTTGTACATTTTAGACCTTATTTACCCTTTCAGTTTCTCACACCAGGGAGACAATATGATGCTTACACATGTGAGTCTGATTTATTTCACTTACGAGTATGGCCTCAATTTGCATCCATTTACGTATAAAAGTTTCAAGTTTATCTTTCTTTATGGCTGAACAGTAATCCATTGTATAAAAATACCACCTCTTTTTAAACCATTCCTTGGTTGATGGGCATTTGGATTGTTTCCAATATTTGGCTATTACAGACTGTGCCACTGTAAACACAGGTGTGCATATGTCGCTGTGGTGTGATGTTTTTGATTCTTTTGGGAAGATACCAAGAAGGAGAATAGCTGAGTCAAATGGAATCTCTCGTCCTAGTTTTGTCTTTTCTTTGAGGAATCTCCACCCTGATTTCCACAGTGGTTACACCAGTCTCCACTTCCACCAACAGCAGAGAAGGGTTCCTTTTTTCCCACAGCCCCGCCAGCATTTGCTATTGGTTGATTTCTTGATGACAGCCACTCTTTCTGGAGTAAAAGTGAATCTCAATGTTATTTTAATTTTTGTCTCGCAAATGACCAATGGTATTGAACACTTTTTCATATATTTATTTGCCACTTGTATTTCTTCATCTGAGAAATGTATATTCATCTCAGATGTCCATTTTTGGATGGGAGTCTTTGAATTTGGGGGATCTGGGTTTCTTCAATTCTTTGTTTTAGATGTAAGTTCTTTGTCTGAGGGACAATTTGCTAAAATTTGTTTCCACTCTGTAGGTTGTCTTTTCACTCTGTTGGTGATTTTTGATTTGCAAAAGCTTTTTAATAAGATGAGATCCCAGTTGTCGATTCATTGAAGTATTTCCTGTGCAGTGTGGGTTTTTTTCTGTTGAGTACTCTGATTAAACATGATTGCTTTGTACAGAAAGGATAAACATGGGTTCACTTTTTGCATTGTCTCTTTTTTCTTTTTTCATTTTAATGTAACACACTATTTATTTATATTAATAAAGAAAATATAAAAAACACTCTTCTTAAGTCTATGAAAAAAAATAAGATTTAGAGAATAGAGAACAATAATAGTTAACATATTGTGTATAATGATCTTAAAAGAGTGTTCAAAATGTTCCTGAGAGTATAAGTCATAGATAAAGAAAAAAGACTCTCTTACAAAGAAGAAACTAACAAATAGGACAAAACTTTTTTTCGATGAAGAAAGAGAAACTAGTAGTATGAATGAAACAAATTAGCATACATCTTAAAATATTGTTGTTTTACATTCTTATGATTCATGTCAGAGGGACTCCTTAGAAGAAGAGATACTCAAGCTTTTCTCACACATGTATTTGTTTTAAGAAAAGAAACCACTATCCTTGTTGTTCTTGGATCCTTTCCTGCATGCTCTGTATTTTCCCATCAGAGAACTCATTGGGCTGAGTTCTCTGCCCCGTGCCCGCTCCGTGAGGCTGAGTTGCACTCCAGTTTGGAGCCTGAGATTCTTTCTACAAGTATTTCACTTGCCTGATTCCTACAGAGATGAGTGCTGATGATGAGTCTCAGAAGAGCTCAGTCCTCTGCCATGGTGTGGAGCCAGCAGGCATAGAGCTGGATTGAAAGCCAGCCTGCCCAGCAGTCAGTTTTACCCTTCATCCCTTCCTTACATCCCTACCTTATCATACCTCATCTCCCCTGAATTCTTTTCTGAGAAAAAGGAAGATCAGCAATCAGAAATGGTCCTATCAGAGACCAGAGACATGAATAAGTCTAGCAAATGAGCAAAGTGATAACAGGAGAAAATTGGTAGCACAAGGCGACAGATGATTTAGTTCCTCATTTTCCCTTCCCTGCTTTCTGCTCATCCCCAGACAAGCATGGGGAGCTATTCTGACTGGCTGTCTTTCCTTTCAGGCAACTTACCTGTTTGGCTCTGTGACACTAATTTGATTCCCTTTTCTTGTATCACGTTCCCTTTGACCACCAACTCTGAGTCTTTGCGTTAGACCCACCTGTTCCTTTCGCTGACACAAACTGCTGTTTCTGGATGCCCTGCTCACTCCCCAGGTCCTGCTGGCCACCTGTGATGCCAGGTGAGCAGAGTACTCACCTTGCTGTACGGTCAGTGCCAGGACCAGAATGCAAGGGGCCAAGGTCAGCCACAGGAGATCACGGCCTACCATCCTTCCTGCGAGGTGAGGCACACACCTTCACTCCACAGTGTGCACACTGGCCATGCAGCTGCAGGAGAAGCAAGGCCCATGTAAGGTCGAGGCACCCTTGCATGCAGGAGCAAGACAGGAGCTCACAGCAGTTCACACCTAAGGTAGGACACAATTTGCTCTAAGCTCTGTCCATACTTTCTCTCATTTAAGGTTCCAAACCATCCTACAGGGAAGGTGATATTACTGACCTCTATTACAAAAGAAGCATCTGAGATTCAGGAGACATTAATCCAAGCAATATGCTGTAAACCTCTCCCATGTTAAGTAGCTTGGTGATGGCCATGATCTCAGAAACAAAGCTGCTGGCTTCCTTCACAAAGTGCTAGATAGTTTCCAAGCAGGAGGGCGTTGCAGAAATGGGGTGGGATGACAGGAGTAGGGAATTTAACAAGGGGATGAAGTTGATAGGAAGCTAAGAGCTGCCAGTCTTATGGAATGTCCTAGAGAAGTCTCAGGATGGTCCCTGTTTAGGATGAAGTAGAAGCTGCCTGGAAATTGATGGAGGCAGAGCAGTATAGAGCCTGTTAATGCCTACAGACAGAAATAATGACTTCCTGTCTCTGTTTTATGTGTCAGGTCCTGCTAAGAGCTCCCAAAAGGTTCTCTACACATGTAGATAAAGGTGGAACCGCATCACACTGAGCCCTGTGATCCTTGCTCTTAACACGGAATCTGGCACACAAGAGCTGCCTGGGAAAGATGTAAAGAATGATTGAATGAATAAATGAGTGGATAGGTAGAAAAGAAAGAGTTTTGAAAAGCCTGCCAGCACTCAAATGACACTCTTCTGGGAAGAGTCTTCTGGGAAACTCTCCTTGAGAAAGCAGCTCTTGGGATGATTTCTTGCTGCCCCCGAGAGACTTTCACAGGAGAGAGTCTATTTCTAGAAGGGATATCATGGCTACACTCTGAAAGGGTCGGGGGCATGGGTCTGTAATTATAGGAGATTTGGCCCCAGATGAACATCTGTCTTTCTGGAGGGAAGGGTGAAGGCGACATCTGCAGGCTTGGAGCAGACAGCCAGTGGCTGGAATTATGCTTGCTCTGGACATAGAGAGATTTCGAGAGCACTTAACGATAGCTAAGGTCCAGGTTTCTTGCTAGGATTCTGAAAGTTCCCAGAAACAAGCAACCCTAGCACTTGCAGTGGGTCAAGAGAGTGAATCAGGGTACTCAAGGAAAGCTTGCTGGGCCACAGAGCAGGACTTACCTTTGGGAGAGAACCCAGAACCTTCCTCCTCCTCCAGCTGACTATGGGAATGCAGCCTGCTGTGGATTGTTTTTTATTGCTATCTCCTACCCATGTGTCTCTCCAGGATTGGTGCATAGGTAGGACTGGCCTTAGTTTCCCAGGCACACATTGGACGTAGGTAAGATAAGTGATTTCCCGAAAGGGATGGTGAAAAAAAAAAAGTGCCTTTGCCCTTTCTCCCACGATATAAACAAGTCTTTCCTTCATACAAATGTTTCTCTATAAACAATTGCAATATGTACTGAATGGTGACTACCCTGAGCACTGTCAAGCTCTTTGCAACCATTACTTCTCACATTTAATCCTTAAAATAAACCCATAAAGCTGGTGCCATGTTTATTCCCAGAAACCAAACACTAATGAAAAGGAAGTTTAATACTCAAAGGAAAGTGGAGAGAAATCAAAACAGGCTCTTGTTTGCAGAATGGATTTCCAATGTACCTTGTGCTCCTAGCTAATTACCTTGGAGCACTCCTGCATCAAGCAGCTTGGGGCCCATGACAGCAGGGTGAAAAATAAATAAAGAGAGGATATTTCCAATTCCTGAGCCTTACATTCTACTTAACTGTAGAGATTTAATGCTGAGGCAGTCTGGAATTGAGAACTTGTCAGGGTGACTCAGAATGGAGAAGACCACACCAGGCTTGTGGACAGAATCAGCGTTAGCACTGTCTCTTCCCTGATCCATTCCAACATGTGAGCTACTCGAGACATGGGAAGGCACAGAATAGAGAAGAGGCTGGAGAAGATCTTGGATCATTAAACTCCAGGCTTGTACGGGGCTTCCATGACATGATGGAAATCATGGGGTTAATAAAACAGTCGATGCTTTTGCAGAACAAGTGACCCCTGTCTTTCCTCTGTTGCTCTGGGATTCTTTGAGGAGCCAAGGTTACTAGAGATGAGGAGTGTAGGGGATCTGTGGTATTGTTCCCTAACACCTTCTATCAAAACTTCAATTTGGACAAAGAAAAAATGCTACTCTGGGTGCAGATGGGGAAAAATCCCCCCAAAGGTGGAACTCACAGGAACTGGTTCAACTACATAGCCAGCTACCTCATTCAGTTTAGCCAGACACTCGCCCCAGTCTCGCCAGTGGTCCTGTCTCACTTTCTCCATCCTTATAAACCATGTCTGGAGCAACTGTCACCCCTCACCCCATCATTCCTGGTTGATATCCTGAATCCACAGCACCTGACTTTGATCCGTCTCCTATTACTGTATAAATATTTGCCTCCACTTCTCTCTGCCCTCCTCCTGGTTCTCTTCATCCTCATCCTCTTCCCCCTCTTCCTACTCCTCTTCATTTTTGTCCTCCCTCTCCTCATTCTCCTCCTCCTCTTATTCCTCCTCTTGACTGTGCTGGGGATCAAACTCAGGGCCACTTGCATGCCAGGAAAGCACTGTATCACTGTTATATCTCCAGCCCCATCAGTCCCCCATCCAACGTATGATGAACTCCTCCCCTTTTGCTCTTCTTTTTTAAAGATTTGTTGTATTAAGTCATTTAAGCTGAAAGATAACATTGCATTTTTATCACATTCAACATGATGTGTTAAAATACATATACACTGGGGTGGTTAGATCTAGCTAATAAGCAAATGCATGCCCTCCCATAGTTACGTTTTTTTATTATTTTACTGAGACTATATAACAAGTATGAGCTTTAATTTCTTTGAGTTTCCAAGGTATCCTTTATTGATGTGAAGCCAAAACAAGGTAATATAATTTTCTGGTCTGCCAATTAACTACCTGGGAAAACAAAGACTCTTCTGTTGCAATTTCTTTACTGAGGGGAAAAAAGGGAAATAGTTTAGCTGATGTGTCAGGTGACTTTAAGTAGTCATTCTACATAGAAAGATCAAAGGGGGATTCACCAACATGATCGAAAATTAAGGCTTTCAACATCTACCTCTTTGTATTAGTGGATGATCTTTTAGTGAAATCATGAAGATATTTTTCTCCCTTAATAAAGAACAAAGAATATAAATGGCTGAAAGATATTTCCTTGCTTTTCAATTTTATCAGGTTTTTCAGAAGCTGTTAGGGGCTGGGGATTTAGCTCAGCGGCACAGTGCCTGCCCAAGCAAGCGCAAGGTCGTGAGTTCGATTCCCAGTACCAGGAAAAAGCAAAAAAAAGGCAGAAGCTGTAACAATATTACTGACTTTTTACTTATCTGATAAAAATTAAAGAACTATTTTTGTTTTGGTACTCTCAAGTTGCTTTTTAAATTTTTCAAAAAAACAATATATTGTCATTCACTGTAGTCACTGTATAGTCTCTTGAAATTTATTTCTCCCATGTAACTAATTGATTATACATCTTTGACCAACAGTGAGGTTTCTACCTTCCCCCAGCTAGAATAGCGCTTAGCAAAGAGAAATGTTGATGAGAATATGGAGAAAAGAGAACTTTTACCTACTGTTGGTAGGAATGTAAATTAATTCAGCTATTATGGTAAATAATATGGAGGTGCCTCTAAAAATTACAAATAGAACTATCGCCTGATGCAGCCATCCCACTCCTGGGTATGTATCTAAAGGATATGCAATCAGTGTGCTGACGAGATGTCTGCACCCCCATATTTACTGCAGCGTGCTTCCGAATAGCCAGGGTGTGGAAGTGACCTAAGTGGCCATCATCAGATGAATGGACAGAGCACATGTGGCACATACACACAGTGCAGTACTATTCATCCTTGGAAAAGAAATTCTGTCATTTGAGAATATGGATGAACTAAGCCAGGCCCAAAATGACAAGTATTACATGATCTCACTTGTGTGTGGAAGCTAAAAACATGGATCTCATAGAAGCAGAGTAGAATAGTGGTTACCAGGGCCTGGGGTGGCTGTGGGGAGGTTAGGATAGGGAGATGTTGGCCAAAGCGTCTTCCTTTGCTCTAACCCAGCTCATCCTCCCTCTTCAGACTCCTCCATGCTGATATTAAGCCCTATGGCTGGGACTGGGGATTTAGCTCAGCGGCAAAGCACCTGCCTGGCAAGTGCAAGGTCGTGAGTTTGATTCCTGGTACCAGAAGCAAAACAAACAAACAAAATAAACCCTATGGCTAAAACTTTCCTCTCACGATCATTTCATAGATGAGTTCAATGGTCATTTATTCCTATCCCTTGTCATTGGATTTGTTTGCTGCTTCTTCTGGGTACCCTGACTTCTTTCCTTTAAGAATCTTCTATACCTATCAGGATATTCCTGTGGACACCATGGGATAGACGCCCTTTCTCCAGCCTTCCCTAAACATGCTGGTAGGTAGGTCCCATTCCTTCTGTCCATCCTTATCCTCCCCCTGGGAGGTGTCAAGCTCTGTGATTGTTTCACCCCCAGGCTGGTGTGTTCCCAGTCTGCTCCCTCAGCTTGAACTCCTCTCCCAAACTTCAGGTCTGCTCACCGTATCACTCACTGGGCCTCTCTGCTTGGAATGCGCTGCACCGGCCTCTCCAACTCAGCAGCTCCAAGTCCAAGTTTGTCAATACCTGGACATCCCCTCCTCACCCCGCCCACTGTCTACCATAATCAGAAGCACCACTGCCCACCCAGTGCCCACACTGGGAACTGGCCTCCTTCCTTTCCCTCATTTCCAGTACGCACCAAATCTTGCCTTTCCACATTTCAAATGTTTCTTGAATCTATCCTTCCTTCTCTGTCTGTACTTTGCCATCTTCAGTCCGGCCACCATCTCTCATGACAGTGACTTTCACAGCTGTTTTGTGAGTCTCTCTGTGCTCATTTTTATCTGCTTCCTTCTACAGTCTCCCCTGCAAGCAGATGCCACAGTGCCATCTCTGTATTACCCTCCATGCTCAGCACTCCATGCTCCCTGGGATCTGACCGTGATACCAGCTCCCACCTCACCTACAACTTCTCCACTGCCCTTCCTTTGCTCCAGATGGAGCTTTCCTATGGTTCTCTGACCCTCCACTCATGCCTTCGTTTATGTTCCCCCCGCCCTAACCACCCTATGCCCCACAGCCTTAACACCTCTTCCAGGAAGCCTTTCTTAAATCCATCATCTGGCAGACGCTCCTCTCCTCTGCTCTAGACCTCTGGGAGCTGATTCCATCATACTCAGTTCCTCGGTAACTTATCTGTCTCCCTCTGGAGTTGTAAGATCTTTGTGGATGGAGATCCTCCTATCTGTGCAGTTCTAGCCAGCACCATGAAAGTACTTGTTGAATAAATGAATATACTTGCACATATATATGCACGCTTCTCTCTCCAGTGAGTAATGCCCCAAACATATGACCGTCCAAGGATTTGTCAGCCTTTTGTGTGGAAGACACAAAACCCTGCCTCAGAGCTTTTGCACTTGCTTTTCCCATTGCCTTCCAGATATCCCCAGGTCAGCCTCATCAGAGAGACCTTGTCTGTTCACCCCACATAAAATAATGCTCCTCTGCTATATCCCCCTTTCTTTATTTTTTTCTTCCTCCATAGTACCTGCCACCATCTATCACATTTCACGTAGCTATTGTTCAAATGTATGCCCTTTCATAATCAGTCCCTGATGAGCAAGGGTTCTGTCTTGATTACTTGACATTCCTTGGTACCTATACAGCGCCTGGCTTTGAATTTATGCTCCAAATATTGTCGGATATATGAGCTGAATAACTAACTGATAGAAATCAGAAAGGAAAGGAAAACATCAGGAACAAAAGGGACAAAAGAATGAATTCTGATGTGCTTTCTTTGCCCTCCCCTCATTTCTGGGCCTTGTTTTTATTTTTCTTGGCTCTGATTTTTCCCTGGTGTTCTGCTGTACCCGAGTCAAAGTACAGCTAAACCTGCACGTAGCTGGTGAGGCCCAACTGACACAGACTGGCATGAGTCCTACGTAAAGGCAGCAGGTGTGAACACTTGGTGTAAGTCTGCGCGTGATAAGAGGTCCCCTATCAGAAGACATGCTGTCCCAGCAGCCCTCATTTACAGATACACACGTGTTTCCCTGGAGTCCCACCGGCCTTGGCCCTGCTGGAAAGGGCCCAGCTAGAGTCAAGGGAAGCAGCTGGGCCAGGGCAGACAGTTCCCGTGGGCACCGATATCTTTCTGCCCACTTGGCAAGAAGATGTGGAGGCCCCTGTGGGAGATGTGGGAGTCCTGGGCCCCCCACTCCAGCTGGTGAAGCCTCCCCGCCCCTGGGAGAATGGGCCTGCTCTCCACTGCTGCTGCAGTACAGTCTGATGACAGAGGGAGGGCCCTAAGGACGTGCCAGAGGTCTGACATGTCCATGCTTATTTCTTATTGCGTCTGAAGGTTGGGAGGTTTGTGGAGACAGAACTGTGTCCATCTTACCCACCAGTAGTTCCCCACACCTAGCACAGGGCCTGCACCCATGAAGTCCTCAAAAACATTTCCAGAAAACCGAATGACCCCTTGGAGGGCCTCATTATTGTCCCCGTTATACAGAAGCAGCCACCATCTGTTATACCTCCCATTTCTGCTGGACAAAGGCCAGAATTTCTGCCTCACGGGAGGCCAGGCACTGTGTGTGATTTACTGTTGTGTTCCCTCCTGTGTCTTTAGTATCAAGAGCAGTGCCTGGCACACATTGCAGCTCAGCAAATTATTCAATGAATGAATGGGTGGATAAATGAATGGGTGAGTAAGTAGATAAGTGAATGGACGGGTAAGTGAAAGGGTGGACAAATGAATGGGCAGATGGATGAAGTTCAGACACCACGTGTTCTTTCCAAAGACACAAAGCAGAATCTGGTTTGAACTTGTTTCTCTGAACAGATTGTGTACTCTCCAATGAGCTGCTTTTTCTCAGCTTGGGATCCTCTGATCAGAGACAGCATCCATGTCTAGTAGATGCTCAGCAAATACTTGTTGACTCAGTGAGTGACTTCCAAGGCTATTTTTTTTAATTATCATTTTGCTACACTCTTTAAGGAAACAGGGCCTCACATGCAGGCAAGTCACAAGTCCCATCCTGAGAGCGAGCAGAATCGAAGGCCACAGGCTGTTTTTCCAAAGCAGGGAGTAGGGGTGAAAACGAGCAGGTTGATGGAAGGGTGAGCACTTGCCGGCACCTCCCCTCCTGGCCGGCAGGAAGTGAGCTGGGAGCCACCAAGCACGGGGTTTCACACCACTGATCACTGAAATGTCAGGGTCAAGGTGGCCGAGAGAAGCAGAGGCAGCCAGATCTTCAGGAGCCCTGAAAGAAAAGCAATTGCAGGGCTACTGCTAGCACTGCTGTGCTTTCGTGCAAATTAACATCAGGTGCCTCCTATATCTTGACCAATTATGAAAGGATACCCTCTCCAGGCTCTTCAGCTAGAAAAAAGAAGCCTTTTCTTCATCTGCTCTGAAGACCAGTAAGAAAAAGATGCTCCCTCTAAGTGGAAAAATAGAAAAAGTTGACCTCCCAGGTGGACTACTTTGAAAAAGGCAGTCTCTCCTCCAGCACTAGGCTTGGTAGCTCCTCAGCAGGGCACTCTTGTGCAGTGTCCAACCTATCCAATCATCCTTAGAGACCTGGGGGTTATTCACAGAGGGCTAGCATCTTAGGACTATCTCTAGTTTTGAGCTCACTAGTCCTGGGCTGAACAGCTCAGGACAAACTCCAGGGTGACGTAACAACCCTCTGGACCCGGATGCCAGGAGCCAAGAAAGGCATGGTTGATTGGAACTTTCATCTAGACGGTCAGGTAAGTTTAGTGGCCGTGAAAATGACAGGCCATAAAAATGTCACCAGTTCTTGGTCTTTGTGGTTTGAGAAGACAAGAGTCAGAGAGACAGAGTTTCTTGTTTGCCTGAGTTGCTCACCCAAAACTAAACATGGTTTCTGGCACATAATGGACCTCAACAAATATTTGTCACCTGTTAAGTAAATTCTGGAAAAGGTATTTGAGATGAGCCACAGAGCTTCTGGGAGTCCCCAAAGGCAGCTGTAAGCTCTGTGCATATTCTGTGTGCATCTGCAAGTATTAACGCATACATTGATGCCGTGTGTGTGCAAACACATCTTCATGCTCTGCATTCTTACGTGCCTGTCCAAGTGCCGTGGCCCTGTGCACGCTGTGAGACAACACGAGTAGAGCACACAGGTACAGCGCCAGGCCCAGGCATTTCCAGAGACAGCTTGCCTCTTTCAAGCTCACACCAAGCAGGCCAGCCCCTCAGTATGCTGGGGCCCCCAGACAGAGCAGCGTGCTGGAGCAGGACCCTGTGCAGAAAAGGCCTGAACTTACCCAAGCTGCTGGAAGCGGCGCTTGAGATTGTGGCCTGGGCATCTTTGGGAGGAAACAGAAGGATCAGTGAGGGGCGGAGGTGAGGATACCGACAAGAAGCCTCAGTCAATTCTTGCAGGCAGAGAGATCTTGCTGGAACCCAAATCTGATCAAGCCACTCCCCTGCTTTGGAAGCATAAGGGCCTCCCCAGTGCTTTCAGGGAAAAGGCTGAAAGCCTTTGCAAGGACTACAGGCTCCCACTGTCTGGCCTCACCTGGTCAGCCTGTCCCACACCACTTCCAGCCTGCCTGGCCTTCCCTCAGTCCCCCAGCAGGCTGGGCCTCTCCTACCATGGGCCCTTCGCCCTTGCTGTAGCATCTGTCTGAAATTCCCTCCCCCTAGTCCCTCTTCCCTTTCTCCTCTTAGTTGATACCACTTTACTTTTCAAGTCTCAGCTAAATTTTTCCCCAATCTCCCAGACTGGGTCTGGTTCCCTTGTCATTAGACCTCAGAGACTCTATACATTGTCTTTACTGCACACTGGACAGTTCAGCTATGCACACCCAGGTGAGAATATCTGAATAACCGTTCTCCCACTGATCTGTAAACTTTGAGCACCTCTGCTTGCCACAAGATCTCCAGCCACTAGCACTACATCTGGTGTACAGTAGGCACAAAAAACCACATTTGTGCAATGAATAAATGAATGAATGAAAGAATGAATGAGGAGCTACCTGCTCCCAGTTCTTTAGTTCACAGTAGGACCCTAAAGTGCCAGCTCTGTCATTCTCCTCCTCTCCAGACAGCATTCCCTGCCAGGAACGCTAAGGAAGGAGTGGCTCTCTTACCTTTCCTTGTGATGGGACCCAAGTTAAGGACACGGGTTTGGTCTATGAAGACCCCACTTCGGAATCTGGTCCCAGTGCAGGCCTGCAGGGAGGGGTGACAGAAAAAGTCTTCCATGGGGGAGGAAGGCTGAAAGATCCTTGGGGGAGGCAGGCTGTGTCCTCGTTCTCCTGCCTCAGGCTGAGGCTTGAGGCAGGTAAGAGTTAGGACAGCATGTTCCAGCTCTACCATTTGTTAAGATCTCAGACAAGTCACTTACACTCTCTGGGCCCCTCTCCCTGCTTAGGATTTGGGGCTAGTTTCCTAACTTCTTTATGTGTATGTTATAAACTCTCTTGTAGAGTTTCTGTGAAGCATTAAAATGTTAAAACATTGAGGTGCACATGGCTTCCTGAAATTAGAAGACAAGCTTGCAGATAAGCCAGAGAGTTTATCAGCTGGGCATACAATCCCTGATCCTGATTTCCCAGGTCTCCAGTCTAGTCACACCCACCCCACCTTATGTTCCTAATGTGCTGAGCTAAAAAAGGAAAAGCACAGCAGAAATGTTTGTTTTCTTTTAGACCGTGGCCTGTGGTTACAGGAGAGGGGCAGGGCCAGCAGGCTGAAGTGGGGACTCACAGGCTTGCATTTCTCATTCACGGTGTCACACAGGTACACTTCACAGTGCAGATAGACTAGGTCATAGTTTCCAGCAAACCGGAACATCTGGATGGAAAATCGGCCCTGAGGGGACTCCCCATTCTCCACCACCTGAATAGTTGAGTCCGAAGTGCGTGGGCATCTGGTGAGGGAGAGGTTATGTCACAGAATGCAGCTGGTCAAGCAAAGACTCTGGAGTCCGACATCCTGCATTGGAACATTTCGCTACTACTATTATCTGTGTGACCCTGACACACTTCATCTCTCTGTGGCTCAGTTTTCTCATCTGTGTATAAGAAATAATAACTGTAGCCCACACCAAACGATATTTATGAGGACTAAATCAGATAATTTTTCAAAGTGCTGAGAACAGAATGTAGTACCTAATAGGTGCTATCTATATTTAATGTTAAAAAGTCATTATCACAGCGTTGACACTGTCTGATAGTTTGTGATTTCCCAGGAAATGGTCTTCTAGAACCATTAGCTGCTAGTATGTGCAGTCTCTAATGTGCCTGTTACAAAGGAAACCCCAAAGAACTGAATGCTACTGACCAAGCCAAACTGTGTGCACCTATCTGCTCACATACACAAGGCATCTGGCCACACGAAGAAAATCTCAAAAGAGCAATACACTCACACATGTGCACAGGCACCCAGGGTGGGCAAATTTGGTGCCTGGGTGCTCCTTCCGCTATTTCACACCTTTTGCTCAAAGTTCATTTCAAAGAAAGGCTGACTGTCAATGACAAGAACTGAGGAAGGAACTCCCGGGATGGTACTCATCCTCTGTCCTGTGTCCTGCATCCTGCATAATTCAGATCTCACTCTAAAATTGCAAACTCTGATTAGCAAGATAAAAGGAGACCCTCCTCCCAAAAGGCAGAGAGAGGAGCCAACACAGTCCCTGGTGGACCAAGCACTCAACCGAAGGAGGGCATGCAGATGTCCCCTGTAGCCACTCCTGTCTCTTATTTACCCAGGAGCTGAAGCAGGGAGGGGGAGACTCCGACAGTCTCCCAGGCAGGTGGCCTTCAACCCAGCTTCCTTGTACTCCCAAACCAAAAGGCACACACACACACCCTGAACTGCTTCCTGCTTCTTTTTCCAAACTTCCCAATTTTTCCACAACAGGCATGCTGTACTTTTACAGTCAGTGAAAAGTTCAAAACTCCCTGCAGAGTATTATCTATCACATCTGAGGAAATTAATATTCTGATTATCTTACTTGCATCTCAGAACAAGGAAATGGCAAAGCCAAGAACTGCACCCAGATGTCTGTGACTTGTCACTCAAGGTCATGTTTTCCAAGTTCTGGTTCTTTTCTTTTTTCTTTTTTGGTACCCGGAATCGAACTCAGTACCTTACATTTGCCATGCAGGTGCTTATGCCACTGAGCTATATCCCCAGTCCCTGTCTTTTTGCCTTATCTAGATAACACCTTGATAAATGTTTGCCATGTACCCCAGCATCTGGATTATTATTTACTTTCTCCCATTTTTTAAATCCACTTATGTATTTTTACTAAAATATATTTATTTTCTAGAAGGATCTTTAGGCCATGATCACAAATGGCAATCACATTGCAAGTATCAGCTGCCATAAATAGAGCATGATCATACAAAAGGCAACACAGCAAACAAGAGAATGTGGTAAATTTTAGTTAGACATGGTTAACTGCAAAAGATTCCCAAAGTCCTGCTTCTTGTTTTATTGCAAAAGGAGATGCCAAATAACAGAGAGGTGTGAACATCAGATTGGCACCCAGGTAGTAGTGTCCCTTCAAGGAACCCAGGCAGATTCTAGATTTGAATCCGGAATGGACAGGTCACAAGCTCTCAGGGATGCTTTCTCTATTAAAACTGCAGATGCGCTTTTCCTTCTCCTGCTTTCTGTTTCCGTGGTACATTTATCACTAGTGTACAATGCATTTCATTTTTCTTTCATACCAATCTCCCCTTCTGAATATAAACAGTATGAAGGAAGTGGTTTTAGTCAATATCCACAGAGCCTGGCACGCAGCTAGCCTCCACAATAGCTGCTCGATTTATGAATGAAAATGTACTTCACACGGTAGGGTCACAATTCCTGAATAGCCCTTAATAGAAAGGAGGGGATCTGTGTCCTCCCAGTTTCAACTGGTCCTTGGCTAACCGTGCGCACCCCTCAGTCCTCGCAGCTGGTGCCAGGCTGTCTGCCTTTCTGGCTCTGCCCTTTCATAAAGCCCCTCACATCTTCTGAGTCATGGGTCCCCTTGGCCCCTGTACCTCCACCCCTCCTCAAATATAATGTTTTTCAATGCATACAATAAAATATTGTAAAGATTATGTAGCAAACCAATTAAATTGAAATGTCTTTTAAAAATGTCAAAACATTTGCTATATATTTGAAGCATCTGCATATATTAGATGTAAAAAATATACTTGCAAATACACATACTGGATAATGAAATAAATAATAAGATCTAGTGGAAATTCTTTTTTTTTTTTGGTTTTTCTCTAGCACCGGGAACCGAACTCACGACCTTGCGCTTGCCAGGCAGGCGCTTTGCCGCTGAGCTAAATCCCCAGCACCGGAAATTCTAATATAATAACTAAAATGTACTGAGGAACAAAACAGCTTTAGATGCCCTGCAAACCTTTCTGTGGCTTTTTGCCTCTAAACAGGAAGAAATGCTAAATTTCAGCCATATGATAATGAAGAGCGAGATGAACTTTTCCCTCCATGTCCAAAGACCCCCAAGTTCCCTCCACAGGCTCCCCCATAGGATCCACTGCCTTACCTGTCCTGGATAATGAAGTATTTTGTGGGGTCTGTGGCATTGCCACTGGGTGTGGCGTAGCAGTTGGTCATTAGCAGTACAAACCGGGACAGGTCACCTCCATCCAGCATAGTGCCCACGTAGAGAAAAGCCTCCGTGGACAGCGTCACTGAGGGCCCTTGGTAGGGCTGTGTGTAGGCAGGGCTCTGGAAAAGCGCCATCCGCACGGTGAACAGGCCCGTCCCACCCACGCTGATATTCAGGGAACTGCGGGAGAGAGGGGGGGGTGAGAAGACTCAGCCGAGAACACCCCAGGTGGCTACCATTTCTGGTCGAGATGTCTGACAGTCCCTTGCAATTATCTGCATTTTTACTGCTTTGGGATTGTGTGAAAATGCAAGTCCTGACTGAGTAGGTTTGGGGTGGGGCTCAAAGTTCTGCACCTCTAGCAAGCTGTTGGTGGTGCTGATGCTGTGGGACCATAGACCACGTGTAGAGGGATATTTTCAGTCCCTCCCTTGGTGACCCTTGCTTCTCCATGTAAGCCTTCAAGATGGAACAAATTCTGAAGGAATCAACTACGTTCCTTTTTTAGGCTCAACTTCCAGCAGGTTAAAGGGGAAAGCCACCACGAGTCAGGCAGACTTGCGCCCCAAGGCTCCATCATGGTTTACCAATGCCTACATTAAAAGACTGGGTTTTTATAAATGGGTTACTTTTAACCACATTGAAAATAGCCACACCTGTGTGAACATCACTGAGTGGTCCCTCAAATGGCACTGTAAGATGGATGTCACACAATAAGGTACGTGAGAGATACTCAGCACATTGAAGTTCACTTCACAGGTGAGAAATGGATTAACAGCTTAGACTGGGGTGAGGTTTCCAGCTCAAACCTTACATTGATTTGCTCATAGATGTGTAGCTCCCCAGACCTCAGTCACAGCCACACTGCCGCAGAACACTGCTCGACAGAGTGGCACACTGGCCAATGGCCTGTGATGAGCACCCTTCTTTTCCCAAGTCAGCCATGCACCCTCACCAGCACCCAGCACCCATCCCTGAGTCTGGATGGCCCAGAGAACAGGTAAGTGGGGTGAGCTTCCACATTAAGGTCATCATGACGAAGTGAGGGCTCTGGACCTGAGGTTTGAATCCCAGCTCTGCCACTTTCTAGACTTTATAACATTGGGCAAGTTACCTAAACTAGACTTCTCTGTGCTTCGCTTTCCAATCAGTGTGACATAAGTAGTAATAATCTCTACATCTCCTAGGGCTGCTGTAAGATTTTAATGAGATGTTCCATGTAGAGTACTTCACGCAAGCCTGACATACTGTAAGTTCTCAGTAAATGCTAGTTATTTTTGCAATTATTATTTTTCCCAACAGTAGCATCCTATGATTCATCCTACTCAGACTTTCAATTATATTTAGCACCCTCATGTAGCACCCACAGGGGTGGAACTTCCCTACACCCCCTACCCCAACAAGGCACCTCCCTTGCCCCACTAAGCGCCTCCACGGAGCATAACTTGTAATTGCTTCTTTAATCAGACATCTTCATTACAGAAACTAAGGATTAAGTATGGAGTATAATTTGACAAAGCCCCTCCATAGCAAGGCTAGACTGAGACCCCGACCTTCCCTCCATCCCGATTCCCCACCCATCTAAAAAGCCAGAGCCTCAAATATTTGATTCACAACTGCAGAACACTGTTGTCCTCATTTCACAGATAAGAGGGCACCCAGTGAGGGGCCAGTCAGCTTCCCAAAGCCATCTGGTCAGGACAGGGCAGAACCCAGATTTGAATCTGGGCTCCAGGATGCCTGGGTGGGCTCACCCACTAAGCAATGCTGCCTTCCAGCCCCCAACCACAGCTCCCTATGGGTAGCAGTTGACAGGGTAGCTGAGGACCTCGGAGGGGAAGGGCTGTGGGCTGAAGCCATCTGGAAGCCCTGGAGGCCCTGGCTGGCCGCACCTGACCATGGGCTGCAGGGAAGTCTTCAGGCTGATTTTCATGTCCAGTGGGTAAGAGCACTCGAAGTTGATTTTGATGTTGATGTCACGAATGATCATCTCATTTGCCAGGTAGAGGGTGTTGCTGTAGGTGGCGTGGGTTTCGTTCCTCTGTGTTGGGGGTGAGGAGTGGAGAAAGGACCCTGAGAATCTGAGCAGGAGCTTAAAGCCAAAGCAGCTGTCTCTGGACACCTCGCAGCTGCCCTCTCAGTCTCCATGATAAAAACTGCAGTAACAGTGACCATATAGAAGCAGGTGTCCTGTGCCAGACCCTGAGTTAGATCTCCCTCATATGCCATGTCATTAGCCCCGCAATGACCCTAGGAGGAAGGTGCCCTATCCCGGCTCTAGAGGGGGAGATGACAGAGGTTGACTGTAACTGAGATCTAAGACACTCAGGCTCCTTCGATCACTGGGTGCTTCCTCTCTCCAAGACTGAAAATTCATACGTGAGGCCATCACTACTGGAATTTCACACTCCGTCCTTGGCAGATAACAATGATCTCTTTCTCTCTTTTGTTTCTTCCCTTTCTCTCTGAGGGATGGGGGCGGGAAAATGCCGCACTCACACAAACATTTCCCTCTGGCTTCCATCAGGAAGGGCCTCTGCCAATGAAGGTTCCATTCTGCCAACAGGATAAACCTGGTCTCCCAGGACCATTGGAGACTACAGATCTGCTTCTCATCCCAGTGCTGATCCTCACCAGCTGGGAGCAATCACTGCTGTTTAGCCTTACTTTGGTCATGGGTAAAATGAGGAACCGTCACCTCAAATCACCCTCTGTATTCAAAGCTAGCCCTTATTGGTCAATCACTATGTGCTTGCCACTGTCCTAGTTGCTTCAGACACACTGACTCTTTCAACCTGGAGTGGATTCTATTATTCTTCTATTTCACAGTCCAGAAAACTGAATCACAGCCAGGCTAAATAACTCATCCAGTCAGGAAGTGGTGGGCCTGAGGCTTGTCCAGGCAGTGTTTTGACTGCACCCTGCACTGGCTGGCACTTACCGTCAACACTGTCCCGCAGGGACCATCCCGGGCTGGGGTCACCACAGACATCCAGTCCCGTTCACCCCTCTCCATGAAACCAGAGCAGCGGCTGTCACGCAGGTACATGAAGATCTTCTTGAAGCCCAGGTTCTTCAGGTGGCACTTGCTCAGGGACACCTTGATGTCACTGGCGCCACACTCCAGCCTGCGTTCCAGGAGGGAGACATCTGAAATGGCAAGGGAGGGCAGGCATTGGGGTTTATGTCTGTAACTCCTGCACCCAGCATGACCTCCAGGGACAGGTAGAGCCCACTGGGTCTGCTACCAGCTACAAGTGCTCAGAGCAACCTCGGGATGATCATGGTCCCCATCTCACAGTGACGAGGACACAAGATTGGAGTCCGAGCATCACTCAGTGGATCCAGCGGCTTCACTCTATATTTTGTATGCAACCCCCAAGAATGGGTCGTATACAAAATGCAGGGTGATTTTGGGGTCTTTCACTAGTGTAGCATTATATCCCAGTAAAAAAAGAGAAAAAGTTAAGTGCAATTTCTTTCCATCCTTCCTTTGTACATGAAGGGCATATTCCTCAGTTGCTACTAATGTCTTTAATAGTGTATACTTGTTAATTTCCCTCTTTTTTGGAGACAGGATCTCACAAAATTGCCCAGATTGGACTTCAACTTGAGATCATCCTGTCTCAGCCCACAGAATGCTGTGATTACAGGCATGTGCCAGCACACCTAACTTAATTTCCCCCTTAAACGAAGAGCAGGCCTCTGGTTCAGCATTTGGGACAGGCCATGGCAATCACCTAGAATTTTTTTAAACTATTAAAGTATTTTAAAATTTTTAATTTGCAGTATTTATTTTTAAAAATCATTTTACTGAAGTATTGCATACTGTTGGAATTTAATAACTTGCCTTTCATGTGCTTTTACAGTTAGCCTAAGATGAATATTACTAACTGCAGACAAACATGGTAGTGACCATCAACACCCCAAATTAACTTAAAATAGTCACTCAATCTGAAGAAAAATCAGTTAATAAAAATCACAGTATAGCTAGGACCTGGATAAAGCAAAGTTGTAAAGTTGGCACTAGGATATGAAAACAATCATGACCAAGTCTGGAAAATATCAGCCATCTTTGATAATTGTACAGATGAGGAAACAGGCTCAGAGAGGGCAGGTGCCTTGCCTGGGGTCCTGGATGGGTGGGCTGTGTGATCTGCAGGTGACCCCCACAGTCTTTGGCACTCAGCTGACAGCCACTGTGTAGCCACTGCCCTCTGGGGGCCTTAGAAAAGGGGTTGGCTGGGAGGAGGCCCCTAGTCTGGGAGCTTTGGCTCAATCCGGGAAGCCCCATGGGGCCCTGCGCACTTCTTGCCTGTTTTGCACCCGCGTTGGACATGATCCCCTGGATAGGATCCCGCCCCAGCCGCTGCCCTGCTCCAGGCCTCACCCACCGGTGATGTTGAAGTCCTGTTTGCACCGGCAGTGCCATCCACCATTATCCGATATGCAGTCCTCATCCAAACTGCACTCCTCACATGTCCCCTCCACGGAAGTGGGATCTGCAGGGTCACGGGACAAAGAGTCAGGAAGGGCAGGGCCTGCCGCAGTCCCCAAAGGAGCGCATCCAGGCTTGTGGATGGGGACGCCTCGCTCACTCACCGGTGCAGTATGCCAAGTGGCACTCTGGGGGTGGCGTCAGGTTGTAGACGTGGTAGCCACCCTCACAGGCCTTCGCCTGAACCTGCGTGTGCCACATGCAGCAGTGGCCGCTCCAGTGCGCGCAGGCCGTGCGGTTCACGATGCCCTCGTCGTTGGACGGGTGCGTGCCATTGAGCCACAGGGGCGCCGCCGTGTTGCAGCGCAGGGTGGGCACGCAGGTGTTGGCCATGCGTACGCCGCTCTGGCCCACGAAGCGGTACCAGCCGTGCAGGTCCTGGTCGCAGGAGTAGCCAGCGCCGTACTCTGCGCTGCGCCAGTACTGGTCCAGGGTGCGGTACGCATGGCACGGGTCGGCGCACACGAGCTCCCCGTCCTCACCCTCGGGCACGCAGTCCAGCCCCCACCCGCAGGAGCCCGGGGAGCACTCACAGTGCCAGCCGTCCCCCACATAGCCCTCGGGGCACACGCACGAGTAGTTGCCTTCCACGTTGACACAGGTGGCCAGCGCGTGGCAGCCGCTGAGCCCAGGCTCCGCGCACTCATCCACGTCGGTGCAGCCCAGCCCCGGCGTCAGCAGGAAGCCGTCGGCGCACACACACGTATAGGAGCCCAGCGTGTTCACGCAACTGCTGTTGGCCGAGCAGTTGTGCGCCTCTGGAATGGCACACTCGTCCACATCTGCGCACACGAGCCCATTGCCAGAGAAGCCATCTCGGCAGGAGCACGTAGTGATGACCCCGTCCTCCATGCAGGTGGCATTGCTGTGACATTCAGAGCACCTTCCTGAGGAAAGAAGGAAGCAGTTAGCTGAGCTAATGGCCATCCGAAGATTCCCTCCTGCCCACGTGGGAACCCGTGTTCTTTATGCCTCATTCCCTAGCTGACTCCCTCCCAAACCAACCCACCTTCCACAGACATCTAAGCCTGGGCCATTCTTTGTTCAAATTAAGCGTTGCCTTCAAGTTGTGTCATTTAAAAAATATCCGCATGCCCACATCCAGAGAGCAGTGCACAGAATCCCTTTGTTAGGATTTGTGGTGAATGTGTCTCCTGGCCTTTGCACATTTTATACCTCCACCAAGGTCATCTCCCCTGCCTGGTGAGCCCACATCAAGACCCTGCTTCGTGTCACCTCTTCTCTAAAGACCCTCGGCAGAGGCAGGGCGCAGTATTTTGATCCTCCATAACAAAAATAACAGAAGAAAAAAGAGAGAGCTGTTGTTCAGTGGGCATGTGTGATATGCCAGACCATGGAATGTGCACATTTCATTCTCGATGGCCCCTTGAGATCAGTTTTTACTTATCCTTATTTAATTTTATGTATGTATGTATGTACCTACATACTTAGTGGTCCTGGAGGTTGAACACATGGCTTTTGCTCTGAGCTACATCCCCGACCTTTTCTTTTTAAACTGCACTGGGGATTGAACCCAAGGCCTTCATTCATAGTGAGCTATATCCCAAGCTTAATTAATTAATTAATTAATTAGTCTATTTTTTTATATAAGGTTTTGCTGAAATGCTAGGTTACCCAGGCTGGGCTGGAACTTGCAGTCCTCCTGCCTCAGCCTCTCAAAGTGTTGGGATTTCAGACATGCATCACCACACCTGACTATTTATACTTACTTTAAAGAGGAAGAAATTGAAGTTCAGAAGGATTAAGTCATTTGCTCAGCTGGTGAGTAGCAGAGTCAGGGCACACGTGCAGACGAGAGGTCCAGAGCGTGTGTACTTGGAGCCAGAGCCCCACACTAGTGCTCAGTGCTCCAAGCACCAGGGAGAAGCAGAAGCAGCATAAGAGCAAAGCTCAGCCCATTGGAGCAGCCTCTTTGGGATGAAAGGGGAGGTGTTTGAGAGCCACTGGGTGTGTTTCAAGCTCCGGTATTTCAAGCCCTAACTCCTGACTGTCTGTTAAAGTGCTGGAAACCCTTAGAGCTGTTCTAGCCCCTTGCCTTTCATGTGTGGTCCAAAGACTACAGCATCAGTGACACCTGGGACCTTGTTAGAAATGCAGAGCCTCAGGCCCCACTGCAGACCTACTGAATTCACATTTGAGCAAAATCTCCAAGTGAGTGCCAAGTACAGTGTAGTCTAAGACATGGGCTTAGAATAAAGATTGTGCAAACAGAGGAGGAGGTTAAGACCGCCTCTGCTGAGTGCGCCTTGCTCCGTGCCTCCTCCACACACACCACTTACTGGCTTCTAAGGAGGACTCGCTGGCTGCAGCTGTGATGATCCAAGAGGTTACCACCACGGCCAGCAGCACCCAGCTCAGAGAGAACAGCCGCCCCATTCCTTCTGCGCTTCACAGCTCCCTCTGGTCCTGGGCACGTGAGTCCAAAAGCAAGGAGGGGTTGGCCCCTGGCGCTTCTTCCCTGTTCTGGTGCTGAATTCCTGTAAACAGAGATGGATGGGACAAATGTGCATGCTCTGACTCCCTCCACACAGCTGGGGGGATGCGTTGGTCATACATTGTACAACTCCAGCCGTGACTTTGGTGGGGTTTTCTCCTTAGTAGCCATGTGGTTACTTCTACTCATACCCCATCCCCTTCTCCCCAGGTTTCAGGGCACATTTGAAGAGCTGAGTGTCTTATTTGGAGCAGGATGTAGCAAAATGGGATAGTGTTCCAGATTCATTCTCTTATTAAGAGGTAGCTTTGGATTTTAACAACCAACTCTTAATTCTCTGCTTGGAAACTTTCAATTTGCCCAGAACCACTTATTGATTTAACAAACATTTTTTGAGCAGCTACTATGTGCCAAACAGGGAGTGGGTGTCAAGGAGGACCATGAACATAACCAAGTCCATGTCTTCATGTAACTCACACATTGTACACAAATGGCTTGAGATAAACCACTCAACAGGTAGTTAACCTTTGCAACACATTTTGGTGTTTCTAGAGTGGTCACTTACTTCTCCCAATTGGTAAACTAATCTTCAGAGGATGCTAGGAACCCCCACTTATCACAGCAGCAAAAAAGGGTAGCATGGTGGTTAAGTGTGAGGGGGTTGATCTGAACCTGCACCCAGGATTCAAAGCCCTGTCTTACCAGTCACTAGGTATGACATTGGGCAGGTGTTTTAATTCACTAAGACTCAGTTTTCTGATCTATGAAATGGGGGTTGCTGCTTCCACAAACTGAGCATCCAAGATGTGGCAGGTTCTGTCCTGAGTAGTGCCTGTGCTCCAGTACTTGTATTCTAGAGCAGTATTTTCTAGACCTTTGTGACTAATATAAACTATACGGGAAATACTTTATGTCATAATACAGCACAGTTGTTCCGGCCTGTGCATGCGTGCGCACACACACACACACACACACACACACACACACGAAATGTAAATTGCATAAAACAGTTCTTATCCTTACAGTGTTATTGCCTGCTGATGTATTCCATTCTATTTAATGAGAAGAAAATTCCAGCTATAAACCAAAAATGAAATGATTTCATGACCCACTCATGAGCTGTGACGTATAATTTGTAAAACCCTGCAGTAGATGGTACCCTACTGCATACTGTTGTCAGTGGCACTGATTAAGTCTGTGTACACAAAGCAGGACCAGCACCCTAGTGGCTGGTACATAGTAGGTGTCTAATCAATAGTAATTGAATGCTTGAGAAATAGTAGCGCCATTCATCAGAAAGCTTTGGCTTGGAGAGAGGGAGCTCGACTTGCCGCAGTTCACAAAGCTGATAATCAGCGGAGGAAAGACTCAAATGCAGCTCTGACTCCAGGGTCCAAATCCTTCACTTTCTTTCCCACCTCCCTCAAATAGAATGGGAGCCACAGAAAATGCAGCGGGGGGAGAAGGGGAACCAGGAGAGGAGGCTACAGACAGCCTTACCTGAAGCCAGAGGGGAGGACTGGGCCATTCACAAGTGCGCATTCTCTCCGAATATATACACATTTGCCCCTGGCTGGCAATCTGTCCTCCAATTACTCTCTGGGTCTGTTTCTTGAGATCGTTTCCTTGGGGGAGGGAGTGGAATGTTTCTTTTTCCTTTAGGCATAATGTTTCTCTTTTCCTTTTTTTCCCCTCTAATAGCTGGAGACAAAAAAGACTGACATTGGGGGGTCACACCTGTACCTGGAAACAGGAGGTCTCTGTTTTGCACATTTGGGCACCAAGAGATTCCTTAGTTAGGCATTAACTGGGAAAGTAGTGCCAATGTGCTGGACTTTTTCTTGGTCACTGACAAGGACGAAGTGGACCCAAGGAGCTAGGCAAAAGGCCACATCTGAAGCCAGGAAGCACGAGGCGGAAAGGGATACCCGTTCGCCCTCCTGGGCTGTGCACCTGTCTTGGGAGGGCATCCTTCTAAAACGTCCCATCCTCCCCACACTGTCCCCTCCCCTAAGATCCAGATGTAGGCGAGAGAGGAGCTGAGAGCTTCCAAAAGTCTGAACCGCAGGACAAGTCAGCTATCCCGGGACCTGACCCACACCGTGAACAGGAGATCTGAGGTTCAGTGACGGAGGTCCCTTGGGAAGTGGAGTAACTGTAATAAACACAATGACTTCTGGATCAGCCCAACTGCATCTGCCATGTATTCTGTGCCAGCAACCTCCTTTATTACCCTCCTTGACGTCCTCATCCTGCGTCCCACCTCCCTGAAATGTGAGGGTGGTTCACAGATGGTACAGGGAGCGGCTCCTGGTGGTGACTGATCCTGGCAGTTCACAGAGGCTGCCTGCTGCACAGTCACAGAACTGGAACCCGCAGAGCCTGAGTAGAAACCACACAGGTGGCAATCCCAGAGGGGAGGTCAGGTCAAGAAAACTCAAGTGTATGTGAAAGTGGGCCCAGCAGGAAGCATGAACTAGAGCAGGACCCATGACCATGACCACCACACTGACTCTTGGGGAGACGTTTTACATTCTTTCCCATGCACTTTCAGCACTGGGCAATCTTCTTAGGGTAATTTCACAGGAGTGAAATTTCTAGATCCCAAACAACACCCCAGAGAGACTTAAAATTAGCTTTCTCTCCCATCCACAGTACTTAGCAGCTCTGACCTTTGCTCCTTTCATCTTGGCCAACTTTCCATTTTGGCCAAAAAGTTAAATGGGGCCAAGGCATGGTGACATGAGCCTGTAATCTTAGCACTCTAGGGGGCTGAAGCAGGAGGCTCACAAGTTGGAGCCCAGCCTGGGCAACTTAATGAGCGAGCTTGCAAGGCCTTGTATAAATAACAAATAAATAAATAAATAAAAGCCTGTGATGTAGCTCAGTGAAAAGCCCACGGGTCAATCTCCAGTATGAAGAAATAATAGTAATAATAATAATAACAATAATAATTGAAAAGTATCTCGCTGTTATTGACTTTTGCAATTGTTAGATGAAAAGGGATGTTACCATCTCCTCAGGGTTTATCATTTATTCTTCTTCCAGGAACTAGATGTTAGTATCCTGTGCCTTTCTCATGAGGCCGCCTCTAGACTCCAGTCTGGGTGAATGTAAGGGATTGGAAGGGGGTGACCCCATGTGGCTTCTTGAGTTTTCTGGACAAAGTCTTAGATGGGAAAATGAGGAGTTTCAGCTGGAGCCCACCCATAAGGCTCACTATGTTCTGGTTTCTGCATTTGATGCCACGCATTTGGCTGGGAGTAAGAAGACTTTCATGTGCAAACCAGCCACTCCAGAGCCCACACCCCAGCACCTGCCTCAGGTGGCCTTTCACAGCAGGCCACAAGCCCTTGCTCCCACCATGGCAGGGGCCCACCCAGAGCCTGGAAACTGGGCCTACCTTTGGTGCCCTGGAGCCCACGATGGGAACTGGCCAATCCTAAGCCTGCTCAGCCTGCCTTCCCCATTGCTCCCTGTGCAAACCACAACAAAGGCTTTTGCCCACCTTCCCCTCACACCCCACTCCCTTCGCTTCCCGACCCACGGGTGCTTTCCCATGTGCCTGGCCACATTCCCTTGTTGTCCATGGTGAGTCCCTTCTCTTGGGATCTGTGAGTGTAACAGTTGTCTTTTCAACATCAATGTTCTGCTGCCCCATTGGCCATGAATGCCTGAATCACAATGAAGCCTACCCTTAAAGACATTATCACCTTCACCCAGCCCAGCTGCATTACCCGGCAATATGTCTCTAGTGGGTCACTGTCTCCCTCGTCCCTGAAACTTCCTATGTTCTCTCCAGCCAGAAACACTTGGTAACGTCATGGTGCTCTTTAGTAGAGCCATTGAGTTGTGGCACTCTCTTCCCCTCAGTGTACCTGCAGCCCTCTCCTTAGTCCTCCTTCCTGTGAAAGGCCTCTCTCTTCCCAGGTGTTCCCTTGGCCTTTTCTCCTCTCCTCCCTCTACCCTTCCTCCTCCACCCTCTCTCTTCCCCGGTCCCCAGGACTGTTCCCATATGCTAACTGTTTCTATGAATATGTTTCTTTGAATACACTGTTTCCTGTCCTATTATTTTCTGTAGCCAAATTTTCTAGAAACTTTACTCATGCTCGCCTCAACTCACACCAATAAGATTTCTGAAAGGCCAACTCCAGGGACAGTGCTCATCAAGATCATCAGAGATGACCATGTTGCCAAAGATGACCAACATTTTTTAGGTTAACTTCCAGAGCAGTGCTCAATAAGTATTAAGAATGAACCTCACTTAATGATTTGAAACACTTGTCTCAATTTTCAAACAGGTGTAGGAGACTTAATTTTAATATTCGTTTACTTAACTGTTTTTTACTAAGTGCCTCTCTTGTGTCAGGCTCTGCTATTCCATCCCCTGTCTCAAAGGATGAGACACAGACACTCTTGTTACAGAAGAAAAGACTGAAGTTCAGAGAGGTTGAGTGACTTTCCCAAGATTACACAGCTGGTTGGTGCTAACTCCAGAATGAAACCTAAATCTCACTCAGATTCACCCCTATGATACACTGCACCCCTTGGGGGTCAAGAACTTCCCATGTTCAGCCATGAAAGAGCCTTACAATGACCAGTGACTTAAAAGTGGAGCTAAGGCATGGAGAGTTACAACAAACTGATCAGACAGAACACAGAAGTTAGAACAAGAGGTTGCTGTGTTGGAAAGAGGCCAAAGATGAGCCAGGGTAGAAGACCTTTCCAACCAAAGAGATCACCTGTCCCATCTGTCTACACTGCTGCCCCCTGCTGCACCCTGCCTCTGAGGCTGTGGTCACACCTGTGTAGCTCACAGGGAGAACACCTGCACTCGGCACTCGGGCTCATGGCCTTCCAGGGGCTCTTTTCCGTGTGATTTAACCTCAGCAGCCCTCTGGACCGCTTGTCCAACACACAGCCATGTGGCCATAAGGTGGAGGCAGGTGAGTCTCACACCGTGTCCTGAATATTAACACCTACCGTGTCTGGGCACTTGGCGCCAGAGACTTCCAAGGCCCCAGGCTGTTCCCTGCTTCATCTGGATGTCGACAGGTCAGGTTTAGGGCGTGTGGCATGGGAACTGGCTCTGGAGGTTGGAAAACGCACGAACAGCCTTTGCCTTAGGTGACAGGTAAGAAGTACAGAGACCCAGATAGTCTCCTGAAAACACAGTGGCTAAAATAATACCCTTTCCTCCTTTTCCTGAGAAGTTCTATTACTACCTGGCTAGAACAAATGACACGAATCAGCAGTGTACGGAACGATGACTAATGACCTCAGATGTCCACATCCTAATCCCTGGAACCTGTAAACACTGCCTTCCTGGACAAAAGGGACTGTGCAGTTATGAATAAGCTGAGCATCTGAAGATGGAGAGGCTATCCAGGCAGATTGGATGAGCCACAGTGGTGCTTATAAAAAGGATGCAGGGAGAGTCAGAGTCAGAGAGAAAGCCAAAGCTCAGAGTGAGTCCAGGGAGAAACTACAAGACAAGAAATACAGGCAGTCCCCAGGAGCTAGAAAAGGACAAGGATTCTTCCAGAAGGGAGTAGTCATGGTGACACTTTAATTTAGCCGGTGACACTGATTTTTGCTTTCTTGTCCCCAGACTTTTATGAACAAATCTATGTCATTTTAAGCAATGAAATTTGTCTTAAATTTTCAGAGCAACATTGGAAAACTAATCCTAAGTCCAGCGTGGACCTGGAGATGTTGTCCTTACCCCTGCCTCTTGGGATGATCATGAAGCCATGTATCTCTCAGACAAAGGGTGCTGCCTGATGTGGTTTCATTTGGTCCACGGACATTTATTGAGCACCAACTGTGAACCAACCAGAGTCCTAGTCATTAGGAGTACAGTAAGGAAGAAAACAGATAGTGGGGGAACCAGGCACTATACAATTGCACAACAAAATAATAAGATGCTTTTAAATATTAGTGTGCAGGAGGGCCTCCTCAACATAGTAACATTTGAGCAGAGATCTAAATGATGAGAAACACATCTGTGTGAAGATCTGGGTGAGTTTACTCTGAAGGGAGGGCATTTATGCAGAGGGAACAGTCAGGAGGACAGAGAGCATTTGGTTTGTTCAAACAGACCAGAAGGGTTGCTAGACTGCAGAAGGTAAGAGGGAGGGAGGGAGGAGGAGAAGGTACCTGCAGGGCTAGGAATTTCAGAACCTTGTAGACATGGTGAGCAGACTGGATTTCATCTTATGAGCAGTAAATTTGCCACTACAGGGTTGAAACGGGATAAGGGTATAAGCTGTGATAATACTGTATGGCTTTTTAAAAGATTCCTCCAGCCATTGTATGAGTATGGAGTATTCTTATGGGATAAGGGGAAGTATAGAGTGGCAGGAGAGAGCTCAATTATGAGACTTCTGTAGCTGGGAAATGATGAGTGGCTGTCAGTGGAGATGGAGGGAAGTGGGTAGAGTCACGTGAATTAGTAGGTCTTGTTTATAGTCCTGAAAGGAAGACCATGGAGGATGATCCTGGCATGACTTCTTGAATGAGCGTCATTTACTGTGATACAGAAGTCTGTGGACAGGTTTGGAGCTGGATCTCTCTCTCATCATAGCAAAACTCAGCATCAGCCAATCAGTTCACTTCCTTTAGATGAACTCAGGGCCCCCACCCCACCTGGTAGAAGGTGATATCCACAGTGGTAAAGCACTAATCCCTGGAACCCACAGTGGTCAAGCACTAATCCCACCTCTAGAGTGCTATTGTGTGGGATCTAGTTCAATAGCTTTCTAGCAGGAGGATTCTGACCAGTTGTTTAATCTCTCTGTACCTCAGTTTCCGCATCTGCAAGTGGGGATAAAGAATCCTTCTCTGATGGTGTTGAAGAGTTAGATGAATGAGTGTGTAAAAACCCCTGCAGCTGTGGCTGAATTCCAGGCCAGACAGCTCTCCTAAGGCAGCACCCACTGGAGAAAGAGGTAATGAGTAAAACAGGACCAAACATATTCAGGGGATTTATTCCCCAGCCCCCACCTACCCCACCACAATGGGGGATAAGATTATCGGAATAGATCCACTCAATAATTATATCAGGACCTGAAACATGGGCCCCTTCCCTCCTGGCTTTGGAGAAGCTAAAGTTCTTCTTTGACTTTGAATTTCTTCTCTTGTCTTGGAGGTCTTTTCGGCTTAGCTGCCTTGTCCTTCTCAGATCTTTTCTTCTGTCCCATCGGAGCCTCCACCTTGATCACATCCTCCTGCTCAGGCAGCTCTTGCACTGCCACTTCCAGCTTGGTCACGTTCTCCTGTGTGGGCGGCTCTTCCACCAACACCTTCACTTTGGTCACGTTCTCCAGCTCAGGGAACTGCTGCTCAGGCAACTGCTGCCCAGGTAACTCTGGTTCCACGGAAGTTCGTTCCTTTTCTCCAACTAACACCTTCTCTTCTACCGTTTCCTTTTGCTCAATGGACAATAGCTTTTAAAGAAAAGATGGAAAGAAGAGAGGGAGGGGAAAGAGGATAAAGAAATGAATTGATAATTGTGATGGTGACTGCAAGGCTCTTCTCAATGTGCCCAGTGGGAATCAATCTTTGGCTTGAGCATCCTCATAGATACAAAAGATCCACCCTTGCCTTGTGGTAAGAGGATCTTTGGAGAATCACCTTTCTCTTACTCTAAATCCACAGGTGTGGCTGCCAACTCCTAACTCTAGGATTGGGCAGGTGGCCAATCGGTGGCCCAGGCTCAGCTAACGAGGCCCCCACCCAAGACCCATACTAAGATACTCAGTGGTGGTGTTTTGTTTTCTTAGCTGGGAGGTTGTTGGTTTGGAGCTTTGGGGAAACGACTACCTGAGAATGAAGGCACTTAGAAGAAACCAGAGATGAGAAGACAGAAAGCAAATCTGAGCTTCTGCATCCACCCATGTCTGATGTTCTACCAGTCGTGTGGGATAAATTTCCACTGTTGCTTAAATAGAGAGGACAGAGTTGATATTTGTGGCAGAAATCCAGATAGCACCAGAAGATAGTCTCACTGAGGCACAGTTAGGGGGAAGAAGGGATCGTGGTTCCACCCATCAGGAGAGAGCAGAATTCCAAGGCATCTGCTTGCCAGCTCAGGAAAGTGGACCAACAGGCCGCAGCCTTAGCTGCTGGGCGTTACCTTAGGACCTTGCCATTCCTGGTATTTCTGCCTGCCATTTCTTAGTAAATGCCCTGAAAATGAAAGTTACTAGTAAAGCCACACAAACTGGATAGTTGTCCATCCATCCTCAACAGTCTCCAGACACCATATCATGGAACTCTTAGCACACGCATTTCTAGTCCATTGAGTTCCTGGCAACTCTGTGACGGAGAGAGTAGCTCAGCATGGGGCCTTTAGCCCTACCTCATCCTCATCTTCCATCCTAATCTTGACTTGGCTCTCCAGGAAGTCAGAAATGCCCTTCATGCTGTGTTCTCCTGTATACGGTACAGCCTGGGAAGGAGACAGAACATGGTTAGGAAAAGAGCCTCTTCCTGCAAGTCACTCATAGGTTGCAGCACAGATCAGCCCAGGGTTGAATTCTTGGCCACCTGAGTATTTGGGGCAGATTCTTAGCCTCTCTGAGCCTCATTTTCACGACCATAAAATAAGATACTAAGTATTTTTCTACCATAGGTTTGTAATGTTGTGGTTCTCAGCATGGACTCTAAAGCTATCCCCCTGGCTTTAACCCACACTGCTTTACTCATTAGTGTGACTTGCTTGAGGAACCTCTCTGATTCGGTTTCCTTGTCTGTAATATACAGTTAATAACAGTACTATGTTATGGTGTTGTTATAAATATGAAATAAACTAATATATCAAAAGCGCTTAAAATAGGGCTCTGCTCACAGTAGTACTATATGCTTTTGCCATTATTATTAGTATTATTACCAGAGTACTATAATAAGAATAGTTAAGTATGCATGTATGTATGTCTATATGTTTGAGATGACATCTCGCTATGTTCCCTGGGTTGGCTTCGAATTCCTGGATTTAAGCAATCCTCCTGCCTCAATCCTCCTTCCCAAGTAGCTGAAACCACAGGTGCCCAGGCCACCATGTCCATGCAAAACAGCTGTTACTTTATAAAGAACCTAGCACATGGTTGATGGTCAGTCATCAAGGTTTCCTTTCATTTTTTGGTGTTGGGAAGATTAAGAAGCCATGTATTGCCCACTTGGTTGTCTAAACTCATTTTTAGATCATTTAAAATGGGTGACTCAGCCTCATTCGCCATGACCTCTCCACACACATCTTCTGCACCAGGCGGCTGGCGTCGCCACAGTGCTGTGGCCTCCTCCTGCCTGCCTCTGTTCACACTCCATTTCCTACCTATGCTTTGAAGCCATTCTTTCAATCTGATGTAAATGCTTTCCATGCTGCAGAGTCTCAGGAGGGCATGAAGACTTGGACCATATCTGCCCTCCCACGCCTGCCCTTCCCCTTCATTCCCATCACATTTAGAGTTGGACCCATGTGCTATGATGACTTCTCCCCTACACTTTTCTCAGGAGCAGGGACTTTGGCTCATGCTTCTTTGGTTGACACTGTCCTCCACATGCCTAAGTGGCCTAGAGAGTATGTCCCATCAACATTGGTAGGGTTGGTCAATAAGTAATTCCCAGGGTGAGAGAGGCGTGATTGTCTCTAGCACACATTCTCCCTTTCCCCAGTCTTCCCATGAACATTGCCCCCACTTCATTCCATGTAGATGGGGGAGCTCTCTCCCTAGTGGGAACCATGTCACCTAAGACCAATCAAAACATCCACATCCACATCCACCTGGCCACAATGCATGGGTTGGGAATGCATGACTAACCTAAGTTGTGTGCAATTATGTATAGTGAGTCTTAGTGCTTTAATGGAAGCTACTGAAAAATAATCTTTGAACTTGAACAAGACAGCATACAGGAGACTGGAGATGACAATGAAGCTGGTTCATTAGAAGGCAGAGCTGGTGATAGGGAGAAACCAAATCCCCTATGATAATGTCACAATGCTTTTAATTGTGAGCTCCAAGAGTTCCCACCTGTTCAGAGTCAGTGGGGAAAAGCCTGAAGAATGGGTAGTAGTCTGGGTTCATCAGCTGGATATCATTGGCTGTGATGTCAATCCTGGCAATGGTGACTGTGGAGTGGTTTTGATACTTCCTTCCCAGCTCCTCCAGCAGTGGGAACAGCACCAAACACTTCTCAGACCAGGGTGCATCTGGAAGAGAAGGGTCTTGCTCAGGGGACTCTGAAAGCCAATGCCACTCCATAAGCACCATCTCTGTGTTCTTATGGCGAGGTTGCTTTGCAAATTATACTCACCTTCTTTTATTCATATATTAGGTCAATTTACATTTTAATTATAGTTCATGATCACTACTAAATAAACTGGAAAGAAAGCTGGGTATGGTGGCACATGCCTGTGATCCCAGCACTCTGGGAGGCTCAGGTAGGCATATTCCATGTGTAAGTCCCCTTAGCAACTTAGTGAGATCCTATCTTAAAATATGCAATAAATAAGTACAGACTGTAGTTCTGTACAAAGGCCCTGGGTTCAATCCCAGCACTGTAAGAGGCAGCTAGAGAAAGAATTGACTATGAGCGCGTGTGTGTGTGTGTGTGTGTGTGTGTGTGTGTGTGTGTGTGTGTTAACTAATGGTTATCTTATAACATCCAGCTAAACTGAATCAGTGTGGTTCTGGGATAGAAGGCCCACCTGCAGATTGTTGCCAACAGCATAAAAGGAGAACTAGAGAGGAAGATGGTGTGCCGGTGAGTCTCCTGGGGAAGCTTGTCACACTGACTTTCCTGATGTGAACTCAGCTGTTCTCACTGTTGGACGAGGTTGGGTCCACACTGTCTCTGAGGATGGCTGTGGTACTTTTCGGAGGAACTCTGGTCCTTACTATGAGTATCAATTCCTGGCTCCAGGGCAGATCCCTCAGCCTGCTGGCACAGAACCTTCATTCTACTGGCGCAGACTTTCTAGCTTCCACCCCTGACCTTTGGGCCTTCCCAGTGCAGATCCTTGATATAGACTTGCATAAGACATTGTCACAGGCTCTAGGCCTCCAGTTGGAGGACACTGCCACGGGTTCTAGGTCTTCAGCTGGACCTGCACAGGACTTTGCCGTGGGATCCAGACCCTCAGCTGGATTTTTTAGGTCTCTAGGGTGTGGACCGATCTCTTGCACTCTTCTGCATTTGACTTTTTGAGTGAATATTATAAAATAATCCTATAAATTTTGTGTCCTGTGTTAAATCTATTCCCTTGTAAACCTTGACTACAAGTGTATGTGTGTGTGTGTGTGTGTGTGGGTATGTGTGTGATAGCCCAGGGGTTTTCCAATGGAAGTTAAACTACTTGCCCCAGGGGTTTTCCAGTGTGGGTTAACCTACTTGCCCAAGGTCATCCAACAATTAGCAGAGGAAATAAGATTTGAAGATAAGATGCGTTGACTTGTTACCATCATACTACAAATGTAACATAACATAAAATAATGAAACATTTCAGTCCCTTGGAGGAGAACATACCAAGAAGCAAGCAGATATGCCCAAAACTATGGCACACACAGCTGCCCCTGGAAAGGGACCACAGGACTTTCTTGGGGACATTCCTGGGTCTTTGAATGTGGCAGCCTCCTGGCCTCCAGCACCTTTCCAACCCAAGGAAGCCGAGCTCAGCCTCTGCCTCGCTGCAGGGCACGGCCTCAATGCCCCATACTCTACCTTTGCACAAATCCCTGCCCGTTTACAATCCAAGGGCCTCCATGATTGCTCTCTTGCCGATAGCACCCTAGGGCCCCTGGAATCCAGCAGGTCCTGGGGTGGTATAGGAGGAGACACAATGGCTGCAGCTCCAGGGGGCCAGTTTGACAGTCCTGCTTCCAAGAAAACGAAGTTACCTTTGTCTTTGATCAGAACCAGATGGATGTTCTGTGAACTCCCAGTGTCAGAGACATACAAAAGGCTGCGCCCAGCCCTTTGTTTAAAGCCAGCAGGTTGCAGTGACTTGCCTACACAGACCTCAGACATCTCCCTCGGTAGACAAGAGTTCATCTGAGTATGACTGTAAAAGGCCTGCTTCGTGCAATCTATCCATGACAAAAAAAAATAGAGTGTTTTCTCAACTTTTGGCCTTGCTACTTACTGGTGACTTGGGATAAGAGAAAGAACCTCTCTGAGCCTGAACTCCCTGACTTATATTGTGGGGATGACCCATACCTTCTTCACAGGCTTGTGGCTACCCCCTTACACCCACTCCTGCCTGGATCACTGCCAGTACTCATTCAATGGCAACTCTGCCTGTTAAAATAAAAGATGCCTAAAGCAACTTTAGAGCCCCCTCTCCTGCATCCCACAGCGAGACAGGAGGCATTGGGCTTTGGTTCTCATGTGTGAACCAGAAACTGTGGGAAGGACAATAGGTCTTAGGTGAACACTGAAATAATTATAATGACAGGGATAAAAAAAACAATAATAGTTGTCATTTCTCAAGTGTTTCCAACATGCTAGGCACTATGCTAAATCCCTTACATGAAGGGTTTGGGTCCCTGCCCAAATATGGGCCATTTGGGTAAGTCATACAGAACCCAAAAGTAGGAGAGTTCTGGACAGCAGTGTGAATCAGACTGCCTACATTCGAACTCCAGCTCCAGCACTTATCAGCTGTGTGGTACTGGAGAAATTCCTCCACCGCCCTAGTCCTCCGTAAATGCGTGGGATAATAGCTACTTCCAAAAACATGACTGAGGATTAAGTGAGACAACTGTGCAATGGCTTAGCAGGAGGCATCCAGTCAGTTAGCCATGGGCATTAATAATATTAATATTGTTGCAGAGAGTTACAGGCCTGGATTATGTAGAAAGCATCCCATACATTCAAGATTTAGATTTCAGGGAACAGAGTTGCATTGTAGCTGATAGCATCATTTTTTTTTTTTTTCAGTACTAGGGGTTGAACCCAGGGCTTTCACACTGAGCTATCTCCTTTGCCCTGTTTAAACTTTTTTATCTTGAGACAGAGTCTCACTAAGTTGCCCAGACTGGGCTCCGACTTGCAACTCTCCTGCCTCAACCTCCAAGAATGATGGATTGCAGGAGTGCTCACAGTGTCTTGATCCAAGCTCTGCGGGTGTCTTGATCTTTAGTTTGGTGTGTTGATGGGTTCTGGAGACTGAAGTGCCCAAGAATTCATGAATAACCTTTGAAAAGTAATGTTGAGGCCCCTGGCCTGCCCTTGCCTCTGTGGAAGTACTCACAGAACATCACGAACACATCCCTTTCCTTGTCAAAGACGACTATGTTGAAGTTCTTCCCCACGAGCTGCTTCACTAGACCTTGGTCCCAATATTTTGAAATCTCTTCACTGGATTGATGTTTCTAGGAAGCAAAGTTAAGATGTCTAGCAATGTCCAGAAAGGCACTCAAAACTGGGGCTCCTACCCTGATGGGAACCATGAAAGTCTTTCTCTTGTATTTTCATGAGAGCTTTTGGGAAAGAGTCTGAAATACTGAGATGGATCACAAGCTTAATGTCAGCCCCGGATTGTCCCGACATATTGGACTCAGACCCTCAGGAGGAAGAAGAGCCCTGGACTGCATTAGAGCTCTCAAGTACATGATTCATAGGATTCTTAGACGAGAGCAGAGCTCATGTCTTTCACATCTTAACTACGGTAGTTTAAAAAAAATAGGTGACCCCAATTACTCGAGAATCAAGACCAAGATCATTTGCTTGACCTAGGACACCCTTATCATGCTGGTTGCTATTGGCTTCTCCAAGTTCATCACCATTCATCCCTTTCCTTTCTGTAGCCATCCCTTTCCTTTCTTCACTTGGCCCCAAGGACTGACATTTTTCCCACCCATAGACTTTGTTTATGCTGTCCCCTCTGCCTGGAAGGCCTGCCCCAATCTTCCCCGCCTTTCTTTGTCTAGTTAACTGGAACTTGATCCTTCAGAATGACCTCAAGGGAAAACACTCTTGATTCTCCAATACACTGGATGATTGTCCTTATGTAAAGGATAAAGTTCTGTTTTTCTAGTTATCTGATTAATGTGTCTCAACTCCTCTAGATGGAATGTCTGAAGGGACTTTTTTCTTCTCTCATCATTGAATATCTGCTGCTTCTACATACCTCAATAAATGCTTTGCAGATGAATAAAGCAATGAATTCAGCTCTTGCTTTTGTTTTGAGGATGTGTTGGAAATCTTAGACCACGCTCTTCTTTGTAACCGTCACCTCCTGGATGTCTCTTGACTCCACACCCTTCTTTCTATTTGCTGGGTCGCCACCTACTGCAGGTGACTCTCTTCTCTCTTCTGGATCACTGAAATTACCTCCCTGTGTTTCCCCCTAATCTTCTCTACATCTTTATTTTCTGCAAGCAGAGCCCTGTTTTCACCATGGAAATCTGTCTTTTCACTGTTATTAGGATGCCAAATTTTTAATATGCTTATAAAGCCCTTGCTGGCTGGCCTCTGCCAAGCTCACTAGCTTTTCCTCTATCCCCACCTTAGCTTTTAGAAAGGACTTAAAGTTTCCTCCAGTGGGTGCATAACAGGGATGGCAAATGAGGAGACCCCAGTATGCAGACTTCTCTCTTCTTGGTGATAGACAGGCCGAGTAAATTAAAAATGGGATAGGAATATAAATAGACTCAGGGATCAAGAAATTTATAGAAATCTGCTGTGGTGTTTTTGCATCTGGAAGGTAGTGTGGTTTGTGCCTCCGTGAAGTCATCCAAGCTCATGGTGATATTCTCTTTCCCCAGTATAGGCCTTAAAGTATAGCGAAGTTAGTTTGGATCTGCTAGAGGTGGCCTTTTGCCTGCTGAGCACTACAGAGAACAGAGGAGGTGGAAGGGGCAGGGGGTAATGGAGTTACTGCAGTGAGGCGCCATGAACTCCACACTCATGGAGGAAGACGCTAAGGAGACTGGAAATGGGATCAGGAGACTGGAGGCCATGAGAAGGATGAAGAACTATAGAAGTGTGTGTACCATGGGTAGGATCTGAAAGGATAGGAAGCTTGCAATTAGGCATTTGGAGGGGCTGCCATCTCTAGGCTGTAGCCAAGAGAGCTGGTGGCTGGGACTGGCTGGGCCCACCAATTATTGGAGGAGAGAGCTTAGGATCTCTTCTTCTCTGAGGAGGAAAAGACAACAATCAGAAGTTTAAATCCTAAGAGGAGGTGGTCAAAGGACAGCAACAAAGGGATACACAACAAGTCTTCTAAAGTCCAGTTATGTTGGATCTAAAGAATCTGGGTTTTCAAAGTGAAAGGAAAAGAAATGGGTTTGGAAGTGGCAAGAAGGACACCAGCTTTCCATATGGCCTGTGATAATGGACGTAGAAGAAGTGCAGCTTCCACTGAGAAGGTTGCAGGGAAAGCAGTGTCCTCAGGGAAAGGGAAAGAGGTCACGAAAATACGCAGAGGCAAGATGACCATAGACATACGGTTCACTGGAAAATCCCCCATTTACTCCTGCCCTTCCATAATGTTCTTGAAGAATGTCCCCTCTACTCTCAAAGGTATCCTGGTTTGGAAAATAAATAATGTGCTGTCCCTTCCCCAGCAGTGTAGTTGAGCATTGAGCAAGTGCCAAATAAATAGTTCCAGATGCTGAGTCACATGATTCTTTCTGAGGCTCTCCCCCATGATGATAGCGTAGACCCCATTCTATCTTCACTCAACTGCAAGGTCCCTGAAACCTTTGAGGCTACATCCTGATTGCTGTCTGCATTCCACTCCCTTGCCCTCCCCAAAGCAAGCATCTACCCTTGGGTCAAGGGCATCTTCCCAAGGCCATCTCCAGTGGCTGTAAGGAAGGCAAGAGCCTCCTTCCAAAGGATAAGTCATCCATCTAGTGTGCCTGCTGTCCTCTTCAAAATTCGCTTTACAAGTGAAGAATTCACGATGGGATTACAGGCTCAGGATAGCTCATCATTTGGATGGATTCAAGATGGAGAAGGAGAAAGAATTTCCTCCCACTGAGCCATGAAGTTGACCTTGATTCTGCCTTTTAATTCAGGTGACCAAAGCCATCGAAGTTCCATGAAACAAGATTTTGAAGTTCCAGAGAAAATTTACGTGAGGACAGGCTTACCTTGGCAGTTCTATTCAGGAAGCTGCTGCCAAATATCTTGAGGTTTGCATAGGTTATCTCGTCCGAGGGCATCTTGTACCGGGCATCAGAGCTCAAATTGAGGATTTGAACAGATGGGACACTGAACTTTGTGACCTGGAAATACTCTGAGACGTATCTGTTTCTGCGTTCATCCACATCCACAACAATGAAAAGGATCTGCCAAAGCAAACAGACTTGTCGTCTCTCCAGGCATTTTACCAAGGAGAGAAGTTAGTAGGAAGCTGTGTGCTAATGGAAGGTAATAGGGGGGCCCTGGAGCCCCTATGAAGGACTTAATACAGGCTGCCTTCTGTCTGGCAGGTGCAATCCAACAGTGAGTACACAGATAGGCAGCAGCCGCCAGCCTGGCTTCAGCTTCTCATGCTGTGCACATCCTCACAACTTCATGAAGTCAGGAAGCTCTGAGCTATTATCCTAATTCTGCGCCTCAGTTTACTTATCTATTAAATCATGATTAGAATAGTACCTACCTTACAGGCTTGTGACAATTAACCAGCAAAATATATTATCCCATGATGGGCAAATAGAAAATGTCCAGTGCATGCCAATTCTTGTTTTTATTCAAAATTATTCTACCAAGGAAACCCATGTTTTCATTCAATTATTCATGCAGTAAATATACATAGTGGCTACTATGACTAGACATTGTACTAAGCCCTGGGGATACAACACTGCCCAAAGCAGACAAAATCCTTGCCTTCATAGAGCTTATACTCTAGTGGTGAAAGTGGATAATAAGTGATTCGAAAATAAAGGACACTAAGACAACAGAAAAGGGCAATAGGATAGAGCACACAGATGAGGGGAACCAGGGGTTTGGTAAAGTCAGGGTGATCAGAGAAGAATGGAAGGAGACGACATTTTAGCTGAGAGCTGGATGATAAACAAGTCAAGGAATGGGGATCTAGGGAACAGAAACTCTGGATGCAGAGGTCTAGCAGCAAAACAATAAAGGCCCAGTGTCCTAGGAAAAGCCAGGAAAGGCCATGTGGCTCCAGCACCATGCGGCAAGGAGTCCCGGGAAATGAGGTCAGAGGCTGTCAAAGGTGAGGTCAGAGGTCCAGGAAAGAGCTTGAGTTTGGTTTAAGCATAACAAGAAGCCAGTGAAGGAAAGTAAGCCAGACAGTGACATGACGATCATTTTTAAAAGGTCACCCTGGGTGTGGAAGAAAAGTAAGAGTAGAAGTGGGTAGACAATTTAGAGGCCCCTGCAGACACCTGGTGTCAGATATTTTCAGACTGTCCATCCATCAAAAGATGAAGGCTCCCACAATATGCCACTCTTCTAGGTCCTCAGAGGACCTTGAAGAACAAAGCCAGTTGCTTATGTCATTCTAGCAGACTTCAAACAAGTATTGCCTTCAGCTACATACTGCGGGCAAAAATATAGTCAGACATGGCAATGCTGGCTATTGGAACAATATTAGTTCAGCGGTTTATCCTTGGCTCAGTCAATGGCATTTGAGAAGCCCAATAAGGGCAACAAGAACTTAGACCCTCAAATTTAAAAAAAAAAGCCTGAAAGAAAATATGGCTAAATATTGATGACAGTAACATAGGAAAAATAAAGCAGAAGCAGTCAGATCTCAAGCAATTTAATTACATCAAAATTACAAAGTGTAAAATTGAAATTGTTTACAAAAGGCATTTTTTGTGGTTATAATCATCTTTCTGGAAATTTATTAGGTGGGAGGTAGTATGAGCAATAAATATGCCCACACACTAGTGACTTTATCCTGTGTTTGTTTTCGGTTGTAAAGTTTTTAAATGTTTTGTTTAATTTCAGAATATTTTTGTGAAGTGAAAAAAGCTTACCTTCATTATATGTCTTATTAAAAACACAGAAAATGAATAAGCATTGCCCATAGTCCAGCTGGCAGTAAGGCAGTAAGACATGAAGTGTAGGCATAGAGCTTAGAAGAAACTGACTTCTTTCTACTAACGATAGAGGATTCGGTAAGGATAAGCGCCATGCATTGGATATTTGCTCACTGCTTTAGCTTTACATCGTGTAGACTTCCCTTTTTTTCAGTACTAGAGATAGAACACAAGGCCTTTGCACAAAGTTACATTTTCAGCCCTTATTAGTTTTATTTTTTATTTTAAGGCTTAATCCCTAAATTCTCCAGGCTGGACTCAAACTTGTGATACTCCTACTGCAGCCCCCCAGAGTGCTAGGATTGTAGGTGTGCACCACCACACTTGGCCTAGACTTCACAATTCGTATTACAACTCCTCATTGAGGCTAGAGATGAAGAAGCTCGTTTAATAAAATATATCTTATAAGCGGAAGAGAATATGAGTTTGAGTCTGTGTAATTTCACTTTTTTTTTTTTTGTCTTTTTGAGACAGGGTCCCACTATGTAGTTCAGGTTGGCCTTGAGCTCACTTTGTAGCTCAGGATGGTCTTGAACTCACAATGATCCTCCTGCCTCAGCCTCCCGAGTGCTGCGATTACAGCTGTGCACCACCACACCCAGCAGGTCTGTGTAATTTCAAAGTCCAACATCTCAGCAATTACTTGCCAGATAATCTGTGCTGCTTTATAATATTTTCAGGCTTTGCAGATTTCTTGACCTCCAGCAGGAATGATCTTCTTTCCCCTTCACCTCTAAGCCAAAAGCTACCATACTGCAGTCACCCACTGTTAGTGGAGGGTGACCCATCAAAAAAACAGCCAAATCACCATGCTCCCATAGCAGACTTATTTCAAAGATGAGTGAAGAAGCACGGGTTTGGCAAAAGAGGAAGAGAAGAAAGAAACAAGCAGACGTGAACTAAACAGTAAATAATATCAACATGCAAATGAGGAAATAGGTGTGCATATATAGATGCGAACCCTTCCTGGCTTAATTTATAATAAGCAGGGCAGGCAAATGGTCTCACGGTCTGCGTGTCTTTGGTCCCCATCCAAGAATCTCAGAGAGCAATGGCACGTTCTACAAACCTTGTTCTGGAATTCCGTGGAGGCCAATTTATAATGCTTAATTATGCCTCTATGTAACTCAGACTTCCTGGAGACAAACAGCAGCATGTGATTTAAAACGTTCATTTGATAAATCATCTCCTTATTCTGAAATTACAAGGGAAACATGTCATCCCAAGCACACACAGCCACCCCACCTAACCTTCTTCCGGGAACATTTTGCCCACAGACCTGAGTGTTATATTCAATCACAAAGTCTGTCAGGTGCTTTCTTATGACTCCACTGATGTCCTGCTTGTAGGTACTGTCATTAATAAGCTCTTGGCGGTTCACGACTTTCCCCTTGAGGGAAAGAAGAAAATCATTGGAGGGCAGTTAATAAATATAAATAGCATGATTTTCCCCTTGGATAAAAGAAAAACAACAAGGCATTGTGTCAGGTGTAACACATAAGCCAGGTACTTAATGAATATGAATAACCGAGCAGATTAGCCTGTGGGTGGAATATGGACATGTGGTAACTGTGCAAACCTCAGATCTATTACGACAGGCAGCATAACTGAGTGACAGCCTCAGCTGTTGTGATCTGAAATCCATCAAACTTTTCCTGCTGAGACTGAGCAGTCTCTCACATGCTACTGCTACTCGGTGGCGGAGGGCATCAGGGACACTGAGAAAAACCCATTCCCAGGAGATTCAGACTATTCAGACAGGCAACTCCAATGAACATTCTTAGCATTGCACTGGCATCAAAGTCTCTTCCATCCAACCTTCCTCCCTCTTCTCCCTTCTCCTCCTCTCTCCTCCCTTCCTCCCTTCCTTCCAGAGGCTCAGACCTTCATTGTGATCTAATGGATCTCTGAGTCTTCCCCATCTCTTTGTTTTCCCTCTGAGGCTTTTTCCCTAATAAATATTTTTTGCTTATCTAATTCTTCCTGGTAACTATCTCACTGGAAGTTCTAGACTAACACAGGGCATGACATGATTCCTTGTAGCCCCGGATGGAAGTCTGTAGGGGCAGGAGAATCAGCAGCTATCACCTCCTTTCTACTCCATCTCCTCTTCCTCTCCACCCGTGGCACCTTGATCCAAACTTGTCCTCTGGACCTCCAGCCATGGTCTCCCACTGACCTTCCCACTTCTCCCCTTGCATGCCCCCAAGCCATGCCTGACATGATTCCAGCCAGAATGATGCTGTTAGGACACACAGCTAATTATGTCATGCTTTTCTTGCTTACCTATGTCATAGTCCCAAACTGTCCTCTAGATACAGTCTCAACTTTTTACTGGCCATAACAGTCTGATAAAACTAATTAGAGCACTCACATTATTCCAATCACTGCATTAATTTATGTAATCCTCATAACATCCCATTGAACTGTCTATTATTTCCCTGGCTTTACACATGAGGAAACTGAGGCAGAGAGAAGTGACTTGTCCAAGATTAAACTAGGGAAAGGTGGAGCCAGGTTTTTTTAATGTTGCTAGGGGTGGAACACAGGTTCTCAAGCATGCTCCACATGGGCTCTTCCAATGAGCTCAGTCTGGAATGTAATTTGGTGTAAGGCATGATATATGGAGACTGTTTCAGTTTGCCTTTTCCTCACATGACTATCTAATTATCTTAACACCATTTGTTCAATAACACATATGTTCCCATCGGTCTAAAGAACCATCTTGCTCACACACCAAGTTTCTATATGTGTCTGGGTCTATTTCTAGACTCTATGCTGTCCTACCCCAAAACACAAATCAGACTCTTTTATTTCCCCATTTAATGACTCAGTGATTTCCATGATCCCAGGATAAAAACAGACTGTGGCTTTCTCTGAAAGTCAAGTAGGTCTGGGCATCATTCGATCTATCCCATGTGTGGCCTTGGAAAAGTCATTAACCTCTCTTAGTTGCATCTGCAAGTGACATAGCTATGTGTGGTGTAGGAATAAGGCACATTCCAGGAGCCATACCATGGTGTCTAGAATGTTTAATAGACACTTTTAGATGACAGAATGCTTTGTACATCTGCGCTGTCCAATACAATGGCCACTAGCCCCATCTGGCTATGGAGCTCTTGCAATGTGGCTAGTGTGACTGAGGAGCAAAAGCTTTGATTTAATTAATTTTAATTTAAGTGGTCACATGTGACCAGTGGCTGCCATATTGGCTAGCTTAGGTCTAGACCCTGGAGACAGGAGAAAGAATGAAACTCAGTGAACTCAGGATGAGAAAGGCCTTGTGGAGCTCATTAAGGATTTAAGTCTTTAACCCAATAACAGAAAGACATTGCAGAGCTTTCAGAGAGGAGGAGAGATGTGATCACCAGATTTGAATTGTGGAAAGATTGCTACCTAAAGGACCAGAGTTAGGTAGTTAACACAATAGGCTATGGGAGATGATGGGCACTTGATCCAGGATGATTGCAGCAGATGTGGTGATAAATGGATGCATTCAAGGGGTGTTTCCGATAGAGAATCAATAGGACTGGGGGACGGCGAAGGGACAGCGAAGGAGCTAACATTAGGATGTCACCTGGGTTTCCTGGCTTGCTTATCTAGGGGGGAAAGGTGGTGGTGCCATGCACTGAGGGAGCAATAACCCTGGCGAGCACTTGGAGAGGAGATTATGACTCTGAGCCATGTGGATGCAGCTGGTGCTGCTATCAAGGTCTAGAAATGACAGCTGGAGATGGATGTGTGTGGACATGGGTTATGGATGGTACTTGCTGTGGATAGATGGGGAAGCATGAGCCAGAAGGGAAAACAAGTGCATGAGATTGAGCCACAGTGAGCTCCCCTCACTGATTACAAAAAGGAGGAAAAGCCAGGCATGATGGTACCTGTCTGTAATTCTAGCACTCTGGGAGGATGAGGCAGGAAAATCACAAATTCAAGCCCAACCCAGGCAACTTAGTAACTTGGCAAGACCCTGTCTCAAAATAAAAAATTAAAACGCTGAGTATGTAAAGTCCCTGGTATAAGAAAAAGAAAAAGAGAAGTAGGGGGGTTCCAATAGCCAGTGGCTAGAAAAGCCAGAGAAACACCAGGAAAATGCGACTTGACAAAATTGAACTAGCCCCAGTTTGTACCAAAAGCCCATACACTCCCCTGCTTAGAACCACAGAACCCCCACAGCAAGTGGGTCACAGTCCTACCTTTTTAAATACCAGGACACTGTCAAGGACCACATGGAAACGTCCAAAGGTATTTTTTATCTCCACCACTCCAAATGTAAGCTCAGGAAAGTCTTTGATCACGTCATAGAACGTTTCGGCTACTTCTTCCTCCAAATCCTGTTTGGGAAAACGTTTTGTAAGGCTTTGGTAGAAAACACAAATGTTTGGCTTATTTGAGTGGAAGGTGGAAGTGGTGGCTAATCTGTCCTCTCACTTTTTCCAAGTTCCAGAAAAGTTTTCCTGGGTCATCTATTTCCTTTTTGTGGATATTTTATGCCTAGAAAGCTGCTCTGGCTATGACTAAAGCCAAGCAGGCAAATCTTTAGATATCAGTGGAGAGAACTGGTTGTCTCCATCTTTCCCATTTATTAAGATAAAGGCTATTCCAACCTGTGGATTGAGAATTTTTAATATTAATTCCTTAAATGCTTTCAGAAGAAGCCATTGATTTGATCTCACATGATGCCACATGTCGACAGCATGATAGATGGCTAGAGTTTCAGACTTCATTCTTCAATTTTTGTTTGAAATTAAATTTGGCCAAAAAACACTCTCAAAGAAGGGGAAGGACAAGAGGCACATACACTTCACGTGTGTGAACACAGTGCCAAAGCTCTGACTTCTACTGTGAGATGGAGAAAAGTCATCAATTTAAAGTAAATGAGGCTGGGCACTCAGGAGGCTGAGGCGGGAGTATCACTGAGAGTTTGAGGCCAGCCTGGGCTACACAAAGTGAATTCAAGGCCAGCCCGAACTGCATAGTGAAAGTCTATGTCAAAAAGACAAAATAAAAGAAGAAAATTAAAGTAAATGAGTTAAGATGCATCAGAAATTCATTTTCTAGAAGCAAAACCAATTTTCAAATGATTTATAGATATATAAAATAAAAGCAATAGAAAGCTGTCATGAAAAATTTCATAATTATATCCAAGATTTTATGTTCATTCCCAAAGGTCTTCCCCACTACACCCCTGATGAGAGTTGGTGTGTTTGCAGGTGGGTGTGTGTTGGTGAACTGTTACAGGTTTTAGTTGTGTGGAGGTAGATGGCAAAGAATGGACCAGGGGTGGAAAGATGTTAGGGGTGAAGGCTGCCCTGGTCCAAGAATGTCAGAATCAGAAAACAATGTCTCTTAAAGTAGAAAACAATGATCTCCCTTTATTCTGTGATGTTCTAAATGGACTCCCCAAAAGATCAGTCTTGCTATTAAAACCAACTAAATATAAGTATGTCAATTTCCTCTTTCTTCCTTCCATTCCTTTCATCTTTCTATCTCCCACCTTCTACCCTTCTGCTTCCATCCTGTCTTCTTCCACTCGAATCATTGAGACCCCCAGAAAATCAGCCCAGTGCATGAGGGACATCGGGCACGGGATAGCACTGGTGACAGAGGTACCTCAGGTCACCCCTCCCAGACACAACGTGCTCACTGGTTGAATAGTCACCTCCCGCCTCTTGACCTTAGTACCTGGAAGAAGCCAATGATGACCACAGGCCTGGAGTTCACAAAATCTACCAGCTGCCGGCTTTCGTTGAACAAAAATGCTTTCTGGCTAATTTGTCTTCTCAACCAAACCACCAAGGCTGCAGATTCAACCACTCCTGGAGGGAGAGAGAGGGAGAGACAGAGAGACAGAGACAGAGAAACAGAGAGACAGAGAGAGAGACAGAGAGAGAGAGAGACAGAGATTCTCCTGAACTGAAACAAGACTTATCTTCCCCAAACTTGTCTTGGGTTCCCACCTATTGAAGGACAAGGTCAGTTTCTCCCCCAGGTTCCAAAGTATGAACATAGCAGCAGATAAATGTCACTGAGCTCTCTCCAGGAGCCAGACATTGGGCTGAATATGTTTAGCTGACTTGTATTAAAACTTCATAGGGGCTGGGGATTTAGCTCAGAGGCACAGCCCCTGCCTGGCAAGCGCAAGGCTGTGAGTTCGGTTCCTGGTACCGAACTTCATGACAACTTTGTGGGACAGATAGTCTTACTCTGCCCATTTTACAGATCAGGAAACCAAGATTCAACTTTTGGGTAGCAAATCAACTAGTGAACTCAGGTGTCAAACCTAGGAGAGAAAACAGTCCCAACCTTCATTTCTTTTGTACCTTCCAAGGTGACAGGTGAATGGATTTATGTCTTTGAAATAGAAATATACCTCTGTGACCTTGGGAAAATTTTATTATCCCTCTGTGAGACCAACTCCCCAGCCAAGATCCAACTACCTCTAAGATCGTGTATCTTGACTTTTATTTCTTGTCTGTGGTGTGAAAAATGCCAAGCAGACAAAAGTCTTACCTTGTAAAACTAGAAACACATATGCTATGTCTGAGAAGACAAAAGCAGTGCACCAGAATGTACACAGGGTCATATGCAGATGGGCATATGTTTCCTAAAAGAATCAATTTCACATGACAAAGTAATGTACATTAAAATTTTATAACATACCAATTTATATCAATATCAACTATAGAACAGAATGGAATATCTTAAATGAATTTATGAGGTAAAGGAATACTTGTGAATAGTTTAGATACATCCACAGATCTTTATTCATTCATCCATTTATTCCCTTATTTGTCAAAGATGCATTAAGTGCCTATTATGTTAGGTAAATACCAGTGCCCTCCTTACTCCTGGGGTGTAATGGCGGGCAGAAACAAACATATCACGCTTCTTTGCAGCACTCGTTCTGTGGGGGAAGACAATCACCCAGTAACTACACAAACAGACCTATGATTCCACCCAATGCAAAGTTCTATGAGCTTCGAACAAAGACATCTGACCTAGAGAGCTTTCTGGAGGAAATAACGTATGAGCTGAAAACTGATTGACGCACTAGAGTTAACCATGAAGCAGTAAAAAAAGAGTAAAAGACTTCCTGATAGAGCCAAGAGCATGTGCAATGGCCCCGCATCAGGGCAAATCACTGCATGGGGTTTGATTTGGGGACCTTGAACAGCTGGATCAACTGCAAAAGGCTCTGCTTTCAGTATTCTTGCTTACAATTCCCAAGAATATCAAGCCTTCAAAAAATCTTACAATAAAATATGTTTACATGCAGAAAGGCACCCAAATGACACTGTATAAATTTGATGAATTCTCACAAAACAAATACATCTACACAACAGCCACCCAAATCAAGAAACAGAACGTTACGGGTCCCCCAGAACTCTCTGCTGTGTCTCCACCCAACCCTCCCCAAGCCCACCCAGGGGAAGCTACTTCTAACAGCCTGTATCTGACTGCCTATACTTTAACTCCACATAAATGGAGACATGTCACATGTGCTTTTGAGTCTGGATTTGCTACTTTGTGAGCTATATCCCCATTGTTCATGTGCTTGAAGATGGATTTCCACTGCTGCATAGTATTCCATTGGGTATTTCCCAATTCACTTTCTATCCTCTGTTGATGAGCATTGAGTTGTTTCTGGGTCGGGGCCATTGTAAACAAATTCTCATACTTGTCTCTGGGTGTGGTGGATTAACTAACGGTCAACTTGAAACATCCAGCTGAACTGAGTCAACATGGTTTTGGGTGTGGGAGGCCCACCTGAGGACAGTTGCCAACAGCATAAAAGGAGAACTGGAGAGGAAGATAGTGTGCTGCTGATTCTCCTGCAGAAGATTGTTGCGCTGGTTTTCCTGATATGAACTCAGTTGTTCTCATCATCAGAGGAGCTTGGGACCTCAATGCTGCTGTGGATGGCTGCGGTTCTCTTCTGGGGAGCTCTGGTCCTTACTCTGAGCATTGCTTCCTGGTTCCAGTGCAGATCCCTCTGCCTGCTGGCCCAGATCCTTCACCCCACTGGAGCAGACTTTCTAGTTTTGAACACTGACCTTTGGACCTTCTCAGTGCAGATCCTTGATACGGACTTGCATGAGACATTGTCGTGGGCTCTAGGCCTCCAGCTGGACTTGTAGAGCACATTGCCATGGGCTTTAGGTCTTCAGATAGACTCATGCAGGACATTGCATGGGACTAGGCCCTCAGCTCGATTCTTTGGGTCTTTGGCATATGGACAGATCTCCTACGTTCTTCTGCATTTGACTTTTCAGGTGAATATTATAAAATAATCCTATAAATTATGTGTCCTATATTAAATCTATTCCCTTGCAAACCTTGGCTACAGCACTGGGGCACATTGAATGTCATTCCATTGGGTAGATGAGACAGGAGCAGAATTTCTGCACAGAGCAGGTGCCATGCTCAGCTTCAGTAGATACAAATAAGACCATTTAAAAAGCAATGGTGAGCCAGGGATATAGCTCAGTGCCACAGCATCTGCCTGGCAAGCACAAGACCTTGAGTTCAATTCCAGTACCAAAAAATAAAAATAAATAAATAAAATAAAAAGCAATGGTGAGCCAGCCTACAGAAGTTCCCCTGAGGATGACATGGTGCCTCCAGGAGACAGCAAGGAAGGAGGAGGCTTTATGTAGCTCAGACCTTAGTACCCATCCCGCTGATGCCCCTTATCTTCTGAAAATCCAACCCCAAAGTTGAGTCTATGTCCACAATGCTCCTAGTTATCTTTAGGAAAAAAACACACACAGGAAAACAAATTGTTTCTCTTAGAGACATTTTCCCACCAAAATTATGTTGTAAGTTCCATAAAAGGAATTAATTTAGAAATTCTGAACATATAGAAAAGGTGCAGAAACTCCTCAACTTTCTTTAAGCTTCAGGTCTTTAGAACCATTGCTCCAAGCTGTCCCCGTCCACCTTCTAGCACACCAGGTTTGGAATCACTGGCCTCCTCAGCTGGCCTCCCTCCCTTAGCTCTTGTGGTGCAGCTTCTTCTGCTTACTCAGGTTCTCCACTCTCTCCTGACCCTAGTCTTTGTCATACGGTGCATTCTATTCTCTTCATTGTGTCAATAACTTTCTGAAATTATTATTGTAACTTTTTTGCTAACTTATTGAATATAAGCTCCCATAGCTCCTAGAATCCCTGGCATATACTAGGTGTTCAAGAAATCACTCTGGGATGAATGAATGAAGTGAATGAATCATCTGATGAGCCAGCTTCAGAGAAATGGATCTTAGGCCATCTTCTCTGGGATGTGTGGGTTCCATTTTCTCCTCTAGATTTCAGGGGGATGAAGTACTGTGAACTTCTCCATGGCTTATTGCTGAGTGCCTGCAGCTGGAGCACTGCCTTTGCAGGGCACAGTGCCTCCCCTGGCACTTGGCCCTGAGCCAGAGGACACAGTGACAACCGAGGTGTGAATACTCTGTCAATGATTGACTGGGGCCACACTTGGCTGCACATTTCCAGGAACGAGCTGTGAATGCTTCATTAACAAAGGCCCTGAGGCAATCATCATGTTTCCCTCCCTTTGGGATAGGGGGTAAGAACAAGTCTTTTCATGATGGATCCTTGGAGATCAGACAAGAATGGGCTTTGACCCAGCAACGATTAAATCCCGCTTGCCACAAACGGGGGTTATTTTGTAGAAGTTGCATGGAAGTTGATATGCACAGTACTGTCTCCTCTTTGAGCTCAGAGGAGCCCTGTGATGGAGGAAGAACTGAAATTATTCATTCTGTCCAGAAAATGAGACATTGAAAGTCCAGATCTACAAGGCTTGTACTAGTTCCTGCAGCTAGTGTTTATCCTAAAATCCGGGTATCCTGCGTCCCAGCCTTGGCTCTTTCTGTGGTTTGGAGTAATTCTGACAAAGAGGGAGGTAAGAAAGCTCAGCAGAATATGAGCTAGTCCCTTACCTACTTCTACCTGTGGTGAGACCTTGCAATTCCATCCTCTTCAAACTCAAAAACTTATCAGAACCTAATTTCTCTAAGCCCTGGACTAGAGTCAAGAAACTAACAGTTTGTTAATAATAAACTTATCTGCCATTTATTTAAAGTACAAAGAATGTAGAGCAGGGCTCAACAAACTAGAGCCAGCTTGATGGCCCCATGTTTGATTTTATGAATAAAACTTTATTGCAACACAATTATGCTCATTCGTTGACAGGTGGCTGTTTACACACTGTATCAGCAGAATGTGTAGTTGTCACACAGATTTTCTTACTCGTAAGGCCTAAAATACTTGCTACCTGGTTCTTTGAAGAAAACTTTTGCTGATTCCACTGCTTATTAGCTGGTATGCTTTCAGGCAGTTATTCTCCCTTTCTGTGCCTCTGTTTCTCCACCTATAAAAGCACTTTCTACACCTGATTGTTGTGAAGTAGGAGAAGGGCTTGGAGCACAGTGCATGCTGCAGAGATGTGATCTGCCCTGTGTCTTGCTAGCATTGTATCAGCTTCCCAGCAGTCCTAGGAGGCAGATATTTTCACCATCCTCATTTCACAGATAAGGAAACTGAGGCAGGACAAGAGGAAGTGGTTGTTACTCAGATAGTAGCAAGGATATGGATTCAAAGGAGTGTGCTGCCGACTCCTGCAGCTCTTCACTGGACCTGGAAATGCAAGTGAGAGGGGTCCCTTCCTCCACGGTGCTCTCAGCAGACAGAGAGGGACATATGCCATCTGAGGAAGTGACAGAGAACCATGGGAGTGCAGGAGCACTGAGTGGGTCAGGCTTCCTGAGCTGGTGGTGGTCAGGGGAGGTGACAATGAAACTTCCTGCACAGCAAGGAAAGTCCCAGGGTTAGGTTTGGGGGACTCAAGAGGACTTGAGGACCTTCTCTGCAACCTCACTCACAGTCTGAAAGTGGCCACATGGTCATTTTGTGGCCTGAGCAGTCAGACAGTACATGGATGGATGGATGGATGGATGGATGACAAAACTGATGAACACAGAAGAGCCTAGCAGCCTCCTTGCTGTGCTAGTAGAATGTTCCTGGGTCTGACATATAGCAAACTTCCAACAGGCTTGATTGAGTGTTATTGCAAGAAGCTAAGGCGGGGGTGCCACCATACGCAACCCATCCCCACCTTCAGGGTGCCATGCAGTTCTCAGAATGGGCACAAGGGGGGGCATGAGAAACAAAAGACAGGTTCACTCAGGAACATGCTGCAAAAGGGGTAGTCAGGTCTCGTGGAGTCGGGATTCACCTGTCCCTCAGGAGGAAAGACATGCCAATGCCTGAGCCACTCCACAGGCAGATACAGATATGGACAAGGTAAATAGGGGCTCTTTGCTTGGGGTCAGTGGGTCCTCACTACGAAAATCATTACACAGCATGCAGCAGTAAGAGAAGCAACACGGATTTCCCATCTCTTTCTTACCCCATGTCTCCTCCTGCCCCCACCCTGACTCCACAAGCCTGCTAGGTGCCTATTATTCAACTACCCCTTTTGCAGCATGTTCCTGAGTGAACTTGTCCTGTGTTTCTCGTGCCCCTCCTTGTGCCCATTCTGAGAACTGTATGGCACCCTGAAGGTGGGGATGGGTTGAATATGGTGGCACCCCCGCCTTAGCTTCTTGCAATAACACTCCATCAAGGCTGTTGGAAGTTTACTATATGTCAGACCTGGGAACATTCTACCAGCACAGCAAGGAGGCTGCTAGGCTGTTTTGTGTTCATCAGGTTTGTTATCCATCCATCCACCCATTTATGCATTCCTATATGTAACTTTTTAAAATTAAAACATGCCAGACAAACACATCAAATTCTCCAAATAGCCCCAACATCAAGATAGGTCGGAACACGTGATAGGTTGATAATAAATGGGTGCTGAGTACATGAAAGGAATGATGATGTAAATTAATGTTTGGTAGCACCCTAGTCCCAGCCTCTTTTTCTGTCATCTCCTTGTCTCCTTTTGGCTACCTAGTGGCCTGGGGTGGCACCCAGATCATTCTAAGGGGCAAGATTTGGATGAGGAGTGGAATTAGGAACTCAGTCTCTGGTCTCTGGAGTTTATAAGCCATACACCCCATCCTCTACCTCTTGGTGTTTCGAGGGCCCATCAGCTGAGATGCAAGCTGTGGAAGAGGCAACTGTATGGTCACCAAAACCCATTTCCTTGGGGAAATCAAGGACAAGTTTGTCAGCTTCTCTTGCAGCTGACAGGGGGCCACATAACAGAATTCTGGTCAATGGACTGTGAATAGAAGTAATGCCTGCCACTTCCAGGCCATGACCACCACCTCTGCTAAGCTCCAGACTTCTGGCTCCAAATGCTGGTTAAACACAGGAATGAGCAGAAAGCTCCCAGGCACCAGGAAGGTGGAAAGGGCCTGGATCCCGGAGAACCCATGTGGGTCAGAGCCTCTGGCTGCCAAGCAGGCTTCCTGTAAGCATGAAAGTGACGTGACACTGAGCACTATTACCTTTGCAGTTGATGGGCTCTGACCTGTTGCCCTCAAAAAACAACTTCAACTCCGGAGCTTTCCTGACGTCAAACTCCTGCTTAAGCTCCTTCTCCACCATGATGTCCACTTTGCCGAAGTCAATCCCATTCTTGCCCTTGCCCATCATCCTCACAGCTTTGCCCAGCTCTGACGCCAGGTTCCTGGATTGCTTGGAGGACGGGTTGTCTGAAAGAGCAAACAGGAGGAAAGGCTAGCCCAGCCTTCTTTTTTTTGGTTTTTCTCTGGTACCGAGAACCGAACTCACGACCTTGCACTTGCCAGGCAGGCACTTTGCCGCTGAGCTAAATCACCAGCCCCTAGCCCAGCCTTCTTTCCCATCCACATCCATCCCCAGAACTCTGGCTTTTCCTGTGCCTGCTGCTAAGGAGTAAGTTTCGGAAACTCGACAGGACCACTTGGGAGATGAGCACTGTGGCTCTTCCAGTTCAGTAACACTGGGAACAATCCAATGTCAGGCTGCTACATCCCTCTGGGCTCTGTTTTTCTCTCTTTTAAAACGGGGACTATCATAGTGGCTCCTTCACAGACTTGTCAAGATTCAGACAAGATTTATGTAGCAATCAGTTCACAGTGCTTATTGTTTTCTAGAGTTTTACGCACATTGAGTTATTTATTCTTCCCAATAACCCTATAGGGCAGGTGTTATTATTACCCTCTCAAGTGTATAGGTGGAGAAACGGAGGCACAACAAAGTGATCTGCTTGCCCAAAGCCCTATGACAGTGAGAAAGCCTAGATATGAATCCACTCGGGCTGGCTGCGGAGTTCTGGTTCTCAGGTCTCCACCAGGCCTGTGAAACACTTAGCTTAATGCCTGGCATGCAGTGAGCACACAATACATTGCAGTCACTACTGCTGTTACTGGTGTAAAATTTCTGTGGTCAGAAATTAGGCAAGGGGCAAAGAGAACAGAGTGAAGGAAATCCTGAGCGCCATCTGGTGGAATGTGCTGAAACTAGCCACCTGAATTAGGTTCCTCCAGCTGCCTGTAGCTGTATCTAATAGGCAGTGAGCTCCTTCAGGCAAAGAGGGCCAGGTGTGGAGATGGGAGTGGGGCACGCTACCATGCTCCCCTACCTTCCTGAGCTCACCCCTTTGCAGGAGAGGTCACTGAAGCAGTCTGACACTCTCCGTAAGGGATCTGACACTGATTCCTTGGCCACTCAGATTGTGAGGCAGTAAGACAGGTACGAGGAAATAGCTGTAAGGAACTGGCATGTAGAACAAATCTTTCTGGCCTAAATGGAGGGGACCGAAAGGCTCCTCTGCTTGCTTTTCTTCCTCCTGATAAGGTTGTATAACTACAGACCCCTCATTGCTCCAGTGCCAGGCAGGTGAGCTGAGCAGGGCCGAGCAGATTTTTAAAACTGTGTCAATCTGGAGCCCTTGGAGAAAGTGCAAATCACCTCCTGGCTGAGGGACCATCCAGTTCCTACAGAGAAGTCTTTTGTGGCACACGGCCCAGCTTTTCTGGGCCCAAAATGTTACAGACAAGGAAATGGAAGCCCAGAGGTCTTCCTGCCAGTAAGCGTTAATTTGAGCTTCAACTCCAAGGCCACCTGACTCTTAGATTCATGCTCCAATTGACCAACTGGCACCCACCAACTGCCAGCCAGCAACCTGCGCCTGTACAGAATCCGAAACCCAAAAGTGAGTGATTGTTTTCATTAACCTTGCAATCGATGGGCAGGAGGGGAGACTCTCTGCCTCATCCGTGGATCAATGCCTCACTGCTGCCTGCTCCATCGCCATCATCGCCTTTTATACCCCCATCCATCACCACCAGCAGGTGCTGGCCTGTCGCCAGCTGCTGGACTGTGGCCTCTCCTGTGGCTTTCTGGGAATTTGGGCTCAAGGTTGCTGATTGACATCACATCTAAGGCAGGTGCTCAGAGTGCGAGAACCCCATGGAATGGCTGCCCCAAAGGTGGGGCATCAAGATTCCCCTCACAGTCCCATGCCTCTGGGGGTCTGAAATAGAGGTCAGAATGATCAGCACAACTGGAATGCTGTCATCTGAGAGCTACAAAGATGGGACCTGACAATGATGGTCAGGGCGTCTATTCATTTCATTCATTCACTCGCTCAACAAATCATTTCCAGTGTATGTCATATGCCAGGCGCCATTCTAGGCACTGAGGCTGTTACAGTGAACCACCACATAAAAATCCATGCTGCCACTGGGAAAGGCAGAAAATAAACAAAATAAAGAAATAGAAGTTCACGCTGGGTTAGGGGATAAGTACTAGAGAGAAAAAATAAACAGAATGGGAAGTTGGGAATGTTGGGGAAATTGTTGAGTTTAAGTAGAAAAATTAAGGAAGGCTTCTTGGAGAAGCAGGCTGAAGGAGCCGAGGGAGCCTCGTGGATATCTGGAAGTGGACCGGAGGAACCAGGAGGGCAAAGGCCCTGGGGCAGGGTGTGCGAGGCCTCTGAGGAATAGCGACTCTGTTGAGTCTGGAGCAGAGTGAGCCAGTGTGGCGGGTGGGGTGGTATAGGGTCCTGTAGATCACTGGGTAGACGACGACCTTTCTTCTGAGGAATGTGACATGTCACCAGTGTTTGGAGGAGTATCAAGTATGATTTGATTTACTTTTAAATTGGATTTATCTCGATGCTATATGAAGACTAGACCTAGGGAGAAACCAGTGGGCACAGAGAGACCAGTTGGACACTATTGCAGTAACTCTGGTGAACGATGGTGGTGGTTTGAGCCCAGATTGTGGCAGTGCAAGGGGGTAAGAAGGGGTCCAAGGCTAGAGAAATTTTTGGAAGACAAGCTGATTGGATTTGTCGATAGGTTGGATGCGGAGTGCAAGTGAAAGAGAAGTGTCAAGGACGACTCTCAGGTTTTGACCAGAGGAACTAGAAAGGGAATGATAGTAATGACTGTAGTGATAGCGATGATACAAAAACCATTATAGCATTTATTGAACAGGGCGTGGTGGTACATGCCTATGATCCCAGCATTCTGGTGTCTCAAAAGCTTGAGCCTAGCCTCAGCAATTTGGCAAGACCCTATCTAAAAATTGAAATTAATAATAATAATAATAATAATAATAATAATAATAATAATAAAGAGAACTGGGATGTAGCTCAGTGCAAAAACCTTGAGCTTAATCCCTAATACTATAAAAAGGCATTTATTTTTCATTTATTATAGTGTCACTTTGCTAAGCATGTGTTATCTTGATTAATCTTCAGTACAACCCTAAGAATTAGCCATTCTTAAGGGCAAGGAACATCACAACAAGGAAATGGGAGCTCGTGGTCTTATGCTAGTAAGTGGTGACACAGATTTAAATCCAAGGCTACCTCAGTGAAAGGAGTCACTGGTGAGGAGGTAATACGCTATTTTTCACAACCTTTAGGCTGTAACTACTTGTTAGATCTTTCTTGCATATCTCTGTCTTCCTGAGAAACCACTTTGAAGATACCACCATGTATTACAGCAACCATTGATATTTTCCTATTAATCTGTCCATAACTCTGTAATGTTTGTATTGTTCCCATGCTATTTTGTAAATGGATGTATGTTTATTACTATGTAGTTCCTACAACAACCATTGAGAATAGTCAATGAATATTCAATTGGTCACTCATGTATAGCTCTATTTATCTTCTTTAGAAACCACTTTGAAGATACCAAAGTATAGCACAACAATCATTGATAATAACCTACCACTTTTGTCTGTAACTTGCTATTATTTGTCTATTTGTTTTCCTAAGAAACTATCTTGTAGGTAACAATATAAAAAACAACAACCATTGATAATTTCCTACCACTTTGTCTGTAATTTGGTAAGCCCCCCCTATGCTATGTTATCCTTCCTTTACTCTTTAAAATAATAAAAAAATTTTAAAAATCCAAGGCTAGCTCACTCCAACTGAGAAAATTGGTCATCTGTTCTGAAAATGTCCCTTTGTTTGTAGAAGGGGATGGGGATATGCTTCCTGTCTCCCCTGTTTTAAGTGACTCCCATAGGAGCAGAGAGAAATTGCAAAGACAATCCATTCTGAGATTAGGGTCCTATTTTCTGTCTTCGGTCTTTTTAAGTTTGCTAATTGGTTTTACCTCTGATGCTCTGCAATTTTAAATTCAAAGTTCTTAAAGGAGAAAGGTATGCAAAACCCCTTGGATCTTGGTATCTACTTCTTGCCCTGGTTAAGTGGAAATCTAAGCTTGGTCAGGGAAAGAAGACACTTGGACAGAACAGTGCCCAGTGGGCTGTAGATAGCCAGGAGTCCCTTTACTGAGATCCCCAAAAGCCCACCCTCCCTCAGGACTTGGGTATGTTTACAGATGCTCTGTCTACTTTAAAGCAGTTCTCCATAATGAGACAAGACAAATGGAGCTTTAGTGCAAACTTGGCATAGAAATGCTATACTAGGGTGAGAGAGGTCACCATGGCACTGTAAGCAGACCGAGCACCAATTCTCACGCCAGACCTGGTCTCTAATCTGGGCTTTACTGTTTATCAGTTGTGTGACTGGGCAAATGATCTAAGCTTCTGAGACTTACTTGCCTCAGTGTTAGATGGTCATAATAACACTAATGACAGTGCCTGGAGCTCAGGTGCATGATAAATGGCAATTCCCACCATTGCCACCACTGTTGTCACTGTTACTGTCATCACCATATCCAGCACCAGCACTATCCTTACCATTGGCATCATCTTCACCATCTCAATCTTATCCATATTACCGTCTTCTTCATTACGAACTCCATCATTACTTAATGTATTCTCAGGACAAACTCTTACCACCTGTGCCTAAGGAACAACCAGTAAATGATCCCAGAGACAGCTCCTAATAAGTCTTAGACTCCCCATTGAGGGTGGCTTTTCCTTCCCTTCTTGACTCAGAGGCTCAAGGAGGACACTTCAGGCAGAGGAAACTGCAGGTGCAAAGGCCCCAAGGACTGAGCTAGCAACACAAATAGATGAGGGTGAAAAGCAGAGTGTTCAAGGGATGTGAGAAGATCTAGGCTGGATCAAGTAGAAAACTCTCATTCATGCTAAGAAACTTGGAAGTTTAGAAAACCATTAAGGATTTTCATCAAGTTACAATTTGCACTTTAGAAAAAAAAAAACTGAGTAGATTGTAGGCAACGCTTTGGGAGAGGCTGGGAGACCATCTGCTGCAGTGGCTGGGGGGGGGGATGAGGAGGGTGGAACTGAGGCAACAGGAGAGCGGGGAGAATGGGAGGGTGCAGAGGATTTAGAAGATGGCATCTGCAGGATGTGGTGGCAAATGAGATTCGAGAACGGAGGGGAATCAAGGAAAGCCTTGATGTTTCTGACTTTAACACTGGAAGGCAGGATATGAGAAGAAACAGGCAGACAGAACCAAATCCATGAATCTGTGGTATGTTTTGGACATAAGAGGCATTTCCACCAGTCATAGACTCTTGGGCCAGGACTCCTTAGAGGGGCAAGAAGTTGGGCAGCAGTTACGGATGTGAGAGCCCCTGGGGAGTCCCTGGGGACAACGTCTGCAGCATCCCCTTGTAAAGAGCCCATTTACCCTTGGAGGAAGGCTTTTATGTTTTCCCCCAAGTGATTAATTTCTCCAAAGGTCACTTTAGCAGGCCTGCCAGGTTTTGAGAACTCATTTGGAATTAAATTGTGTACTGGCAGGAATCAAAGAGTCAACTGTAATGAGTTTAATAGAGTGTCTCTTTTAGATAACACAATCACTGCTGGGGTAGAGTTGGCTGCTTCAAAATACCCACTGGTGGGAAGTATTCAGATACTTCAAGGGATTCAGATTGGTTGTTATCAAGTGCAATTAAAGAATGGAAAATCAGTTGGCTGTTTCTGCAGCCTCCTGTTCAGTGTCAGTCCCAAAGATATAGACGGGAAGAACCATGGACTTGCCCTTCTACCCTGATTAAAACAACATCACTGCTGGCACAATCTTGAGTTCTCAGGGGGAGAGGGAGGGGTCCCCAGCCTTGACCACCTGCTGTACTATTTTTGACAAGGAAAACGTGTGCAGGTGTTTACTGTGCAGTGTGAAGCCTGTGGCTCTGCACCCTTCAAATGGGGTTCAGGATTCATGGTTTGGGACCACAGCAAAAAAAGAGAAGATGGTTTGGGTTTTTGACCTATTTGTCCATTATCTTACAATCCCGCAGCAAGCGGAGTAGAGCAGCAGGGTTCACAACTTTTCCTGGTGGAAGGAACAGCGAAACAGTTGGCCCACGTTCTGATGTGGTTGAGGGATGTGTGGGGCGGGATGGAAGGGTCTTCCAGCAGAGTGGAAATGCCTGCCCTGTTCACAGGCTGGTGTGATGAGAATGGTCTGGCTAGATCTCTCCTGCAAGGCTTTGCTTAGTGGGTTTGCAGTAAAGCAAGGGTGGGGTGGTGCTCGTGTGGAAGGCAGCCACTAGCCACCAGAAGAAGACGGAGTCAGAGGCGTGGAATTGCCTTGCGGGAGAATTGGTGCAATGCGCATGCTCCGTATTGGATGGAGGCGCACGGGAGCCAATCACATGTTCACACTGGAGCACCGCATTAAGGGCCCTAAGAAGGCCATTTGTGTTGCTGTGAGGTGGCTGCACAATCCAGCGGGCGAGGCACTAGTACTTGTTGGGGGGTGGGGGCAAATTGGTGCTGTCACATCTCTAGATTCCCCCCTTTGAGTGGTGTCCTTGAAAAACAATATATCAAGTGAGAGGAGGCGAGGGTTAAGGTAGCGTTGGAAGGCCTGAGTTTGGGGCGGAGTCCATAAACTCAGATGTTATGTGGGCAACATTGGCTGAATAGGATGACGGGAATCTCACAGGCAGGGAGGGGCTCCTGGTCTCACTTCTCGGCTCTATGTGTCACCTTGCAGGAAGAGGGGCCAGCGCTTCCACATTTTAGGACTTTCCAAGAGATGATGCAAATTCAATTTTAACTGAAACGTTCCGGTATTTAAAACACTGGAGCACAACCCACCTACTGGCCATCTTCAGGACATGGGCTTCTTGTCACATGATTGCTTTCAGGGTTCAGGGAAAGGGAAGGAGCCACAAAGAACTGTGAAAGAGGAGGGAGCTAGACAGATCACAGCGAACCAGAAGAGAATGCTTGAGGCCATGGGTTTAATTCCTAGCACTAAAAAAACAAATAGCTGTCGTGTATTTGCTATCTACCTACCCATTCCCTTTTGTTTAATCTAGCTAGGATGTCAAATGCAGTGCAGGAAGTACAGCAGCCATCTGTGACCATGAGCTACAGCATATGAAGGCTGATGAAGTAAGAAGATAAAACAAATGTAAGTCCTTGATGCTGAGCAGCTGTGATGCCAGGCACTGACCGTCTATCCTCGGCAGATGTGCTATATAGGACATGCTCTTAGACTGAAGCCCCCGTTCACAGATTCGTCATTACTAGATGTTGCACCCAGTCCTAACACAGAATTGATATACTGCATCTGTGTGGTGCCGTGGGTTCTCCATTACTCCCTGTAGCAACCACTTCCAACATTCCCACTCTACAGGTAAAGAAAATGAAATGCAAAGAAACCAAGGCCTAGTTTCTGGCAGAATTGGCTTCACCCTCAGGTTCACCTGATTCTCAGTGCACTTGATAGCAGACCTGATGGCACTTAGGGACCAAGGTGTGTGGAGGCTTGGGAATGAAGAGGTCCTTCAGGATTTGGCAGTGCTCGGCACAGGGTCTTTGATAAATATGGATGTCAACCAGCAACCATGAATTCAGGGGACTTCTGCTGCCTCCACTGCTCTGGCTAAAGATTGCCCATCTTGCGGGGCAGATGGCGTGTCTCTCACTTGCAGGCAAACCAAAAGCTCCCAGAAGCACTTGCTGTGGCCTGGGCATCCTTGTGCCCAGCGTGAGCAGCCAGGGCCAGATCAAGAAGGCTGTTCAGCCACTGTGGTTTGGAGACACAACTCTGAGGACCAACCTGATCCAGGACTTCGCACCTTGTGTCACCAGGCGCGGGGCTCAGACCATGCGGTGGCATGGGTCATGTTTACAGAGCTTCTCTTGCCTGGTGACATGCTTCAACTGTAGAGTCGTTGAAGGCAGAAAAAAAGACCCCTTTTCTCTGGGGCCCACACAGCCTGTCACAGTCTGGCACTGAGTGGGGCTGTGGAGCAGCAGGGTGAAGAAGGGCACAGGGACTCCCTGTAATCCCAGCAGTCTGGGAGGCTGGGATAAGAGGATCACAAGTTCGAACCCAGCCTAGGCAACGTAGCAACTTAGCAAGATCCTTTCTCCAACTAAAAAATTAAGAAAAGGGCTGGAGAATGCGGCTCAGTGTGAAGGCCCTGGGTTCAATCCTCAGGACTACAAAAGTAAAAAAAGAAGTGCAAAGATAACATGGCCACAAGAGACCACGAGGGAGGTGTCGCTTTTCCAGAGGACGCCAGTGATGCCAGTGACAAGGGCAGGCGGTGTCTCCAAGCTCCTTAGCAACGTGTCAAGCATGCTGTCTCCCCTAACCCCCACAGTCACCCACGGCTTTACACAAGGGCACTGCATTCATTCCCCAGGTGACAGCCAGGGAAAGGAGGTCAGAGTGCCCGATTCTGGGAGTAGCTCTGAAGGCAGAGCTCAGACTCCAGTGTCCACATCTGCTTTCTTCATCCCCCAAGTCCCTCCATGTGAGAAGTGGCATAGCACAGGGGGAACCCTCACTTGTGCTGTGTGACTGTGGGCAAATCATCTGGCTTCTCTGAGCCTCTGTATCCTCTGACACAAAGTAGGGAGGTGAATAGTGCCACCATGCTGGGCTGCAAGGACCAAGGACTTAACGTTTCCTGAGGTGTTTAGGACGATGCCTGGCACATGGCGGTGTCCACAGTGTGAAAGCTGTCAGGAAAACCCCGTCTTATGCTGTCCCGAGGCTCAGCTTGGTGCCCCCAAGATGTCTGCTGATGCAAAGAGTAAAAGTTCAAAATGCAAAGGTGACTATGTGAAGCCTAGACAACAGAAGTGAAGGATTAACGCACCCTTTTGCCCAAGAGCCTTGACCTAACTGCCATCCTTTATTGCCCTCAGGGTGCGGCCCAGGAACTGCACACACTTCCCTGACTATTCTCAACAGTCCAGCTGGGTCATGAAGCTTCACGCCCATTCTGTAGAGGCAAAAACTGAGGCCCAGAATACTAAGGACACCTGAAGATAAAGCCTGGCTTTCCTACATGTGACATCATAGAAGCCACATGTGATGAGTGATCAAAATATACAAATTCATTAGAATAAAGACACATGGTCATCAGTACCCCTCAGGGTACTCCCCCTCACTTGGAGCACACTTATCCCACTATTCTTGCCACTTTCTGAAGCAGTTGTGGAAGTCCTCTTTGGTGAATGTCTGTAGCTGCACTGTCATGGCTGCCTCAGTGTCCTGGATCAGTTCAAAATGCTTGCCGTTCATGGCCATTTTGATGTTGTGAGAGAGCCAGAAGCCTCAGGGTGCCAGATCTGGTGAATAAGGTGGGTGGAGACACACAGTGACATTTTTACAAGCCTGCTTTTTCATTGAATGGTGCTCAGCAGCATTCACCACACTTTTTATCACACTAGGTAAAGACATTTGTGAAAGAGGACTTCCAGAACTGCTTCAGAAAGTGGCAAGAATGATGGGATAAGTGTGTTTGAGGTAAGAGGGAATGATTGAGGGGATTAATGGCAATTAATTATTGTAAAAATTTTTTTTAAATTTCACTATATTTTTGATCACCTCTTGTCCAAGCCCAAGATGAAAGTGCCCCCACCCCCCAGGTACCTGGACTTTCCTGGGACCTCAATGTTCTCATCTGGAAATTGAGAGTGATGTGGTATATATAAATATACTTTTTAAATTGTTCGTGTGTTCTGGTGTGTTGAGATATATATAAAGCTCCTCAGGCCATAGGAGCAAGGAAGCAGGCTTGTCACCAGGGACCGGGAGGAAATACTCACGGAAAAGCACCATGAGGAAGCGGGTCTCATTGAGCATCTGGGCCAGGCCTGCTGCTGTCAGCACCAGCAGGTCGCGCTCCTCCACAATGTGCAGGGGCTGGGAGAGGTTGATGCTGGGGACAGTGGCGCCCTGCTCCAGGGAGCTGTGGGCAGTGGGGACCCAAGAGGCCACCATCAGCAGGGCCATCCAGAGCAGCTCCATCGCTGTCCTGAAGAGGAAAGGAACAGAGCGTCTGTTAACACAGGTGGGCCTCTCCCCTGCCCCAGTGTTGCTCTCCACACCCCACCTTTCACCTGGGGGGCAGTGGGCTGGGCACTGCCCCCAGCAATACCCAAAGTGGGTGACTGCATCTAGAAGCTCAGCACAGCTGGGCCCCACTTGGAACAGCGGGACACGCAAGCCCTCTGGCTTCCCAGCCACTAGTGAAAACTTGCCAAGAAGAGTCTCACCCCAGGGTGAGCCTCTGGACCAGTCCCCCAACACCAGCTCCCAGGATCTCCTCTGCCAACAGTGCCCCATGCTCCCTTGCGTCATGCTCCTCCAGTTCCAGCCTGAATGCCTCTGTGTCGGGACGCTCACTGCCTTACAATGTACCCCATTTGGTTCTTGAAATATTTTCAAGACTGTTTTCTCTTAAAAGTCACAACCACAAAATGCACTTGTAAAAATATGTCAAGTTCAAAATAAAAATCTCTCCTTTAACTGTATTGCCAAGAAAGCTGTTAGGTTTAGAATGAATCCTTGCAGGTATTGAAAATACCCCTGTGGACGTGCTTTGAGTGCACATTTTGAGACTGTGCATATTGTATGGTGCTTAATTCTCTCTCCTTAACCTTTGATATTTATGAAAAATCCCCTGATGCTCAACCTTGCCCGAGAGCAAACTGGTTCAGGATTGCTCAGAGTGGGGCCTGCAATCAAAATATTTTAAATTTCCCAAGTGATTTTTGTTTTGCTGCTTCTTTGTTTGTGGTTGATGCTGTTGTTATTGTTGTTTGTGGTAGTGGGGATTGAACACAGCCTGTTTACACTGAGCTATATTCCCAAACCTTTTTTCAATATTTATTTTCAGACAGGGTCTTACTAATTCATTAAGTTGCCCAGGCTGGGTTTCAACTTGTGATCTTCCCGGCTCCGCCTCTCAGAGAGCTGGGATTGCAGGTGTGCAGCATCATACCTGGCTTATTGTTGTTATTTTAACTTTCTACTTGAGGCATTTTGAACACAAAGATAGAATGGTATGCTGAACCCCAGGATACCCACCCCTCAACTTCAGTTACTATCATGGCTAAACACTTCATTTGTATTCTCATCAACTTTCTTCCCTGGATTATGTTGAAGAGACTCTTAAGCCTCACACATTTCACCTGTAAATATATACAACAAAATATAAAAATATATACATATAAACAAAACAAAATATATATTTTGCTTTGTTTTGTTTTTCTCCGGTACCGGGAATCAAATTCACGACCTTGCGCTTGCCAGGCAGGTGCTGTGCCACTGAGCTAAATCCCCAGCCCCTCACCTGTAAATATTTAATCATGAATCTCTAAGTGATATGGATTATTTTAAAATAGCATATAAAGGGTATACTTTCAGGAATCATTTTTATAATAAAATAGCATATAACCACAATAGTATTATCATAACATCTGCATATCATCAACAACCCAGAAAGTGTGCAAATCACCCTGATTGCCTCATAAAGTTTAAGTTTTTTAAATCAGGATCTAAATGAGACCCATCAAGTATCGACTGTCGGCTTTCTTAAACCTTGTCCAGGTAATTTTGCAACTCGAGAGCCATATGGTCAAATGAAATCAACAAAGCCAAGTCAAGATAAGAGTGAAAGGTAGGGAACACCTGGTTTTCTGGACTGTTGAACAATGGACATGATCCAAATCTATGTCTCAGCCAAAGGGCTCATGACCGCCAGGCTGGCGTTAAGGGTCCCTAATGACCTGCAGTGTCCCCACGTCCAAGGTCAGGTGCCACTCACCAGCCCTAGCTGAGTCTGCTATAGTACAGAGATGACTATTAGAACTGTTGTTTTTAGCACTAATGTCTTTGTTTGCTTATTTGTTGTTTGAGTCACTCACTAGCAATAGGAATTGTCATCTAAAAGTTCTTTGCCTACATGGAGGCATCAAGGTACCAGGGTGTTAATTTTCATTGTGCAGAGAGTCACTAGATGACTGTTTCTTAGCTATGCAAAAACAACATAGTGAGGGCTGCCAGAACCTTCCTGGGCCTGACATTGGCCATCCCTTCTGTACCTCTGTGGTACTCAGAAGCCTGCTGGGCAGGAGGGGTCATTTGCAAAAGTGCCGAGGGGTCATCTGAGAAGAAATCTTCAAATTAAACGTTTTAAGGCCCTCTCTGTGCCACTTGAAGGAGGAAGGAGGAGGCTGAGCTGGAGGCTGCAGAGCCTACAAGGGAAATGCTGCTGTCTGGCTCCGGCAGGACGGATGATAATCAGACGCTGCTGGCAGAAACAGGCCCTCCATGGCAACTTCTGCCACTCCAGCCTTCCCTTTGGCGCATTCATCAATTATATGTATGCACACCAAATATTTTTGAGGGTTTTTACATGTTACATATATTACATGCTGTTAAGTGCTAGAGACACAGAAATCAAAAACCTCGGCAGGAGTCCATGCCTTCTCGTCATGGGAAACACAGTGGACGAGATAAACAGATACAAGTGAACAGTACATCAGAAGCTCATCCACACGGAGGGGAAAAAGAGGTAAGGGAAGACTTGAAAGTGATGGAGAGGGGGGCATGTTAGCATAATTAACAAGGTGACCATAGATAGCTTCATTCAGAAGATGGCATTTGGCTGAAGGAAGCTGAGAAGTGATCTATCTGCATTTCCAAGGGTGCTCAAGGGGTGATTCTGTCCTCCACTCTTTTAAAAACAAAATTCATATTTTATTTACATTGAAATAAATTATACAAAATTCTCTTCACCAAAAATAACAGAAATATTTTCTGTATTATTTCTAGATAAACCCACAAAACATTGATTTTGTAGGTTTTCCAGGTTTTGCTTATAAATCAAGATGAGGCAATAGATAGTCATGGAAAAAGAAGGCGGCAGACAAGGCAGTTGCCTGTATGATGGCCTCTAATTCCGTACTGACCATGGAGCGGAAGTGTTCAACATTTACCTGTTAGGCAGCTTATGAAGATGTAGGCTCAACAAAGGAATGTAAACAGCAATAACCAGATGTGGAATATAATGGCAAGCTTCTCCATTCAAAGTTTAACTGTAACCTCTTCTTTTAAGTTCATTTTATAAAGACAGAATCTACACTGAAATCTGGTGAGCTCCTAAGCTTCTGTCTGGTAATTCCCCTAACTGTCCACTACAGATTTCAATAACACACTTAAAACCCCTACTAATTACAGGTCAGGGATGGGCTTCACCATAACGTTTTATAAAATGCATTCCTTTCTCCTACATCACCTCAAAATTCCTTTTTTCAAAAGTTGACAACCCAGTACCTGAAAGGGGATCCACAGTACCAGTAAGTGTGCTGCCTAAAATGACTTAACTAAAACAAATCCACAGTGCCACCAGCAGAGGTAGCATGGTGTTTCCAGTGCTGTCCTCTTGAGCCCCTCAAGCCCGGGCTCAACTGCACTGACACTCTGGACCCCTCTCTGATCCAGGCTGGCACTGTGTCTTCAGCTACCTTTATGCCCACCCCTTTATTCTCTGCACTGTGGACCTTGCTTCTCCCTGCACCTACCTGGTATCACGCGTGTCCCTTCCCTCTCTCCCCACCCCTAAAGGCACTGTCCAGACCTACAAATCCCAGTTGGGAGGAAAGTGGCCATGATGGACAGCTTATTAATAAGAATGACTAACATGGAGTGACATGTTGCCCACCAGCTAGCATGGCCAGCACACACGGCATCTGTTGCCCAGTGTTTGCCAAGAGCCCATGCCCCAGGCACATCATCTTCTCTACAGACAGAGCCACAACCCGCTCGCTGGCCCCTGTGTTTCTGCTCGTTTCTTTCCCCTACTCCATCCCACCACACAACCATCAGCGAGTTCCTTCTTAAACCTAAGTCAGATCATATGGCTCTGATTACTCAAAGGTTCCGGCAGTGTGTTATCACACATGGTCCAAAGCTTGACCTTGTGGCTGCTCGGGTCTACTCTGGCTCCAGACCTTACTTTTACCCTATCTGACCTTACCCCCTCTGCTCTCGCTCCTTGTTCATTCTCCTGCTCTGTCTTCCTTGAGACAGTGGCCTCTGCCTGTGACACCTCTACCCCACCTCGCAGCCTTGTCTGGTCCTTCAGATCCCAGCCAAATACCCGCCCAATGAGGAATTTCTCACCACTCTGCTTTCAGCCACCCACTAACTCACCAGTATTGCTTCATACTTTTCATTATTATTTCTGGATGCACCTTGTTTTCTTTTTTTAACTTTTAAATGTAAATGGCATTATTCAGAGCCGTCTTCCCACCTCCTAGAGGAGTGTGTGTATCTGATTTTAAGAGCTCAGCACACGTTTGGTGGATGAATGGATGGATGAATGGATGGATGAATAAATGAATGAATGAGATAATTTAATTGTCACAACAAACCCCAAGGTCCGTTTCAGGGGATAACCTACTAGAAATCCCTGGGGAGTTTGGCAAGAATACTGGCACCTGAGCACAAACCCACCCCGGGTGAGCATGGGCCCCCTGGTTCACCCTAATGTGTGACCTTCTTCAGTGACATTTGGCAGAGGGAAAGCTGCAGCACAGGGCTCACTGGTCAGAGGGTCACTGATGCTCATACCTGTGGGATGCCGGGTCACTCTCAGAGCCGCTGGGCCTCTCTGGGCTGGCCCTGTAAGAGGGAAGTTGTGATCTGAAGATGGGCTCCTGGCCTTGCTCGTGATCAGAGTTGAACTGGTTGGCAGCTGGACAGTCCAAAGAAATCCAGGGACAAAAAAGGAGCTCCTTTGAAAATACGCTGAGGCCACTGCAGCCTACAGCCGTATTCTGGGTTCTGGAGTTCCGGGAAGGCCAAGTGGTCCGGGAGAAGAATGGGCCATTGTTGAGTCACAGAGGCCCTGCCAGGCAGCCCCCTGCAGAGATGAGCCACACACACACACACACACACACTTGCGTGTGTGCGTGTGCAGAGCTGAAGTTTTATAGAAGTCAAAAACAGGCATGGCCTGGACTCAGGGTTTGAAGCCCTAACTCTATTCTAAGTAGTGTAGCCCTGAATACATATTACTCACTCTGTCTGAGGCATTTCCTGTCATGCACAATGGTACACAACTCAGACGTGGGGTAAGATTAAACAAGACAAGCAACGAAGTACCAGGGCATGCCTTCTCCCCGCTGTGCCATGGCCTCCCGCTTAGTGCTGGTGTGGTTTTTTTCCTTTTTTTAGTGCTGGTGATCAAACCCAGGGCCTCTCACATGCTAAGCCAGTGCTCTACCACTCACACGTCCAGCCCTCTGAGTGCTCTTGGCTTGCTCTGCTCCAGCCACACTGACCTCTTCGCCAGTCCTCAAATGTAACAATCACGTGCCTGCCTCAGGGCCTTTACCCTTGCAGTTCCCCTGCCAGAAGCTCTTCACCCAGGGATACTCAAAGTTCACACTTTCAGATCCTTGAAGTGTTTTCTCACATGTCACGGTCCCACTGGCCTTTTCCCGACCACTTTGTCTAAAATAACAACCCCATGCACCTTTCAGCAACTCAGAGACTCCTCATTTTCTTTCCAGCTCTTATTTTTCTTCATAGCATTAATCACCTTCTAAATTGCATATCGTTTCCTTTGCCCAGCAGATAAGAGGTATGCAATAAACATTTGTTGGATGAATAAGTAAAAGCCCGTTGATATGTTTAACCTCATAGTTATTATGGTCAGAGGTTGCAAGGGCAGCTCTGCACTGGCCTGTGCTCTCGAGAGCTGTGGCAGAGGGTGGACACTGCGCTCAGGCTGCCTGCGGAACGGAAAAGCAGCCCACCCGCCTGAGAGCAAGGATTGGATCCTTCTCAACGAGACTGCCACTCAGGGCCAATGTCACCGTGGCCGGGCTTGGTGGAAATGAAAGAAGCTGCTGTGTGGAAGTGAGTCAGGGTCACAGGGGAACCTGACACAGTAAGGGACAAACAGCCTGTGGAATGTTGATAGTGGCTTCCTGAGCTTCAGGTAGAGGCTGTACCTATCTCCCCTCCTCCACTGGGGGTTACTCTGAGGACTGAGTAAACCTGCTGTTCCTACAGGTGCTGGTGACTGGGATTTCACCCAGCTTGGATTAAGCCTGAAGAGAAAAAAACAACCATATGTGCACTTTGTACCCAGAGTATTAGAAATGAACTTGTAACCTGTTACTCATGGACAGTTTCACCACAAGGTGTGGCAATAAAAAATGTTGAGTAAATATTAGGAATTTAGTATTCATCGATTCAACAAATATTTATGGAGCTCTTCCAATGCAGCAGCTACTTTCTAAGTGCTGAGATACAGTGGTGCAGAAGATGTAAAATCTATGCCCTCTTGGAGCTCAGGTATGTGCACACACGTGTGTGTGTGTGTGTGTGTGTGTGTGTGTGTGAAAACTTTGGTAGCCTGACACTGTCCACTAGTGTCACTAGAGACCCTGGCTGGCAAACACGCTATGTTGGGATATTTTTGGCTGCTGTTCTCAGAGACACAGTGTCCCAGCTGCGCACAGTGAGCCAGGACCTCGGAGTATAAACAAGGGGCCAGGGGTGCTGGGTAGGATGAGTAGGAGCCAAGAGCAGAAGAAATGGCAGGAAACCACATGGGGGCCTGGAGGCTTTGTTGGGAATTCAGCTGACTGCGAGAAAGAGGAGCTGCAAGACACCTTTTACTTATTTTTAAACAGCCTTATTTAGACAGTATACAGTTAGCAGTAGTGTTAGTAAATTTACAGTGTTGCAGGGCCATGGCCGCCATCATCATTCAAGGACATTCCTGGTGGCTTTGGCAGTCACTCCCTGTCCTCATAGCCAAGGTCACCACTCATGCGTTTTCCATGTACTGGCAAGTGTTGAGTGGCAGAAAGACAGGACTCGCTTATTTATTATCACTGGTGTATCTTTTCTGTCGAAACAGAATAAAGTTCCAGTTCTCTTTGCAAATTAGCTGATGATTAAAATTCTCAGGGGCCACATTATCCACCAGTTCAGAGGGCCCCCCAGTTCCTGGAGCAGAGTGGCATCTGGCAGGCACCGTGAGCCCTGGGACAAACTTGGCAAGGAGTGGCTCCTGTTGACCCGCAAATCCTGGCCAGTTGAAAGCTGAAGACTTGGAGTCCTTGCTGACTTGGGACTCTGCCCTCTCTTGCTTGTGGTGGGGCCGAAGTTCCCTGTGGGAGGCTGATTCTGCAATTTGGATCCTGAGGAAAGAAATAACTACAGGCTTGCAGGCTGAAAGAAGCAGAACACCTTTTCTATGTCCTAGGCGCAAGAACAAGGTAATTGGGCAAGTCCTTCAGAAGCAAGTGGCAGCTGCCCCTGGGATCTCTGCTGACTAAGCCAGGAAGAGGCTTGGTGTGAAATGGCCTGTGGAAACTACTGAGAATAGAGTGGGGCTGGGGATTCTAACAGGTCACCTGTCAAGAAATTCAGGGGCAGAACCCTGGGAGGCTGAGGCAAGAGGGTCACAAGTTTGAGCACAGCCTAAACAACTCAGCAAGACCCTGTCTCAGAAAATAATAATAAAAAGGGCTGGGATGTAGTTTAGTGTAAAGACCCTGGGTTCAATCCCCAGTACGAAATAAAGAAAAGAAGGAAGGAGGGAGGGAGGGAAGAAGGAAAGAAATGGGGGAGGGAAGGGGGAATCAGGACAGAGTTTAAGAGAGAGGGTGTGTGAGGGAGGGATCCAGGCCCAGGGTTGGTGCCACAGCAGAGCTTGGGGCCTATACTTTTCTAGGAAGATGAGTCTCAGAAGTCCTTTTCCCCTCAAGCTTCCTTTCTTTACTTGTAAAATGAAGCAATTGGCATTCACAGCAGAAAGCTGTCATATGGATTTAATGAAATAATGTTCATAGGGTACATTTTATGTTCATGGCAGAGAGTAAGCTTCCTAGAGACCATGGTTGTGATGCGATTTTCTTTTTATGTGACCTTGTTATTATTATTATTCCTATATTCTGCTTACATTATTACTGAGAGTAACTTGGCAGGGGGACTTAAACTGGGAACACAACCCCTAGCTAAGCTGCTATTTCTCAAATTTTATTGTGTATGCAGTGGCTCTGGAGACCCTGTTGATGTGCAGATTCTAATTCCACAGAGAAGGGTGGGAGCTGAGGCTTTGTTACAAGCTCTGGGTGCTGCTGCTACTGTTGGTACAAGGACCATGCTTTGAACAACAAGACACTAAAATAGCCCTGGGGAGTACCAAGGCCACTACCCACCTGTGACTCCCAGGCATTCCAAATGCAGCTGGTCCAAACTGAGTAGTGCTTGTAAGTGTGACAGTCACACTGGATTTTGAGGGTCTACTCCAAATATATATATATATATATATATATATATATATATATATATATCTTTAATAATTTTTCATACTGATTCCATGTTGAAATGATATTCTCAGTGCACTTAGTTTAATAAGATGTAGTGTTATAATTGATACTGCTTGTTTCTCTTTTCTTCATAAGAATATCCCCATGTGGAGCCTGAGGAGTTCCCCCAAAGAGAAAACAGGGCCCTCAACTCAGTCCATCGAATAGGTTCTGAACTCATGCCACCAAGAAAGAATTCCAGGACCCAACAGTCCAAACCATAAGGCAGAGTTATTGGCCAAGTTAGAAAACAAGGAAGAATAAAAAGAACTTCTTCTTGAATAGCTGAAAGGGGATCACTCTGATTCCAGGTTCTGACCAGCCCGCTCACAAAATCAGAAGGCCAGCTTTGAAAGATTAGCTGAGGTAGTCAGGGTCCAGTAAATCCTTCTCTCAGTTCTAGTTTCACGGCTCCAGAGAGAGCCTTGTGGCTTGAGGGACAATTCAGGTACATGGAGATGATCGTCCTTGCTCAGGAGGAGCAACCTCTGTTCCTTTGTGGGGTAACTGCACCTGCACTGGGGAGGTGATGCTATCATAGAATGGTCTCCAAGGCTCTGCTGTGTCCTGAAGCTGAGACAACTGTAGGTTGGAGGCATCCATGTGTCTCTCCAGCGCGGTCTGGAACTGGATGCTGTGGAAGCTGGCAGTGGGTGTCTGAGGAAACCCTGAAAATTATTTTAGCACCTCTATCTTGGTGTCCATGGTCTTGAAGGAGAATGAGCTAGACTAGGTAAATTCAGGGCTAACAAACCTTGTTTTACCAACTTTTCCTAAATGACTAACATCCCTGCATACAGAGCTGAGCAGGAATCTGACCCAGAGTTTCAAACTAAAAAAGGAGCCCAAAACAACTGAGTTGCCTTGCCTCCTTCTGCCTATCTTTATTTCTTCTATCCTACCTCAAAAATACAGAGAATTCTTGGTTGCCTATGTGGTTCACCTTCTACTTTCCTGGGCAGTGCTGCCTGGGAACTTCAGCTTTGTCAGACCAGTTCAGGACTGGCAAAGGGATATTAGACAGAATAGCTGGTAGGAAGGACTTTGAATTACTCCCAACACAAAGAAATGATTAAAGTTTGAGATGATGGATATGCCAGTTACGTGATCAGGTCATCACACATTGTGTACATGTACTGAAATGGGACACTACACCCCATAAATATGTACAGTTATGTGTCAAATGTTTTAAATATATTTTTAAAGTTGTATTAATGCATCAGTGAAAAAATAATATTATTGGGATTGCCTGTGAAGGGCTGAAATTTGAGAAGGTAATGACCATAGGCCTGCAGAGATGCACTGGCAGCAAGAGGTGAGAGTTGTGGGCCTCAGGTTCAGAGGAGAGCAATGAGCAATGTCAAAAGTGGAACCAACACTGGAGGCCACCAGTGTGTTCTCCAAGACAACATGAGCTGAGGTGACTCTCAAGACTGGCCTCAGGCCTCTGTCCAGCTCCAAAGCCCAGATTTCAAGACAGTGGCTTCCCTCCTCTCTTTGGTGACAGGTAGGACCTACAACATGAGGCTGTGGCTGAGAGGCCTGGGCCTCCAGGTGCTGAGGAGCTTCCAGAAATTCTGTGGAGTCCACACGCAGGTGCCACCTCTTCCAGTCCCTCAGAAGATTCTGGACAGCTGGGAAGCCATCAGCTTGGGGAGGCAGCCGGTGCCTGAGTACTTCAACTTTGCCCATGACGTGCTCGACATGTGGACTCAGCTGGAAAAGGTGACCCCTATCCTGTCCTTGTGTCCATCCTGGGCATACGAGGTTGCCCTCAACTACTCCCATGAGATTTAAGGGCTACTAGGATAGTTTGATTTGAACATTTTGAGCTAGAACTTGCCACTACTGAAATTTTAAATTGTTAGCATTTAAGCCTCAGGAAGAAAATTGTGAACAAGTATTTCAAGCCACAAGCCTCCTTGCCTAATTCCTGAGAGGTCTCGCATCCCTGAGCCCAAAATCATACTCTGATTACTTCCCCACTCATCTGATCAAGAGCAGGAGGAAATTCTGATTTGCTGTTATTCTAGCTTTAGTATTTCTCTCACCCCCATTGACTTTCCTTCTAAACAAGAAGCTCTGGTTCAAAGTTTTTCACAGATCATAGTGGATACACAGATTTTAGTTAACATAATCTCAATTTCTTCATGTGCCTTTCTGCATATGCTTCCCTCTTTATTTTCTCTTCAGATATGATTGTCATGATTTTCTGTTTTATATTTAATGTTATATGATACATTTTCACTGCTAATAAGGGAATAGAATTTTTTATTTCAAAGAAATTTACTTATGTTGATTTTAAGACAAACTTGTTCAAAGAAAAAAAATGAGGTCAATACTACATTAGGAGGTATAGTAAGATTTAGGAAAGCGGTATGAGGATGAGTGAGGCCTACTAGCAGACTTTGCAGCCTGACAGACAGTGTTCAGCCATGTACCTGAAGTGTGAATTTGGACAACTTGACCTCTGTTTTCTCATGTGCAAAATGAGCATCATATGCATAGTGAGGCCCTTTCTCAAAAAGACAAAAAAAAAATGAGAGTCATACCATATGCTACTCAGAGTTGTGAGTTCAGTGGGAAGTGGATGTAAGAGATGGAGAGAGAATTCCCCTTTCTTAATTGTCTACAAATCTAAGTTCTTTTTTAAGAAAATTTTTTTGCCATACTAATGGACAGCCTTAGAGGACTTCTAATGATAAAGACAAACAAGAAGGATTAAGTCAGCAGAAAAATGGTAGAATTAGGTCCTTTCAACAGCCCTTCTTCAAAAAAGTAATGACAATAACCCCAGAAAAGTTGTGAGAATCAACTTTTCAGAATTCTGGAAACTAACCAGAGATTGTGGGAATCAAGGGAATGTTCATTAAAAGAGCTGAATGAATCCCAGTAAAAATACAGCAAGTCTGTGATATTTTAACCTGTGATATTTTATGTCCTAGTTCCAACCCCCACTTCCCAGATGTTGTGGCAAAACTGTGTCTGGGAAAGGAATGACACCCAAGGAAGTCACGAGGCAGTAAACAGCTTTATTTTACACCAGTGGTCCTGGCTAGAATAACTTCAAACAAAAGCCAGGCAGTGAGTGTCTGTGAGCCAGTATTTTTATATGAGGCATAATCAGGGGTTACAAAGGTGGGGTAGGACAGCCTGGCAGTTCTGATTAGCTAGCAGGGTGAGGTCATTGGTTACAGGGCTAGACTAATGGCCACCAGTTACAAGACTAGATTAATGACCACAAATCTTGGTACAATCAAGTATCCTGAGTGTTTGGCTATGCTCTTGTGGTTATGGGGGTCAAGAAAGCAATTATAGAGCTAGGCAGCTTCAGAGAGAACAACGTTTTAAAAAGAACAACTTTTCCTTGTAGTTTTTCCCTTTCATTTCCCCCTCTTGTCATTACTCAGAAAAATATTTTTCAACGTTGCTTCTATCTAAAGCTGCATAAGAAGGAGTAGCCCTTAAGGCCATTTGGAAATGTATTCTGTTTATCCATTCTGAAACAAATCAATTGAGTAATGCAATTAATCAGGCAGGGTCCTATCAGGAGAACTAACATAAGGGCTGTCAGGAGACCCCAGAAGTGGTCCTAGCCATGATCTCAAGTGAAATATGTCCCGGCCGGCGGGTACAGTCAGCCTGAACCCTAGAAGGGGAGTGGGGATTATAAAGGGACAAGAGACACGAAGAATGGAGGCAAGACAGGATTCTGATCAAGCCTCTTTTATTGGCGGGGAGTGTTGCGAATATATAGGGCGCGGGGAAATATGGAAGTTCTTAAGGCGGGAGTAACCAAGTAACCCGACAAGGGCGGGAGTAGCTAGGCAACGGTGGGCAGTCCTGACTTAAAGGGAAAGGTGCGTCTCTTTAGAGAAGTAGGCAGGATAACAGAAACTTAATGCTTAAGACGGCTACTAATACACAGTGGACGTTAGCTACAGTCTCCTACAGAGATAGACCTTGGAACCATCCCTGTTTCTGATTTCATTCTTTGACCTGGTTATCTAATCTCTCTTGCAATTGTTTCAGACCTTCAGACTATTCCAGACTTATTAGCATAGAAACAGCATTGTTCTAAGGTATTACAAATTCCTCCTTGTTGTAGAAAGACTAAATCTAAGCCTCTCATAATTTGGAGGACAACTTCAGCAAGAGAGTCTATGGGGTCCTGTAACAATGACATTATATCATGCAAACCTTGAAGTTCCTGGTCAGTGTCCTCAGCTAATTGATTTAATCCCACTTTCTCAGTGACTAGAGCAGTTGTTCCCAGCCCAACCAAAGTGAATCCCAACCAGGACTGGGATTGCCTGGATGGCCTTCTTAAACCTGTGAAAGACCATCAGGATTAGGACACTTATTCCTTCCTCTCTGTTACAGGCTTGGACTTGTGGTAAAATGATAACAAGGGCACAGGCACCTATTTGGATACTGTCCAGAGATATTTTTACCCCATCAGGACAGGAGAAATGGGTATTGTCAGGTGCAGTAAGGCTCCCACCATGGTGACAGATGGCCCAAACATATGGAGGCATGGCAGAGATACCAGGTGGGAAGACACATTACATTTCCATAAACAGGTAGAGAAGCCAAAACAGGAGCTGAGTTTTATATTTCTGTGAGCTTCTTTGAGAACACATATATGTGGAAACTCCACAGTAAAATGGAGGTACAGACCTAAGACAAAGCCAACAATCAGAAGCAACATCTGGAGAGCTAAAGTTCAGGACATTATGAGCAGACTGTAGTATATGTTCCATGTCCAGGGGAATGAGGACTGCCTCTTCTTTTTTCATTTTCATCAGTCTTTACTAGGCCAAACTCGACAGGGTCTTGGGTTGGGTCTATTTGATTTCCCTTGGTTAAACTGAACAGTCAAAATCTAAACCCCAGCATTAAGTGCAGGCACATTAGTAACAACAAACATTTTTTTAGTTATAACTAATAGCCCTGAGCTTTATCTAAATGGGAAAGGCGATTTAAAACAGCAAGTCAGATCAACAAAACCATGTACAGAGTAAGGACAAGAGCCTTACTGGTTGTCCTCCACCCTTCTGGGGCAACTATCCCCAAGGCCAAGGCAAAGGTTACAATCAGTAAGAAGATAGGGAGCAATAACCAAGTTGGATAGCACAGTGTTAAGTACATATGGAAATGTATTCTGTTTATCCATTCTGAAACAAATCAATTGAGTAATGCAAATAGTAAATAGTCACACTTGCAGGAGGGAATGGGTAAATAGTCACACTTGGAATCCCATGAACATTCTCCTCCAAGCTTCAGCCCTGTGTTGACCTGTCAGCATCCAGAGCAACAGGAGGAAGACAGAGAGTGCAGTGTCTCTTCAGCACTATTTTAAGGGAAGTTGACTCATCTGGATAGACTTTCCAGCAGTTGTCTGGGTGGGCCTTTGGACCCAAGAGTGTTGGATCTATGGCTGAATTTCTGATACCCTGACAGCTGGTGGGGGTTTAAGACCAGGTTGGGGCTCAGTCCTTTACAGTGGATAATGACAACCTTCTTTGACTTTCAAATTGCAGTCGGGGTTGAGAGATTTCATCCTTGTTTTTAATTTGTTTTCCTTCCACGATGAGAAGTCCATGTCCTTTGTACAGCATTCTGTGGGCATGAACAGTGGCAAACACATACCTGAAGTCAGTATAAATGTTTACTTTCTTTCCTTTTGCACAGTTAACAGCTTGTGTGAAGGTCCATAATTTAGCTCCTTGAGCAGACCAGTTTTGTGGAAGAGGTCCAGCTAGGAGCACTTCCTCCGTGGTAACAACAGCATATCCAGCCACACGTTTCAAATCTTTGACTGAGCTACTTCCATCTGTAAACAGGGCATACTCAGCATCAGACAAGGGCTCCATCTGTAGAATCTGGCTGGCTAGCAAAAGGCTCATCAGTCAAAGCTAGACAATTATGGTTGGGAGGAGGGGCAGAGAAACTCAGTGGGCAAAAAGGTAGCTGGGTTCAGAGGTTTATTCAATTGAAAAGTAAGTCAGGGATTTTCACAAAGCAGTCCTTGATATTGGAGTAACACAGCTATTTAAAAGCCAATGGTGTCCCTGTCTATTTAACAAGTCCAGAACAGCACATGGGACTTGAACTGTGAGATGTTGTCCTAGGTTCAACTTGTCAGCTTCTTTAATCAGAAGGATGGTAGCTACCAGTGCTGTCAGGCAGGGAGGCCAGCCCTTAGCCACAGGGTGAGTCTAGGCTCCTTGACCAGTATGAAATGGGCTTCTCTCCCAAGGGCTGATCTTTTGGGTCAGGACCCAAAAGATATACATACATATAGTATGTATCTTCATTCAACAACAAACAGGTTACAGAGCCAAGTCACATCAGGAATGCCTGGTGCTGGGGCTGTTGACAGCACTTGTTTTATGATCTGGAAAGATTCAGTTTGTTCTAAAGTCTAATCTAACAGCTCTCTTTCATTTTCTTTTCCTGTCAGTATGTCACATAAAGGCTTAGCCTTCTCAGCAAACCCCAGTATCTAAATTCAACACAAACCTGCAGTGCCAGGAATTCTCTAAGCTGTCTTTTATTTTCAGGCCTTGAAATGGAGCAAATGACTTCTTTTCTTTCTGGGCCTGTGTGCCCTTCCAGTAGGCTGATTTACTTGAACTGCAAATCATAATATCATCGACATACTGCATGAGAGTGCAATTAAAGTCTGCATGTGGAAATTGGGCTGGGTCAGCAGCTAGTGC